TGCCACAGCTGCACCCGACGGCTATCAGGATATATTGCGCTGCGAGATCGAAAGCACGACCTAGAGCCCGGATTCACAACTATCAAGCATCGCTAATGCAACATCCGCAGTATCGCACACGTGCAACCGATGTCTCGTACGGTGCGATGCTGTCTAGGCTCGTATCTTTCATTTACACACAAACTCGTCGCCTATGTGGGCAGTTGGACCGGAATGACGAACCGAGCAAAGTCTATAACTTCTTCGCATAGTCGCAGTGAATGGGTCAATTCTGGAGTGTGCTCGTATCTTACGATCTAGTTTTGCGTAAGACGCTACTCTTGGAATATGGCTTTTGCACGGAATAGCGTGCTTGCGCTTCTTGGCCTCGCTATCGGGTTAGTCATGATACCTACAATAAGAAACTATCGCTGACTTTCTTCCAGTGCTCATGCAGCGCCTGCAGGTCTACACAATCGCCAGATAGGGGTCACACCACCCAAGCAGAGTGTCTCTTGGGATACTGGTAACTCGGAACCTACCGAAGAGCCACAGGAGCCTGTTATTCCTTCCATACCAACGGATGAGATCAGTCTTGGAACGCCATCGGGGTGGCTCAGTTGGGAAACTACTGGACCAGCTCCTACAGATGCACCCGGAAACCCTGACTACCCGCCTCCAGCCAAGCCAACGGATCAATTCAGTATCGGCACGCCATCTGGCTGGATCAGCTGGGAGACCAGTGGACCTGCGCCTACGCCAGCTCCTGAAGAACCCGACTATCCACCTCCGTCCAAGCCAACAGATCAATTCAGTATTGGCAAACCATCCTTCTGGATAAGCTGGGCGACGGATGGTCCTGCACCAACTCCTGAGCCGGAAGAGCCTGAGGAGCCTGCATATCCTCCAACTAAGCCCAGCGATCAGATTAGCATTGGTAAGCCATCATACAGTGTTACTTGGGACGGAGACGGCCCCGGTGCTTCATCAACGCCAAAACCAGAACCGACCTCTGAATATCCCACCGTCACATCACTGCCACCCATTTGGTCCAACTCAAGCACCATCAGCACAGCTCCTACCACCAGCTCCAAGGCTTCAGTGTCTTCTTCTATCAAATCTGCTTCGTCCAGCAAGGTTTCGTCCACCAAGAAGCCCTATCCACCGTGGCACCCATGGCCACCGAAGCCAACGAAACCAACGTCAAAGTCCACCTTGAAGTCAACAGAAAAGCCAACTTCGACTCCAAAGCCCTCGTCAACCGCGAAGCCAATTCCCTCCCCAGTACCAGTGCCTTCGACAACCAAGAGCGCTTTCATGAGTCTGTCGCCCCCTAAGTTCAGCGTGAGTTGGGATTTGAACAGAAGAGAAGCAAAGCCTACTTCTACGACTACCAAGAAGACAAAAACGACTTCGACTAAGAAGACAACGACTACGACGAAGAAGAGTACATCAAAGAGCACATCGAAGTCAACCTCCAAGTCAACCTCCAAGTCTTCTTCTAAAGCTACAACAACGCCTAAGCCCACTCCTACACCCACGCCTACACCATCACCATCCCCTATTCCTCTCCCTACCCCAACGCCCAGTCCTTCGCCATCCTCATCCCCCTCAACTCTGACCCCTACTCCTATCTATACTTCCACTACTACTCCCCCTGCCGAGATCACCGTAGGCCCGCCCAACTTCAGTGTATCCTGGAACTACGACGAACCCGAGCCTACTCCTTCACCTGAAGAACCGCTTCCCGAGGATGGAGAAGAGCCCTATCCTACCGACCCAGAAGATCCCTTTCCTGAGGATCCTTTTCCAGAAGACCCAGAAGACGACTTCCCACCTCCTTCTCAGCCAACCCAAGCAAACAGCATCGGCCTTAACCCGCCTACTGTAACCGTGATCTGGGGCAAGAAGCGCCAAGAAGACGATGCTGTACCCACCTCATCGCCGGAGCTTCCCGAAGACGATGATGATGACGATGACTTCCCTCCGCCATCACAGCCAACACAGCCAAACAGTGTCGGCCTCAATCCACCCACCTACACTGTCATCTGGGGTAAGGAAAAGCGCGTTGCTGCTCCTGCGCCTGAACCCACTGCTGCACCCGCAGTAGCTGAGAGAGATGCAGAAGCAGAGCCGAAGCCACAGAACAGTATTGGCTTAGAGTTCCCCTGGCAGAGTATTACGTGGCCGAAGCCAGCGCCGCCAACATATATTTCATGGGGGAAGAGGGAGGATGATGCAGCACCCACAGCAGTACCGCAGAAGAGGATGGAGACGGTTTATGTAAAAGGGAAGGAGGCTAGGGCTACTCTTGCTTAAGGAGATTGCGAATTAGGAAAGGTGGCCATTGGGTTGCGCGAGCCTGGGTGGACCAGATAGGGATTCTGACGTAGCGTACCCTCGTTCCTCTGACTGTACCAGATCCTCAATTTATTCTCTTGCTTACCAACTCCAAAGTGTGACTGTTCAGTACCCATATATATGCTCTTATGAAGTCAAGCGTTCTTTGTAAGTCACTGTCACGAACTTCATCGTAAAGATACACATAACAAGACCTAGGTGTACGATAAACATTACTCTGCTACAAAATTGTACCGCAAGTGACCAAGACTATCATATATGTTCCAAGCATAAACATCCAAGCTACCCATTGGGTTGTAACACATTATGTATCTCAACTAGCTTCACGAGGACTGTGCTGGCGTGGAAGCACCTTGGCTACGCACCTGAAGCTTCTTAGGCTTCTTCTTCGGCTTCGGCTCTTCGGACGTCGTCGAGCCGCTTGGCTTCTCTTCCTTCTGTGGTGCGGATGGTTCTTGTTGGCTAGACGCTGGTTTCTTGTCTGCTGGATCTTCATCCTTCTTGGGTGTTTGTTTCGCCGACTCTGTCTTCTTCAGTTCAGGCTTCTTTGGTGCTTCCTTCTTCTCTGTTGAGTCGTCTTTCTTTTCTTCTTGATCCGCCTTCTTAGGTTCTTGCTTCGTCTTGTTCGCCTTGTCCTTCTCGTTCAGCTTCTTCGGTGATTTCTTCGCTTTGCCAGATGCGATAGATGATGCGAGGTCCTCGCCTTCTTGTACGTCTTCGACCATGAAGTTGGCTGCCATGCACCGTCCGCCATTCTGCTTTCCTACATCCATAGGGCAAGCGCTGAATACAATGACTACATCCCGCTCGGCACGGAAGCGGACGAAGCATCGCTTTTTGCCTTTGGGCTCATCGACTCTGAGCGTCACGCCCTTTGTGCCCGCACCGTCGGTTTGGTCACTACCCTCGGATTGTAGAGGCGCATTCATGAAAAGATGAAGAGGCGTGGGTGCGATATTGACTGAGATGTCTGCGCCAACTGCTTTTGGACCCTTGAGTCCTGCCGTCTCGTTGATTTCCTTAAGCGCGAGGACGAGGTTCTCGGCACAGCTACCATGTTCTGCCGGCTTGTCAACGCCTAATGAAGCGTACTGGTTCGCGTCACACGCCGCCGTCAGTGTGTCATGTCCACCGGGCGATGTGTCTTCAATAAGGGTGACGATCGGGTTGCGCAGGTTGGTCAGGAGCTCGTCATCGACTTCTGGCACGAGTTTGTGCGAGGAAGCGCGCGTGTGGGGAAGGGAGAGGTACTCCATTGGAGGTTGCGAAGAGTTGGAGGGATGTGTCGAGGCGTATGCGGAGTATACAGCGTAGGCCGAGGATGCGTAGCCTGAACCTGTCGCAGCTGTCTAATGTCACTATCCACTCCTACGATATAGATCACAAGATGAAAAACTTACCAGCGATGGTTCCAGCGCCTACAGGCGTCTTTGAGAAGTCGTAGAGCTGTTCCGCATAGCTCTTGTTCGGATCGCGGTAATGGCTCGACTTGAACGCGCTCACGACGGCGTTCTTGTCGGGTACTTCGACATTCGGCACATAACTAGAGAAACTCTTTCCAGTCGGTAGGTATGACGACCACTTCTTGGTATTCTCCTCGTTCTGTTTCTTCTCTTGCTCAGGGCTAGGCTTCTGCTCTGCTTCCTGCTTGTTCGCTCCGCCCTTGTTGCGATATGGAATCGAAGGGAGATATGACGCCCAAGTGCGTTTATTGGGCTGCTTCGACGATGACGCCGTGCTCTCGGTTGTCTTCTCGTTGTCGAGTGTATCAGGAGCTTGTTCGGGCGGGTCTTCAGCAGCTTCTTCTTTTGGGCTTTCGACTGCCTCTTCAGTAGATTGAGTTTCCTTGCCACTGCTACCTGCATCCTTCTTCTGCTCCTCCGGATCGTCCTCTACATCTTTCTTCGGCTCTTCCGGCTCGTTCGACTCGTCTTCTTTGTCTTTGGCCGCCTCTTCACCTTTCTCACCCTCCTCCTCCACAGCCTTCTTCATTTGCTCTGCCTCTTTCTTGACTTGTTCATCATCCAGTTCCTTTCCTTCACCCTCTTCATCATCTCCCTCCTCAGGTGGTGGGCCTAGGGTAAATGCCCACATACTTACCACTTGCTTGCCATATGTGTTGATGACCTTGATCGTCCTGCCTCTGGGCACAAATGTCGCGACGCCATGGCGCGCGGGTATAGTCTGCAATTCACCAGACATATCTTCGGTCGCGTCGAAATTGTACTGTTCTTCTTTATCTTTTCCCTTCTTCTTACGCTGCTTCTCAACAGCCGACAGCACAGAAATAAGTGCGATGCCAGCGAGAGCGCGACGAGAGGGGACTTGAGGCGCCGTGTTGACAAGTTGTATGCGCTAGTAGCGCCAGCAAGGAAACAGGATAGATGGACAGTTGGTAAATGGCCGTTAGTGTATCTGGCTTCCGTTATGTCGACTTGAACGACGAGTAGTGAGGTATGGAGCATCTACCATATCCACGGATCAGTGACGTACGCGGTGCACATCATTACAGATCGCACGACGCGATTCGTCGAGGAGGTCGGCAGCAAGCATGGGAGCCCTTGTGCAACGTCCCGCGCGGTCATCTTACTAGGATCACGAATGACGCAGCGTAGTGGAACCTTGTTTTGCGATGGCAAAAGCAACGGCAGAGCGACGCGGTTGCGGTTGCCCTAGAAGCTCGTTGCTCGCTTACACTTGTGGGTCTCATCGCCCTTTGAGCGGATCCCTATAGTGATGGTCATTTTCGAGGTTCATGTTTACACTACTACACACTTGCAACGTGCGTACAAAGTGATGCAGCTTGTTTGAGCATCTGCGGCGATGGGCAGTTTTGCATCTCCATCGGAATGCGGTTCCGAGCGACTATCGCAATCACTATGAGGGGAGGCCTCCAGGACAAAACTGGGCTAGAGCTACTCTTCAACTACATCGGTCGCTATCCTACACCATGACCACTTTTCATCCATTTCCGCGGCTTCCTCTGGAGCTCCGAGAGCAGATCTGGAAGGACACCGTCGAACCGCGCACCGTCGACGTCCGGCGTGTTCGAAAGGGGACTGAACGCTATGGCCAGCTGGTCTCGTCTACGCCAATTCCAGCCATACTACAGTCCTGCCGGGAAGCGCGAAACCTTGGACTTTACAGGCGAATTTTCTTTGAGGTCGCTCCTGCAACAAAGAAATCCAAAGTCAACAACGAGGCTGAGATCGCCATGAAGAGGTTCTTCACGCTCCATGAGCGACGGGCAGAAGAAGGGCCCAAGGAAGTAGGCTCTCCTGACATGGAGCAGCGCTATGTCTGGTTAGATCTCAACATTGATATGGTGGATATTGGGGCTTCTAGGTTCTGCAATTACGAATCGATCGCATCAGCAGTCAAGCGTCTCAAGTTTGAACGAGAGAATTCAGAGGAATACTTCTACCATACTGAATCAACTGAACTCATGAAGTTTGCTAGTGTGGAAGAGATTCATATAGTCTGCGCAGATGGTTTCTGGATGTGGGCTGGGGCTACACACGAGCATTCCTGGCCCTGCGCCGAAGAAAATCTGGTGTTTATTGACGCATTCAATGGTCAGGTTGCGCGTGGCATTGAATTTGAAACGATATGTATACAGACGCTGGAGGACGCTTGGCTAGGAGCTCCTGGCGAAGCATTTTCCACTGATGACGAGACTTGAAGCTGAAACAAGTATCTTATCTATCTTTCTAGCTGTCGCTAGAGACATGGTTTTATTGGGAGTGGAAGACATGGAGATGCATAATTTTACCAATGGAATACTGATGATTACGCCAAAGCTATCTTACAATACTGTGACTCAAGACTAAGTCCTGAAGATCTTCGCCGAACTCTGACGATGGCTCTCTCTTACAATCACCGACCGCAGGCAATCTGTTGATCTTAGTGTTCGCATCCTTGTCCCTTACCTCGCGAGCTGCTCGCTCGGCCTCCGCTCAATCAACTGTCTCGGAGACCTTCAGGACAGGATTGAGCTAAGATTATCTATCGACTACTGTATTACCAGGCGCACTTATCCTGCTGTCTTTCGTTTGGACGAGATTGTCCAATGACTATCGGCTTGTGTTATGTGTGACAGTATCTGTTTGACGTTTGCGGCACAGTGCAGACAGCTGCACATCTGGAAGACGTGTCTGGACGCCACACGCAGCAGGATCATCTTGTACTACACGACGTGCATATCGCCTGTGTAAGTATGCGCTGTACGACCCCGCATCAAGCGTTTAGAGTCTTAATCATCATATATCATGGCGAGTTCAATAGGTGTTACAGAGTTGACCAAACGTACCAACAATGGGCGAGCCACCAACTACATGTTCCTTTGAGGAGTGCGTATGCAACGCTAGCAAACTGACCATGTAACTAATAGTGTGTAGACTCGTCCAATCAAAATTGTTCACATTCTATGTCGGGACAGAAAAGAGGGCATTTGTGGTTCATTCTAAGGCCATCGCCGCAACCTCATGGTATTTTCATGCGCTCGTTAATAATGGCATGGCGCAGTCGCAAGAGGGATCCGTTGAGTACCCCGATATGGACCCAGGTGATTTTGCTCGATACGTTGAATATGCGTATCGCTACGACTATACTGTGCCACTCCCGGGCATAGATAGAGCCGCGCGGAGCAATGTTATAAATGGCAACGCGCACAGTTGCGAAGATGCGCCGTCACCAGCAGAACCAGAATCAGAACCACCATTGGAAGAAGAGCCAGCACCAGTACCAGAACCAGTACCAGAACCAGAACCAGAACCGGTACAAGAATTAGAAACAGAAGACTGGGGGGTGCCCAGCTGGGCAAAGAGAAAACCCGCTAAGAGGAAACCCGCTAAGAGGACTGATGCTTTACGCAAGAGATTCGACGAGCGTAGTTATCTCACACCACTCGAGCCCAAAACAGCAATGCTCATTGACCAAATGCCCAAATCGAACATCACGTTTGAACAAGACTTCACTCGTATCTTTCTAGCGCACGCACGTCTCTACACCTTCGCTTGTATGCGCCTCGTCGATCCACTAAAGCGTCTGACCCTGCAAAAACTCCATCAAACCCTTCGTGGTTTCAAACTTTATAAGCAACGAGTGGGCGATGTGGTCGAGTTGGCTAGATATGCGTATGACCATGGAGAGAACAGGAAATCCGACGGAACTATTGACGAGCTCAGGAAACTAGTAGTTGAGTACATAGCTTGTGAGGTGTCGACTATTGGGAAGCACGAAGCATTTATGCTGCTATTGCAAGAGGGTGGGGAATTTGTAGCTGACTTTTGGCGTATTATCGCTGATGTCAATCTGGGCTTGTGACAGACAACGTTCTTAGTTGGTTGATTTCTTTTTTGTAATCTAGCATTGTCTTATCAGCGCTGTTTGGCTCTTGTTGTTCCGTCGACAACGACCCACCCATTCTTGCTCTGGAGCGCCTTTGTCCCGAGACACCACTGTAGTGAATTCTCTTCGTATTGTGATCTATTCCGTATGTTGGTGCTCCATGCTCATCATCCACTTGAGTAGCGTAGCAACAAAGTGTGCGCCCCTCCAGCTCCTGTCTCACATCCAGATGTATACTCAAATATCTCTGTATGCGCATTTTCAATTATGGACTGATTTTCAGGGTATAGTCGCGGTCATGTTCCTCACGTACTTGCTCAAGGCGCCGCCATGACAAATGCGCTCATAGCCTTCACCGCATTGCCATCGTGCGCGCGCAACAGCTCTGTCGCCTTTGGCTTCGTAACTTCGAGTTCGTTGACCTGTTCATGCTAATGTCAGTCCATGCGCGGCTATTTTATGGCACTCGCCTGTCACTCTCTCCGTCCATCTTTCACAAGATTGACATACCAGCAGAGTAACATCCGCGGCCTCAATCTTGACATTCTTCTTCTCGCCTTCTTTCTTGTCCTTGACATTCAATCCTTTCATCGCTTTGTCTAGTGCTTTTCCGTCAACTTCTTTCTTCGAGCCGTTGTCACCTTCTTGTGGCGCATCGAGAGTAGAGAGGGCAGCGGCGGCTTTGCGGTCTTCAGCCGTACCGGTGGGTGCGTGAGGGTCGGCAGCGCCTTCCTGAACACCAGAAGGTTGGGGCTCTGCCATTTTAGATACTGGTAGTAACGCGGTATGGGTTTGGAGATTTGAAGGAATAGGTGGTGGCCTCAAGAGCTTACACAGTCGGTAGAGATAGATGGAATGACGATTGTGGATTGGAGAGCTGCGGGATGTGGGGTAGCTAAGGATTATGGAAATATAGCCAATGGGAAAAAAGAGCGGCCGTCATTGGCTGATCTTTCTAATTCATGCATCCTACACTATGAGCGCACACACACCCCGAACACGGAACATAATGTTGCAAAAGAAAATTAGCACAAGAGCGATCGAGTAGTCGCTTTACGTCTATCAGCATATTCGAGGTAAGTCGGCCGCGTTACGTCATTGTGTATTGCGCGCGCAATCCGCTTTTCGTTGCAGATTTTGTCCCTTGAGTCATGTGCCTCTGCCCTTTGTTCACGTCTCTATGCAGGCGAATCCTTGCCGCATTGCCATATTAACAAGTGACTCGAAGCTAGTCTTTTGTGTCGCGCCTAGACAACCTTGACTTAGTCACCAAAACTGTGTATCACCTGAGAAAGCATCACACTATGGACAGCGAAGGACACGCAAAATTGACCGATTACGTCTCCCAGTTCATGGCAGCAGCCAGCGGCCAACCACAATCACAGTCATCTCAACCCACCATGAGCGCAAACTCGACACAACTGCCTGAAAGGCCAAAGCAAGAAGCTGAGGCGAACGGTGAATCTGAGGGATGGTCGCCGGCCTGTAAGAAAGCATCATGGATATTAGGGTCGATGTACTAACGAGTATAGCTTGGAGGTCAAAACCCATTAAGCAAGTCGTTACCTACGAAGACCAAGCAGCAGTGTCTTCTGCCTTGACCAAGCTATCAAGTCTTCCACCAATCGTCACCCCGACAGAAATAGCCAGACTCAAGGCTAGTCTCCGCGATGCTGCACTTGGAAAATCGTTTTTGCTGCAAGGAGGTGACTGCGCCGAGTTGTTCTCTTACTGTGCAGACAACCCAATCGATGCAAAGATCAAGCTTCTGTTGCAGATGAGTTTGGTTCTGATTTGGGGTTCGAATAAGCCTGTCATTCGTATTGGCCGCATAGCCGGACAGTATGCTAAGCCCAGATCAAGCCCAACTGAGATGCTGAACGGCAAGGAGGTTCCCAGCTTCCGTGGCGATATTCTTAACGGATATGATCCTGATTCCCGAAGAGTTGACCCCGAGAGGTTGGTCAGCGCTTACTTCCACTCTGCGACGACCCTGAACTACATTCGTGGACAGCTAGCAAGTGGCATCGCTGACTTGCATAACCCTCTGGATTGGGAACTTGGTCATGTTCGGGATGAAGAGCTGCAGTCAAAGTACACGAAGATTGTAAACAGCATCTCCGACTCACTACGGTTCATGAAGACTATCGGTGCGGATACATCCGGTCAGCTACAAACAGTCGACCTCTTCACCAGCCACGAAGGTCTTGTGCTAGAGTATGAACAGAGCTTGACAAGGAGGCTCAGACATCCCGCTGGTTACAAGCCTTCGCAACCATCAAACGATGGCAAGGGCTGGTACAACACCTCTGCTCATTTTATCTGGATTGGAGACAGAACTCGCCAGATCGATGGAGGCCATGTGGAGTACTTCCGTGGTATTGAGAACCCCATTGGTATCAAGGTTGGGCCATCCATGAAGAACGATGAGTTGGTTGAGCTACTTGACATTGTCAATCCAAACAAGGAGATCGGCAAGATTACGTTGATCACGCGTTATGGTGCGGACAAGGTTGAGTCTATGCTTGGCGCGCACATTGAGGCTGTCAAGAGCAGTGGGCACATTGTAGTGTGGCAGTGTGACCCTATGCATGGGTAAGTCGACCTTCAATTTGAGAAGCTTCAATCGCTAACACATCAACAGCAACACGCGCAGCACGCCTACTGGTATCAAGACCCGCTCTTTCAACAGCATCTTCTCCGAGCTTTCATCAGCACTCAAGATCCACAAGGAACATGGCTCATTCCTTGGTGGTATGCACCTAGAACTCACTGGCGATGCCGTCACAGAGTGCACCGGAGGAAGTGAAGGTTTGGTGGATGAGGATCTGAGTCTGAACTACACAACATACTGCGACCCCAGGTTGAACGAGAAGCAGGCGTTGGAGTTGGCTTTCTTGGTCGCAGGGCACTACCGCGCAGACGAAAAGCTTCTTTAAGCGTAGAGCGTTGTTGCCTGAGACTATCGTGGGACGATGTTGCTGAAATAAAATTACGATTCGTTGAATACTTCGCAAGCATCACCCAAAGTAGTAAACCCCTTCATGACGCGGGAGATCTCCACGACATCATCGAGTTGGTCCGAGCTTCACAAAGTCCCATACGTGCATCTTATCTTTCCCCCCGTTATCACCACGCATCTCAACATTCTGCAACAACCCCACATTCAGCATACCCCTCAATAACGATAATGGGCTCTTCGGCTTCTAAAGGCGCAAAGGCTGCTGGCTCTGCCGCACGGCAATACCCTACCAGGGCTCCTACAAGTACCACACAAAGGGCTCCCGCGCCTTCCGCACCTGCACAGGCTCCTACAAGGGGACCGACTGTGCATCCTGAGGTGCAGGCTACAGGAGAGAAGACGGAAGGTATGTGATATTACAGTCTCAGAGGATTGGCGACGCAGTACTAATTTTAGTTCTAGCTGTCTTACAAGATGCGCGCGATCCTGCCTTCGCATCTCGATTGAGCAGTCTCGGTGCTGTACAACCGAACCCACATTACTCGCCTTCCTCTCAATCGCAGTTCGATCCTCGTCGGAACACCTCGCCCAATTTGCCCTCGGATACCATGATGCAATCGCTACCACAGTCCGCGTTCCCAGACCCGCGCAACAACCCTGTACTGCGAGTACTAGAGGCAAGACAAAAGATAGCAGATCAGGCGGAAGACGAGTTGCGAGACGTAGGTAGGAGAGGTTTCCAAGGGAGAACATATGTGGATGCTGGTGTCATAACATTGGCGATGATGAGACAGGCCAAGGGAGAACCCGATTCGAGGATTGAAGACGCACTAGGAATCAAGAGGGGCAGGCTGAGTGTGTTGGGCAAAGGTACGGTGGAAGCTGTAGCCCTGGCCTGAGCAGACGATATCGAAGACGTCACGACATATCCACGAGACATCTGAAGGCGAATGCAGCGGCGTCAAACGGCCAGCGGGGATCGATTTGATCTGCAAAAGAGAGTACATGTGTACATACGAAACAAGAACGAGAGAAGATCGTGTCAACACCAAGCTCAGCCTTCCCAACCGGTGCAATGCGTTACCCTAGTCGTTACCCAAACGCCAAAACAACACCGGAGCAGATGCAAGGAAACAAAGGAAATAGCAGAATTGCGCGCGTAATCATGATTCGTCATGGTCCGCGTTCTCATGGATGAAGTTGTTCAGCGCCATCAGGGCTTCTTTCAGGCACTCTTGGTCAACCTCAAGACCATCTCGGCACATTTCGTCGTAGCCTATCCGGGCAACGCCACCACTGGCGCCCATGCGAGATCGTTTCTGGTTCCATTTGCGAGCGACTTCCCATCGCTTACGGGTTTGTGTAAAGGGCGGGCACGTATCGGCGATTTCCCTACTCTCGCGCAGGATTGTGAGAGCGTTAAGGACGTTTAGGAATATGCTACACCCGCGATAGTCAGTTCCTATTCCAATTCAACGCAAGCAGTGTTTGTCGAATGACATACCCTTGTGTAAGCTCCAAGTCATGATCCCACCCATACGCCACAGTACTGAAGCTGTTCCCTTGCGCCACGATATCCAAGAAGATGAAGAGCGATTCTTCCACACTTATGTCCGGAGTAATTTGTGATGCGACGTTTGCCAGGATCCAGTCTGAGAGTTCAAAGAAGGTCTTCTGATCCATGTGCGCGAAGCCTACGAAGCGCTCCGGGACGGTGAACATGAGCGACATGGCTCGTCGCGCGCCCATGGCCTCTATGCAATCCATTTCGCCGAGAAGATGTGTAAGACGTGAGATAAGACCGAGAGGTTGATCGAAAAGTGGGTGTGGTGATGTGCTAGTAGCGTGCCCAGATGGTGGATGGGCGTGGTGTTGGAAAGCGGAGTCGGAAGACGTCAGGTGAGAATGAGGAGTAAGACTGGATGAATGATGAACAGATCCAGCTGCATGCGTGTTGCGGATATCGGCAATAGTACTGTCTAAAGCGACTTCCCAATTTCAACAACAAATCCGTCGAGTTAATTTTTCCGAATGTTTAAACAAGAAGCGAAAGGACAGTCTAGACGCCTAAAAATGACAAGGTGAGGTTTGGAGCGGGTTCCCACGTTTCCAAGCTTTGTTACGCAAGCTGAAGGGCAAGTGAAGCGCGCCATCATTTGCGCCCATTCACATAGTGGGGCCGTTGTCCGTGTTGCTGCACCGCACGACACTCACTGACGGTCTCTGGCATGTGAAAGTCGTGCACGCTCCAGGCGCATATGACATCAGTATCCAATCAGACTGGTGGATCCAGACCTCGTTGCGGCATGCGCGACGCCGGAGATTGATTGTCCCCTTTGTCTTACTTCTTTGTCCTGAGACTATCGAATACAACAGAGTCGAGCGACATCTCCTATCCTCCCACAGCCTGCCCCCTAAGAGGGCAAAGGAACACGCGCCGAACTGCCTACCACACGCAGCTTGACATTGCGGCGTGGACGCGAGGATTGGCCGAGACCAAACCGTCGCTTTGTGTCCCTCTAGTGAGCAAGTGGGTGGAGCTAACTGCGGAGCTAAGAGGCTAAATGTAGCAGGTGGGTTTGGTCTCGGGTCAGCTTGGCGCATCACGGGTATTTTCCAGGTTCGGCTTCGAATGGGCATCGAGGCTAAAGGGTAAAAAGCAATGACTCTGCTGGAGAGTCTTTGGTAGATGAGGGAAACATGATTCCTTTATGACGATATCGGTTGAGGTTCCATACGGTTTGTGGTGCAGCCAGAACAGGATAAGCTGCTAAGCTTCTCAAGCTAGATTGGGTGGAGGCTCACGTGACGATCATCAGTTGCCTTTACCCGCCTCACAATAGCGAGATGAACGAGAACGAGATAAGTCATATTCTCAAAAAACTGTATCTCCGTCTCAAGTCCTGCGAGATGCATCGCGCCCGGGACACCACGTCGCTTTCCACGCGTTCCTGTTACATCTATCTTGAGCATCTCACTAGTAAGTTTCCCATCCCCACTCTAAACCTTAATGCTCCGCCGCATCGATTCCATCGGAAGAACTGCAAGCCATGCCACCATGCGTCCAAACCAAAAACCAAACCTCATCTAAGTTACCCAACCCCTAAATGCTTGTCTCAACAGTCAGGCATGCACAATTACGCAGTATCAGGTTTGTCAACGACTTCTTATCATTGCGCGCACACTGAGGTTGTCATCCGATCAAGGCACGCGCGCGGATGTCACCCCTCCCCTCCCGCTACCCAAGCGTTCAATAGTCGCAACGCTTAACATTATATCGTTTCTCCGCACCGCGTACACAGGCGATGCGTGCGGCAACCTTATCATAAGCCGATGGCCTGGCTTAACGCTTCTCCGGGTCGCGTCCCGAGATGTTGGTACGACGGCTGGTCTGGACGTTCTAGGACTAAACTTTGGTAAGCAGTGAAGACAAATGTAGCTTTGACGTTGCGGAAGCGCAAGAACCTTTCGAAGCACCATATACCGTGACACTGGTGTAGCTTAGGAAGTAGCAAAAAACAGTAGTCGATCAAGCTCGATCTGGGTTTGTGTGATAAGCGGATATGTAATGCATTCACCATAGCATCACGATTTGTTGCATCGCCAGAATGATTGGTGCTTCAGTTGTGACATCGTCATGAATTGGGACAGGTTAGGGTATTGTCGACAGAATAATCGCTACAAGCATGACAGCAGGTCTTCAAACCACGTCCACCCTTTCATCTCCGTGTGTGCTCCCATCACCGGCATAGAGGTCTTACTCATCATCACTGTTAGTAATGATATGTCGCTTTCTCTTTCTGCCAGCACCCGGTCGTGCACCGCCCATCTTCGCTTTCGTCTTCTTGTCCTTCACCGCAATCACCGGCGCCAAGTCTGAAATCCTCTTCCGTGGTCTGCCAGGCCCACGACGAGTTCTCGTTGCCACACTCCTGTCTGGCACAACCGCCTGCTCATCATCAGAGGCCGGCTCAGTTACATCTTCCTCTTCGTCATCCTCTTGCGTAGTCAAGACATATTCGTCGTTATCTTCTTCAGTGTCCTGAACATACTGACTAGTCTGAGTACTCTGCGACTCAATGACGGCGGGGATGTCGGGGTCACTTGCTTCTACTTCCGCATCTACGCCAGTGTCTGTGTCTGTGTATGTGGAGTCATTCCTGCCGAGTGCTTCACGCATGGATTTCTTCGCTATCTTGCGTCCAGGTTCACCGGTCGCTGCCTTCCGTGCTTTGAGTGTTCCAGAATGCCTTTTCGTAGCAGTCTGCGCATCACTGGATTCTAGCATGGCTTGGGCCGCTGCGCGCTTAGCAGCTTTAGCTTCTCTGGCCTTTGCTGTGGCGGCTAGGACACGTGAGCGATCCTCGATGGGCTGACTGCTGGTAAGTGACTGCCTCTTCTTCGTTCTTTGTTTGGTTTGCTTGACTGCGACGGCCTTAGCATTCGGCTGTTTGAACTGCGCAGTCTTCTCCTTGGGATAATTATAGTTGAAGTAGAGCTCGGTGCCTGCCTTTATATCTCTGGTCGCAAACAGAGCAATGCGGAAAACTGTGTTGCAGAGCAGGTTCTTAGGGCTACAATTCGTGTACTTATCGTCGGCATTGTTGATAAAGCGTAGCTTGTTTCCCATATACGTGGCATCAACTTCTTGTTCTAAGTCATTGAGTCAGCAATCTGGTACAGATTAGTGTGATTTGAAGACTCACTTGAGTTCAATCGAAACAGGTACATCGTTTTCTGGTAGTCGTATATGGTAACTCGCCGATCGCCTTCCTTGACCGAGATAGCTTCACCGGTATATTCGCCAATGTAATCGCCGCTTTTGATGTCTTCGCCCATGTAGAGTCCAAAACCGTGCACTTCAGAGTGGCCCAGCAACGTCTTCCGAGGAACACCTCTTTGGATCGCAACATTGCAACAGTTGCGTTCAATCACGTCGTCGTTGTATCGGTTCACTGGATCGAGGACTTCAGACGCTCCGCAAGCGCCGCAAAGGTCTGCATCGCACTCTCGGTTAAATTTGGCGCAGAGGCACGAGATGGTAAAACATGGGCGTTTTCCAGGTCCTATCGTGCAACTGCAACCAGGGAAGCGTCGATTGCATGTCCGCGAACATTTGCACGTCTTCTCACAATTGATGCCCTCCCGGAAGCACCGGCATTTCGCATCCTCACAAGTGCCTTCGTGTTTACATGGGAAGAACGGCTTTCGCTTTTCCCAATGCTGTGTCATATCTTGCTGTAGCCACCAGTTTGCATTGAATTTACCGGGAGGCGGTTTTGCGCCCTTAGATGCAATCATTTCGGAATTCGGACAAGTATTAAAGGCGTCTGGGTTTGCAGGCAACTTGTAGTTGATGACCCTCTCGATATCAGAATCGTTGTCAAAGTGTGCAGGCAAGGGGCCTTCTTCGTGCTCGTCTTCAGTATCATCTCCGCCGTAAGCCGAAATGCGGCGGGGAGTTCTTTTGGTCTCAGAGCCTCGTCGACTAGTGTCGTCAGTCGCTTGTGTGGCGCGATCCTCATCCTCAGAATCCGTTTTCCAGGAGTCTTCGGGTGCTTGTCTGATTTCGCCATGGAGTAAGCAGTTATGTCTGTCAAGAATGTTAGAATTGCGTCTCCAAAGATCACACAATCAAACTCACTGATGGCAAACTCTACACAACATCTCCTTATAAGTGGATTGCCTGGCAGCTTGTCCACATGCAGTCTTCTTCGCTACGTGATTCTGAACGGCTTCCGATTGTCGAGCAAGGTACCAGATGCTAAACTCGCATTCTTGAAGAACCGCTGCACAAGCCGTTGCCGCAAGTCTCAGAGCACTGGTAGAAGGCTCTTTGAGCTGGGGCAAAAACTCCCGCCATTTCCTGTCATTCCGTTTGAACAGTACGTTTCTCTTTGGTACTCCATCTCGCTCGAACTCTTCAATGTCGTACCGCGATCGCTCAAGCACATGTGCTTCAAAGTGTTTACTGCCAGGTGCTAAATCGTTGATCCGGGTGATATTTCGTTCTGGTGCTAGCAACCAATACAAAATGTCATTCCACGCGATGCCTATCTCGGACAGGAAAACTTCTATAGCGTCTTTATAGAACCGACACTGTTCCTTGCGAAAGTCCAACGGGCCGTTTTCGTCATGTGTCATCTCGTAGATATATGGAAGCGTATCTAACAAGATCTCGCGACCAGTATAGTCCTCGTCCTGAAAGTAGGGTGTTGCGAGCAGCTTTGACTCATTGTCCGCGAGAATGTTGTTCCTCAAACTAACGTACTCCTTAAAGGGAGGGATCATAGGTGCGTCGCTTTTGTATTTTGTTGGAGACGCAGCCAAACCGGATTTAGTTACTGTGTCTTTGGGTTTGGCTTTGACGTAAACTTCTTGACTCATATCTAACATACGTTTCGTGTTGGCGCTCCGGTCGAACGGTACCTGTATCGGAGACATGTTCTGGAAAGGAGAGGTGGTCTGTATGTATCTCTGTGGTAAGGTTGATTTTGGTGGACGCTTCTGCTTGCGGCTTCGAGCGCGAAGCTCCTGCTCTTGGAAAGTCCTTTGACGCAACATCTTAACCGAGACCAGGTATGCGTGTTCTTCATGTCGTTCCGCGAGATGACGCTTCAAACACTCTTCTACAGCCGAGCGAGTAGTGATAAGCACGTTTGTCTGCAACGGAAGAGCCGTGCTTGCTTGACCGTCACTACGTCCGCCAAGCACCCCCGTGTTTTTGGGCTGTGCTTCACCACTCTGAATCACTTCGAACGATGCTGGGTTGGATGTGTTTGCTGGCATAGTATCTGAACCCGGCGGCAATGCTCCAGACGCTTCGCCTGGCTCTACAGATCCCTGAACTGAACGCTGTACAGTGGGGGTAGCGGTACGAGACAGCGGAAGGGCAGTGCTAAGGGCACGCTCTGGTACAGCTTCTCGTGTTTCCTGATGAGATAGTAATGTCAGTGGGTTTAGAATTAAGTTGCGTTCTTCGGGTCTCTCAGTTTGAATAGATTCTTGCTCAACATAAACAGGATCGGTGTCGAAGAGAATGTTAATGTCACCTGGTGGATCCTTGCTCTGGCTTCGACGCGTTATAAGAGGCGACGCGAGTTTCGTACCGCTCAAGCCTGCATCAGGACGATCTGAGAGAACCTCTGGCGTCTCTTTCTCATTACCCGGAAGGTGATGCGGTAACCTGACAGGGAGACTTGGTTTGGAGAATCCATCATTCCTCCGTTTCACTGATTTGATGGCTTTCTTGTTCCGCCGTGGCAGTTTCTGAATTGCTGACACGCTCGGGCTGGGTGCTTGCGCAGTCACTGGAATTGCCATATTGTTGTCGTCGCCATCCAGTCCTGCGTGGTCGCGCCCAGAAGCCGTGTTTACGCGATTAGGGAGGAGGGTCCGTTCACGGTGATTATCGGCAACATCCCTGATTGGCTCCATGGGTAGAGGTTCAACATGGCTCAAAACGGGCGCAATCGCGTCACTCGAAGCAGCGAGGGCTGAATTCGTGCTGTACGCAGGCTCAATGACACGTCTGTTGGTTTCCGCGATTGCACGTGCCGTAGCGCTTGGATCTGACCTCGCTTTCAGTATGTTCAACGGCCAGGAAAGAGGTTGTGCAGCCCCAGAGAGTACCACGCTTGGTTCCGGTAGCTTTGTGACTGGCGGTTGGGGCCCATATGGTGAGCGATACACTGGGGTAGCTAAATATGAGGATTCCATAAGAAAAGGTTGGTCCAGACCGGTTTGTTGAACAGGCCCAGGGGGCTTGGCTCGCTGGGGGAGCACAGCTTCGTGATGCGTATTAGATTGCGATATCGGCTTTTGTGTTGTATCAGCCGGAAGTTGATCATCTCTAGTACTTGCTTCGTGTTGCGTTATCCCTCCTAATGCTGCCGCTTCTTCGTTGATTACAAGGTCAGCAACGCCGGCAGGCTCTGCAGGCGACGTCTTTTCCCTCGCTTGTTTTGCAAGATTGCTATCTCTTGTATTGCCATCTCTCTCAGACATGTCGTTGCCCAGATTCCTCACATTCCTTTGTTTTGCTTGTCTCTTCGCGGCAGCTAGCTTCCATTCAGCTGCAGCTTCCCGTGCATGGGATACCTCTTCAATGCCATCTTGTTCAAGTGTCTGACGATTCCGCCGCCGTACTGTAGTACGAGGTACATAGCTAGACGGTTCATCGTCATCCAAGACGATGGGAGCGTCAAGAGACCCGTTGGGTCTCATCGTTGAAGACGCAGATGCGAATTTGCAAGCGCGAGCGGGCAACTCCGTGCTTTATCAATACTGTCATGAGAGTCGGTAATAGAGACGAAAGAGATCGTGGTCATGCTGCAGTTTGTATAATGCAACTTGAAGCGAGTGGGGTTGTTGTGGCGGATTTGAAGTCTGACGGAGTGAAGCCGACGGCAGTCGCGCTAAATCTACGGTTACGCGTCGGCACGTGGCTTCTATTACCCCTGCGTTCATGAAGACGGCAGCGGCGGTTGTGTAACCTCCACTAACGCAACTCTTGAGTTAGACGTACACTCGAGATACAGTCAACTGTTGATTCAAATAGGACAAGCAGCATAACACGTTAGTGCGACAGTAATTATGTATTGCATTTGCAAGGGGCTCCTCCTTCCTTGAATCCTCCCAGCTGCCCAACGAAACTATCAGATCGCAGATACATGATCTATCACAAAACAGCCCAGTCTGTCCTCCGAGCATCTGAGGTTGAGCGGGCTTCCAACGCTCCTTCATAGCGACCGATGTACGCACACCCAGCTTTGGGAGTGCGGCATGATTATGTCCAACCAAGTACGTAATAATTACAGCGGCAGGCAGTTAAAACGCCATTCCAATGAAAATAATAGCTTCAAGCGTGTCACGCGAACTAGCTTTTAGACCTCTTAGATCCCAAAGCTCATCACTGACCCATCAACCCGTTCGATTCTAGCCAAGGAAGTTCTGCTGTTGTTGCTGACCAGGTCGTGGGAAGACACTTGTTGTAGGTACTGCGTCCAAGCTCATCCCGCCCATTGTACCTTGTGAACCTGCATTTTGCCAGCCTTGACCTGTTTGCTGGTTGACGAAAGCGCTCTGTCGGAAGGGATTGGTACTGCCCGTCGCATGCACTGTCAAACCACCCTGTGAAGGTGCGGCACTTTGTGGAGAAGGCTGCCGTGCAAATGGGTTCGTGCCTGTAGGCGTTGGTTGTAACGGCTGCATGGGTTGCTGTTGCTGCATCGAAGTAAATGGTGATTCTTGGATGGGTGACATTGAGTAAGGCGGAGAGTTAACGGGGGATTGCGATTGTGGTGAAAACCCAGTGTTGTGTTTTGCAAACGGATTCGTGGATGAACGGTTGAGCGAACCTGTGCTGGTAGGGCTGGTAAGCATCTTGGGCTCGGCACTAGGTAACATCGACTGTCGAAATGGATTTGTTGATGTTTGTTGTGGCTGCAGAGGTTCGGCAATTGTGGGAATCTGCATCTGCTGCTGTTGTGAGTAATCAGGCATACCACCTTGTGGTATTGATGGCATGGTGTTCTGCACGCCAAAAGGCTGCGGGGAATAGCCTCCGAAGCCCGCGCCTGTAAATTGTTGTTGGATCTGAGGTGCCTGCATCTGCGGCGCCTGTGGTTGCTGTTGCATCTGAAATGGGTTGGTACTCTGCCCGTTCTGCATCGGAAAGGGCTGCTGCTGTTGGGGAAAGCCCATATTCGCAGTCTGCTGTGGAACTTGGAAGCCTGTTTGTTGGGGGTACTGCTGCATCATCGGTTGCGTGGCCATGGTCTGTTGGTTGTCCTCGAGTGATGCAAAGAGATCAATTAGAGGTGCGCTAGATGAAGGTTTCGCCGGCGCCGCTGGTGGTTGACTGCTAGTAGTATTCGAGGATGCAGCTACGGGCTTCGAATCGATGGGTTTGCTGGCGCCATTGGTAGGCTTACCACCATTCTTCTTGGCTTCCTTCTCGGCGATGTACTGCCGTCGGTTGATCTCGAAGTCCTTATCGTTTAGATATTCTTCTAAGGATGCTGCTAGACTGGTAGGAGCATGCTTGATCTTGGGGATCTCCAGTCTTGTCGAGTGTTCGTGCGCTCTTGCAAGGCTGAGGTATTGAACAACAGCTTCAGTCTGCTTGACGAATGTGCGATATACTGCCAGGGCACGCGTTGCATCCGGTTTGGATAGTTCAAAATAGTGTTCTGTCTAATTAGTACACTGCAACCCAAGTACGTATGCTGAACCCACCGAGAATGTTGATAGTGCCCTCGTTCATAACGTGGAAGAGCACCAATAAATCCATCGTGAGCAGTCGGAACGCTGTCATGGTAATCTCGTTTTCTGGTTCGTCGTCGAATGGCTATACAAAGTCAAACCAGCAAGGGATGTGGTTGGACATGGCTGCACATACCTGACACTTGAGCAATGATCTGATCTGATCCTGCACACTCTCTGCCTCACGAAGAAGGCCTTTTTCTACAGTGAGCCGCTTAAGCCGCCCCTCGCCGCCGCGCACGTAGTCGACTTTGGTGGCGCCATATTCGATCGCTCGACGTAGCAGGTATTCGGAGTAGGTCCGGATGTTATGTCCCTGGGTCTGTACTATCGCACGCAATGTTAGCACTTTGTATACGCTTTTAGTCGCAAGCCAAACCACATCCGCCCAAACTCACAGGACATTGGGCGGCGTGCTTGCTGCCCAATTCGTGTCCGCGATAGAGGTGCATGAGCCTGGACACGTGTGCTTGGGACGAAATCTCAAGACATACCCTCTGTAAAATGGTTGATGGCCAGCTTTCTGTGCGGGTTTTGCGCCAGAAACTTGAGCGTAACCTCGGGCTCTCCCTCTCTTATCATGAGATGTACAATGATCAAGCTCTTGAATACGATGGTCCATGTCGAGTCGCGCAATCGGTTCGTAAGGGCGCGGAAGATCTCAGCGACACCAGCTTCGCCGGCATGCGTCGCGACGAGGATGTGTTCGACATACTTGGATTTGGGTGCTGCGAGCTGCGAGACTTGTCAGTTTGCTGTGACGGCGCAACGAGTGCCAATGACGTGAACGGGAGGAGGGTGGGCAGGCGCATAGCTACCTTGATCTTGGTGCCACCCTTGACACTCTTCTCAAAGGAGCTGGCCATGAGTTGCTATGGATACTGTCGCTCAGACAGATCGCTGCCCGGTTGGGCCGCTGGCTGTGTGTTGCCGTTGGTGTTACCGTGGGTTGCGGGTGTCCTGGCTATGTGTCGCAATGGAGAGCTCGGGTGTTCCTAGGACAGCATTACGGCGCGGGTGGAAGGATAGGAGACGTCGCGTTATCAATAGAAGTGAGGTTAGACCCGTGGATGTCAAGGCCCGAGGAGCATGTCCGTTATTAGAGTGGACCGGGGTAGGGTGAGTGAAGCAGGGCGCATGGTGGAGCTTGCGCTTGCGTCGGTCCTGCTGCGAACGATGGATCGGCGGAGGAGCGTCATCGTGTCCCGCCCACGCTCCCCCTCGCAAACACTGAAACTTTGCAAAACACCACCAAGCCATTCACCATGTCTGCCTCGCCACCCCCCGAGGAGAAGAACAAGGCCGACGCCGAGGCGCGCGCAAAGGAGCTGGCCGAGCAGGCGGCGCTGCCCTACAAATGGGACCAGACCATCAAGGACCTCGACATTACAATCACCATTGATGCCAAGTACAAGGGAAAGGACCTGGTCGTCGACATCGGCCGCAACAAGCTCAAGGCCGGCATCAAGGGCCAGGAGCCCTTCATTGACGTTCGTCGCTTCCTGTCCTGTCTGCAGATAGCCTGCGCTGACTAACGCCTTCTCCAGGGCGAGCTGCCTCATCCCATCCGCGTCGACGACTCCACCTGGACACTGGCCTCGGTCGGGTCGCAGAAGGAAATCTCTATCCACCTCGACAAGGTGAACCAGCTCGAGTGGTGGGCACACGTAGTCACAACCGCGCCAAAGATCGACACGTCCAAGATCCAGCCCGAGAACAGCAAACTAGGCGACCTCGACGGAGAGACACGGGGTATGGTAGAGAAGATGATGTTTGACCAGAGGCAGAAGGAGGCAGGAAAGCCGACAAGTGACGAGCAGAAGAAGGCGGATATCTTGGAGCAGTTCAAGAAGCAGCATCCTGAGATGGATTTCTCCAATGCGAAGATGGGTTGATGAGGCGACGGTACATGAGGTACGCCGCTACAGAAAAGCAAAGGGAAATAGACTCCGGAGCTGAAAGCCTATACACGAAAGAAGAGGATGGCGCAAGCGACTCTTCAGCGGATCTGGAGATCGCATCGTCAACCAGATTGGCGAAAGAAGATACCAGATGGTTTGCACCGACTTTAGCTCCGTCGATGTGACTAATCAAAGCTTCGTTGTGTTTACTTCTGAAGGTATGCACCGTGTTATTCTTCGTCAACACATGAATGTAGAACACTACGAGTGGCGATGGGCAGAAGGAAGTACCAAGACTGGTACCGTCAAGTTGATATTATAGCGTGCAGGAAACAGGGAGCATCTGATCGTTTGAGAGGCCAAACAACAGTTTTCCCCCTGTCAAGAAGGAGCGAGCTTTTCTCAGGCTGTACCTAGCACTTGTTCATCACGCCTTCCCAAACATTACTGCCAAGCCCCACATGTCAACGATATTACGCCTCTCAAACGTACGCTCATCGCATCGTTGCAAACTGTCCGTCACTAGCATTTCACAAATTTTTCATGTTCCTACCCAAGAATTGGAAGGGACAAGGGGACAGGAAACATGAGTCTCGCACATGAACAGGAACGACAGAAGAGCATGGCTGGAAGACAAGAACGTAGCTCTAGCGTGCCATTGCCACGAGTCACAGCATAGCCATCACAAGTCCCATGCTCCCACGATAGGCATGTTACATCTTTTCAAAATTGTTCAGAGAAGAGTGTTCGTGCTATCGATTCAAACCAGTGTTTCATCATATATTTCCTCTCTCCCTACTCCCCTCATCATCCTTCCCATCGATAACCGGCGCCTCAACGACAAGCAACTCCTCTCCCATGCCAAAAGGCTGCAGGTTCTGATTCTGACTCGCCCGCCTCTGATGCGCACTAAGATTCAAGCTTGGTTGTCTCTGTCTGCGTTTCGGTAACGGTGGAGGCGGCGTTGCTAGTTCGTTACTAGCAGCACTGCTCTTCCTTCTGCGCATCTCACGGAAGACATCCTCCCCATCGTTTTCTTCTCCAGCATTGTTACCACCGCCAGTCCTAGCGTCCTGGTCTGGGAAATGCGCGGCTGGTAGGAGGGAGGCCGTACCCAAGGAAGCTGTACCTAGCGGTGTTTTGGGGCTATCAATGAAGTCCTCCACTGATCTCTTGCTGGAAACGACAGGCGAGTTGGTAGTAGGGGCGACGGGTTTCCGTTTTGTGAGATTAGCAAATGTGTTTGAGGCAGCGGCGGGGATGGCCCAGGTCTGTCTCTTCTCGTTTTTAGGGTGCGGGAGAGGTGTGCCCGGGGGTGGGAGGGGTTGGCCTCTGCCCATGGGTTCTGTGTGGGATTTGGAGATCGAGGGGTTTGACTGAAGTTGCGGACGGGCATCCAAAGACGACGACGACGAGTCATGATCTGGGTTTGGGCCTTCAGATGTCGGTGGTCTATTATTGGTATTGGCGTTGGGCTTGGTGTTCTGCTTGGCTGCGAGCCAGTTCCTGGCCGCTGCTGTGGCGGAGTTGAGGGACTGATTGATCGTTTGTTTCTTCGTCGCCATATTGTTTGCTCCTGCTGCTGCGGCGGCGGCTGCAGCGATCTCTTGTGCGGTTAGCTCTTTCGACCTGGTTCGCGAATGCTCTGTGGTTGGGACCGGTGCAGATGCAGTGCTTTCTGCATATATTGATGCAGCAGAAGTGTCCTCTAAGGAACTCTCTGATGACTCCGTTGTCTTGCGCGCGCTCTTGGGTCGTACGGGCGACTTCGTAGGCGATGTGACAGGAAGTGATTTTACACTTGTCGGTGTCATGGTGCGGTCATGTGCAATCTCAGCAGAAGCATTCGACGAGTCAATTTTCACCTGAGCGACAGACGATGAGGACCGCATCGCCCGCGGTCTCACTGACGAAGATGAAGACTTGTGATCCGTCGAGGAAGATATACCAGTGCCAACCTCTTCCGAGTCAACGCTTGATGCAATAGAGAAGTGCGCACTTGCCAAGTCGGCCTTTTCATCAAGCTTCTCAGCATCCGAAATCGCGGTCTCAAGTGTGGCTTCATCCTGCTTGATCTTGTCTGTATCTTCCTCGTCATCCTTTGCACTGTCTTCCCAGATACCGCCTCTTATGATCTGCGCGATAGTATCGGTAAACGGCATGTCATCCCAATTAGGCAACACCAACGTCTCGTTCACCACTTCTCGTATGCGACCCTCGATAGCCCTGAGAACAACGCCATATGTAATCTGACGCGAACTCACGATTGGCTCAAGCGAGAACTCCATCTTAGGCGGTGTCTCAAACGTCATCCAGAGTCTGTTACTAGGTGGAGGTTTCACTCTGATGAGAATATGACCATCAAGCCTCTTTAACACAGTAGCCAACACGAGTGTCACCTCGCGAGCTTTGAATCGAGTCCCCAGATCGATCCGAACGGTAGCTGAAATTTCAATGCGGAAGTTTCCTTTGTAGCTAACATCTGCCTCCACAACAAGATCACCATCGACAGTCAGCTCTTTGAGCTTGGGATTCGTGATAAAAGGCGGGAGGGTGCCCATGTCGACCTTGCGTAGCTGTACACTGCTAATAATAGCCGGCTTCGGGACGCGCGCGATCTTCTTGTTGATCTTACTCGCGATAAAGTCTTTGACTTGCGAGGTCTTGTATAGAGCCAGGAACACTCTGCCAATCAGCGCATTGATCCAGCGAGTATGGAGGTTCTCTTCCGAGGCATGCAACTGCTGCACTAGCTTGACAAGATCGGGTGTGTCGAATTTGAGTGGAACAAAGGGATGGTCTGTATCCGTGGGGTCTTTCTGATTTTCCTGAGCGTTTAGCATTGCGTGGTAAAAGTCTTCCTTCTCAGAGCAGTTGTCAGAGAACAAATAGAAGCCTTTCGCCGCGTCCGTGCCGTTATTGTCCAGCTGCCGGATTAGTCGAATGCCTGGATATATCAGTATTACAGAATCATAGATCCTAGTGTAAAGGCATACAGTTTCGCTTGATCCATAGCTCGCCCTCTGGTATGCGCTCTCCACCTCCATATATATCTACTTTGTAATGCGCAAGCGATATGACGTGTCGTACTTCAAGCTGATCCTCGTTATCGTATAGCATCAGGTGTCCAAGGCTGCTCTACATTAGTCCGATTTCCCGTGTTTGGGATGCATAAACATACCGTAAGACAACATAGAAGACGTTGCGGGCCTTTTTGTTCTTTGCATTCGTTGCTTCTATCGAAGGACTCGTGGTCTTGTTTCTGTCAAATATGCCTCTGTATATGGATTGATATACGCTTGGGCTTTCCACGGCTACTACAGCCCCGGCTGGCGTTGTTCGATCTGGGGGTTTGCCATTGACACCCCCTGGCACGTACTCTCGGCATACTGCGAAGTATCCAGCACATGCGTCCGGCTCGTGAGTCCTGCCCTTTAGCTTCTCCAGTATCTCATCATCTATGCCCACACCCAGATGCACGTTATCGCTGTCCTTCCCGTGTGTGGATCCATTCGACTTCCTACGTTGTCCTGAAGCTGTCCCGTCCTGTGTATTGGCGGTGATGCTTTCCTGTCCAACAGGGCTGGTTCCCAGATACCAGACGGCCACAAGTACAGCGGGCAGAAGGGTCAGCCCTCCCACGAGGTAGCCCCATACGAATATCTTGAATACGGCTCCATACCCCCAGTCCCCGCTCATCTTGGGTTATGTCTTATGCTGTATTGTGGACCATCCCTCGCCATATATAAGTTCGCGAGGGCTTTCGTTCGTTCGTGGATAGAAGGCGGTTTCGTGTATGTGTTGGAATGTAGGTCGAGAGGTATTCGGCTAACACGGCGCGTCGAGACAGGCAGGGGAGCGAATGACGTTGGCGGCTATAGAAGGAATGCAGGGGCCCGTTCGTGTACGTTGCGCGAATGTCTAGTCAGAGGACTCAGGCAATAAGGCAATAAGGTGTTCACAAAGACTAGTAACCTCGGACTTGGCTCGCAGTGAAAGCAGTCATTCGACGCGAGCTAGAGCTATGGTATGAGCGGGGCCGGAGTTAACGCTCCACGTGTGAGGATGCAGGTCGTTGATCGGCGCTAAGATAATGTCCCGCGCTGCTATCGCTATGACGGCATCTTCGACATTTCACCAGCACGTTTTTGGCAGGGACCAGTACACTCGAAGTCGACATCCCGAAAATCCTGAGATTGTGCTAGTATAACAAGTTCGCTAAAAGTAAGTGAATCCTATACACAGCTCGGTATCTATGGCGCGGCAGAAGTCAACCGGCAATGGTGGGGGTTGTATCTTCCTGCTCTACCTAGGTATATTGTAGCGCATTGATATAGATTCTGAAAGGGTACAAGCTAATCATCCTACAACACCTAGGCATATAGCGCCGGTCTCTCACCAACATGGCAACCACAGAATCTCAATCTTACAATCCGGACATACCGTCAGACCCTGTGACCAAGACCACAGACACCATCCATGTCGAACTCACTCCGCACGATCTAGACTCCTTGTCAGCAACAAGATTTGTCCGCTCTCCATCCGCAGGCGCAACCGTCCTGTTCATAGGCACGACTCGCGACTCTTTTAACAACGAGCCTGTTTCATCTTTGGCCTACACTTCTTACGCTCCCCTTGCCATCAACACACTCTTTAAAATCGCTACATCAATCCTCACAAAACATTCATGCACTAAGATCGCCATCATTCATAAGTTGGGTGAATGTCCAATTGGCGAGGAGAGCATTGTCATTGCAGTATCGTCACCGCACCGCCAGGCGGCATGGAGAGCTGGTGAGGAAGCATTGGAGGAGACGAAGGATAAAGCTGAAATCTGGAAGCTCGAGAGGTTTGAGGGGGGTGAGGGTGTTTGGAGAGCGAATAGAGACGGGCAAAAAGGTGTCAAGGTGGAAGATGGAAAGCCTTCATGATGAAGAGAACGTTAAGTCGGATGCCATCCCCAAATAGACTCTTGAAACCTGGAAATATGCCGATTGCTGAACTTTTATGGATCATCCTGTGATACTACCTGCCAAGTGGGCGACATCCGTTGGGTGGGTGGTAAGATATACAACAAGTCGCGCTGAGCAATCAACCTTAAAATGGTGCGTTAAGGTGATGGGTTTTCAGCCCCAGGATGATGAAGCTTAGTGAAAGAGTAAGCCATGTAAGCTTATGGTGCACGATTACAATGGAAAAGCACTTGTTTGAGCCAGTGTTCCTATCTTTGCGCTGACGACATAAGTCGTGGACATGAGCACAAATGTATTCACTCGTCATGTTGATCGAGTACGGAGCTACTTGAACACGTGAACTTGCATGTGTGCAGCATGCAGCTGTTCCAATCTTGTACTAGAAGAAAGCTATTCGTAGACCATTGTGTACCAGGGTTATGGCTCTAGGCACCAATGTGATGTCAAAACAAGCAGCAGTCAAGTAGCACAAATTCCAAAGCCTCGCGAAAATCGCCCATCAAAACCCGCTTTAGCCGAGACATGGCTGAGTGACTGGATGTTGGAAGTGAGACATCCCTCATCGATGTCACATTCAGCCAATACTGTGAGACATGTCTGTGTACCCCTCCTATTGAGCTCTGGACCGACCCGAAAGCAATTCGGAGTCGTTGAACGCCCATCTCCCAAGCGATTAACCGGGTATCTTTCATATAGCTGGATCGAAGGATGGCGCGTTCATCCTCCACATTCCAGCGCGGCAGTCTGCATGTGACGCATTAACACCAACAGCCTATATGATCTACGACACGTTGATATTACAGAAAAATCTCGACTTGGCATGAGGCGGAGTAGTTCATTAGGCTTGGGATGCTGTGCCTTGGGTGCGAATGCTCATCCGATGAGGCGTTGAGAGATTACCGCAGCTGTGTTACCATGCGCGGCTGGTAGTGCCCTCAGCCTTTTCATTGCATACACTATTCTTACAATCGTACTCGTACACGTCTACAGTCGTTATTGGTTCTTCTTAGAATCATCCTTCTCGTCCTCCTCTATTATTCGCATCTGACCGGAGGCTATTATCATCTCACTGATGCTATTTGGTACATCATCTTCAGATTCGTAGATTCGGTCGTAATTCAAGCGGCTCCGTAGAACTGCCCGAGCTTCTCTCAGGTTGGCAATATCAAAGGTCCACATTGCACCACCTAGTGCCATAATTCCGACGCTGGCACAGTTCATCGTTGCCAGGTTCAGAGCCTGACAGGCATCTGAGAAGGGACTAAAGTATTCGTGCGGGTTCGTGTTCGCTTCATAAAACTTTGGCATAACACGAAGCTGCCGTCTCCATACAGCCTTCCGCGTTATTGCAGTTGATGCCAGTAGGCAGGCGCTCCCAAGGAAGTATATCGAAAGTTGGCGTAACGATCGTGGAGATGTGACAGGTGTGCCTTCGTACGCGCGTTCAGCCGCCCGTGCAGGCGGTTTGGCCGGCGCAGCTGCTGGTTGGCTCATCGTTCTCGAGATCGGAGTCTTCTGGAGAGTTCACGTCAACTACTACAGTCGTGCTGCAAGTAATCTGGGGCGATCTATCGTGTGACTGCAGGACTAGCGTCGCATATCGAATTCGTTGCGGACCCCCGAGCGTGTCTCTGCTGACGAAGAGCTAGAATTTGCGCTTGCCGATCGTCGTACAATCGAGGTGGTATGGCGAAGATACCCGGAACGGTTGAGTTGTTAGCCAGAGAGGTGGGGTCGTGAAGCAATGGCAGAGGCGATGTGTTCGCCAGCGGGCATCACAAAAAAGTTGTGATGGAAGCCGCGGTCGGTGGGTCTCGGGCCGTGCGCCCAGAAACCCCACAATGGCTGGACCCTCGTCGTGCATCACAACATCTCCCTGCCATCTACAAACAAGCTCTCATCTGCACAACGCACTCAATCCGACGCGTAGATTGCTAGCTGTCGAACAACAACGTCGATCGAGAATTCGGAATTGCTCCAGCCGCACGTGCATCGTACCACGCATCATTCCCCACAATGAATCTGGATGACAAGACGACTCGATGTTGAACTGCAGCGCTGCAGTGATCATCACTAGGAATATTCCGTCGAACTAGTCGCTAGCTTCCAATCAAGAGCGAGGGACTCAGCCTACGGTTCCATGTCGTTCAGCCACTGCAGCCACTACAACGGATTCCGGGCTCCTGGGATTCTTACATGGAACTATGAGTAAACATACCAGACAAACATGCATGACGTATGGCATGTTTCTCTAATCACGCACTCCTTCGTGGAATCTCTCAAGATACTGCTGTATACTCTATTGTACAATCATGTCACAAAAATACTCACAGGCCGTTTGATCCCCTGAAACAGGCTACTTTTTTCTTCGTCATTGTTCATTCCATACCGCATAACGCTCTGGGATGCATTTCGATGTCTATCGCATTAAGAGAAGTTTTCAAAGCTTACGCATGCATAACAAGTATGTTGGCACTGGTAGTCCTCGCAACCGGGGGGCTAAAAGATCATGGTGGAGTCCTGACTGCATGCATGTATACTCCCATGGCACGACGTGATCTAGGCCCGCATCAGCATGCTTGGCCTATTCCTGTCTCTTCTTAGTTTTCATGCAGTACATTCTCCGCAGTGCCTATCTCTCTAAGCCATACTGTGAGATGTACAAGGCACTGCGGATCGCGTTGTCGATCACCCGGATGCTGCGGGAGAACGACATTGCTTCTTTGGCCCAACGCTCAACAAGAAACGCGAGATGATACACTGGAGATACGAGCTTTGATAAGCTGGGCTCAACTATAAAGCGAATCTATGATCCCCTTCGAAATCATCATCAGCCTTCAGCGTCTACAACGATCTATCCGATAGTCCATTCCTTCAGATCTATACACACCGTCACTCGCTTTCCCACGGCCCAGATCACTCTCATCTCTAGCCAAAAATGCTCTTCAACAACCTCGTCACCCTCGTTGCTTCGGCTTCCCTGGTTGCTGCTTTGCCCGGCTATGGTCAACCGGCTAAGTCTTCCGGATATGAGGCTCCTCCCCCTGAGAAGGAGACTGGAACCTGCACTGCATGTATGTATGCCAACGCCGCTTTGTATGGTCTTGAATTAACTCTTCATAGCTGCATGGACCACCTCTAGTGTCGGGGAGTACGAAACTACCTGGTTGTCTACCAAGACTGAAGTCGTCCCGGTCACCACTGTCACCGAGAAGCTCCACACTACTACGGAGCCCTGCCCATACACCACTACTGGTGCTAGCACGAAGACTCTGACCGACTACACTACCCACTTTGACACCAAAACCTACTCGACTGTGACAACCATCTACAACACCGTTGTGGAAAGCGAAGTCAAGTCGTCTACCAAGTGCGAGACTGTGCCATTTGTGTAAGTGTCAATCTACCCTCGCCCAAGATGATCTTCTGGCTCACATTTGCATAGCTCCACCGCTACTTCCTACAAGACTAGCGTCTCCACTGCTAAGGAGACCATTACATCCTCCAAGACCGCTACGGCCGTCATTACGGAAACTGCGAAGAAGCCAACCACTTACATCTCTACTGGCACGACCACAGTCTGCACCACTAAGGAGGGCTACGGCGGTGGCTACTAAGCCGGGAAACTACAGTATAGCGGAAGCTAGCACTGAGGCCTACGGGATCGATGGCCACACAAAAGTCCAGACATGTATCGCTCCTCATGATTGCAACGTTGTTAATAGAGGTGGAATCACGTCACCTTTCAATTCTTTGTCACTCCTTTAGACTACCATTTTACCCAGCAATAGAGCTGCATGATTAAAAATTTATGATTTGAACTCAAAGCGGTTGCACAAGACCATCTTGCAACATTGATGATTCGATCAGCGTGCTGGTGCTAGCATGTAGGCACAACGTTGTAGAGTCACACTGTGTTTTGATCGCAATGCCTGCTTGCCTCCAGCACTTTGTTTCCCTGTTTGCAGCTGCGTGTATCTTGTAGTATTATAAGTTCGACGTTTTCCGAAAGTCTACAACTATGGTATCATGAGACGAGGTCAAGCCGCGAACCCAATTCGTGTACAAGTCCACTAATATAGCCAACAAACAGATTTCTAAGCAAATCAACTCAAACGTGAACCCCTCGACTCATAAATTCCAACCAAACCATCCCTTAATATCTTGACCTGTGCTGGGGTCGCTCAGGCCCCTGCATCATAGCCAAACGCGCAGGGTTCATGCCAAAGGTAGTAGCCTCGTCGGGTTGCTCCGGCTCGGCGGCCTCTGCATCGTCACCACCCTTCTTGCCTGACTTGGCTTCCTTCTTCTGCTTGCGCTCGCTCTGCTTCATTTCGACTTCAGTCTTCTTAACACGGTCGCGGGCACGCTCGTCATGCAGTTTCTCGTTCTTCGCTGCGATCTTCGTTTTGCGGGCTTCGCTGTTGCCGCCACCTCCTGCGCTGTAATATGGAGTTAGTATGTGTCTTCATCTCTCGTATGGTGGTCTTTCGGAATTGTGATAGTGGCGGGAAATGAATGCGCGAATGGAATCTTACCTCAGCTCGACGTTGATCTTCCTGCCCTCCTTCTTCTTGGGGTCTGGGAAGACTGAGTGGTGGTACTTCTTCAAGCACGTCACCATACGGTCGTAGCGGTCGAATTCGATGAAGCACGTGCCCATGAACTTCTCTGTGCCCTTGTATGTACGGAGACGGACTTCGGTGGGCTTGATCTTTTCGAAATGCTTCTCGATCTGCTCTTTCGTAGCGCTGTAGGGAAGGTTGCCTGGTAGCTCGCGTTAGATAGGTCGTGATAGGTGGATCATACACAAGACGTACCGACAAAGACGATGAAACGGCCCTTGTTAGCCTCAATTGCGGCTTGGGCTTCCTCTCCCTCTATCTCCCTCTCCTCACCACCCTCGACTTCTACTTCAGCGCTTTCTGCAGCGGCGTCACCATTGGCCTCAGCCTGGGGCTCCTCAGCCGAGGTTTCTCCATTGGTCGCTGCTTCCGCTGCCTTCTTTGCCTTCTTTTCTTTTTTGTCCTTCTTCTCCTTCTTGTCCTTTTTCTTTTCCTTCTTCTCAGCCTTGGACTCGGCATCTACTCCGTTGGTTTCTGCCGAGGCGTCTTCAGCTGCGTCTTCCATAGGCGTGTCCTCGGAAGTGGCAGCATCCTTGCTCTTCTTGGATTTCTTGTCTTTCTTATCCTTCTTTGACTTCTTTTCCTTCTTCGCAGGCGCGTCTTCGGTGGCATCGGGCATTGGCTCATCGTCGTTGACACTGATGAAGTTCTCAGAAGATTTCATCTCCTCGATAAGCTCAGCCTCAGGCGCGTCCTCAGAGGCATCGGCATCCTTGGACTTCTTGGACTTCTTGGATTTCTTTTCCTTCTTGTCCTTCTTTGCATCTTCCAATGCGTCGTCGATAGCAGATGTGTCGACATTGTCCTTAGACTTCTTGGACTTCTTATCCTTTTTGTCCTTCTTTTCCTTCTTCACCTCGGTCGCATCGACTGGCGCATCCTCGACATTGTCGGCTTTCTTGGATTTTTTGGACTTCTTTGGTGCATCTTCTGCAACCTCGGCGTCGCGCTTGCGCTTCTTCTCGGGGGTATCAATCTTAGACTTGGACATGGTGGGCGCGCAAAAATGTTGTAGATAGGTAGGAGCGTCGCGAAACGAGAATGGAGATTCTCAACTTTTCTGCCAGGGCGGTCAAAGTAGGGTTATCTTGGCGCGTGAAACCACAGATGGAACGCGCACCTTGAGCACCAGTATTTTGGCCGCAAGCCATAATGCGGCCACCGGCGCATCGAACCAAGCTTCCACAGGGCTCACTGAGGCCTCCGACAACACGCTCCTCCGACCGTCCATGTCCACGCCAGTTTTCGTACAAACACCCCCGCCAATTCCTCGTCGCGCACCAAGGCTCGCCGCGGCCACAACTACCGTTCTTGTACCCCTCCGGCCAGCACCTTTCCAATGGCCAACTACAACGTCTCTTCTCCATTAGCGCAAACCACAAGAAATTCATTAAAGAGACAGCAAAATTGAGTGTGCGGTACAGCATTCTCATCTTTCTCCTCTCATCATGCGTCAGTATTGCGAGTCTGGGCATATTGAGCGAGCAACAAGAGCGGGCCTTTCCGTCGCCCCATGAGTGGAGTCTGATCACGAGGTTCAGGTTCAGGAGAGGAAAGTGGTGGCAGGTGCCTGAGAACAACGAGGAAGAGGGATTCCCCAACTGGGCGCGGGTTTACTCAGAGCTGGAATATGCGCTGAATCGACTGGAGAACCCGGACAAGGATGGAGCGGGCTTGATGGATCAGGAGGAAGGAGGGATACTAGTGCCCGGCCTAGGCAAGGCAGGTTTCGACTTGACAGCAAAAAGCGAGGAGTGGCGGCAAGGGTACTATGAAGTCCTAATGGGCATGGGCAATGCCGCGGAAAGACTAGACGGATGGGTAACGGACAAGTGGAGGAGAAATGTATGGGCACCAGAGTTCATTCAGTCACCCTCGAATCCACGACCGAAGGCTGTTCTCCCTGGTATGCCCGAGCCGCCAGATGAGGAGCATCGCACACCCGCAGCGGAAGCGCCAGAGACGTTTTACCTCAAGATAATCACCTCGAAAGGCTTCACCACATACCAGCGGCTATCAGCTGCATTAAGCTACGCAGACTGGCTCAGCTTCAGAAAGCTTCCAGATTCTGCAGAGGAGATGTATAGGTGGGCACTCGACATCGCGATTGCAGGTCTGCCGACATCTGAGCCGTCGGCGGTCATCGATCGCGACAGTGGCATTCTTTCATCCACAGCGCCGAGAGAAGCAATAACACCAAACATTGTTTATGCCGCGACGAACTTGGCCACATTCTTAGCAGAGCAACGAAGAGTCACATCTGCGCTTCCGATATTCATATCCTTGCTTCGTGCTCGCATCGAAGCGGAGGAGGAGCGTGTCCCTCTGGCACAGTCTAAGAAAGACAACACACTTGCCGGCACTCTATTCAGCTTGCTGCGCGAACCCGACTACCCAGATGTGCCAGCTTCTGGTGACGAACCACTTCTCCGGAAGGAAAGCGATCGTTGCGAAGAGGCTGCCTTGAAGAACTACATAGGCGAGATCCTTTTTGCGACAGCTGGCAGCTCATCTGGCCAGCGCCAACAAGGACTCTCTTGGGTGCGTGACGCTGTTTCCACTTCCAAGCTTGCGCAATCCCTTGAACCTATACGTGCAAACGACGACCTCCGCAAGAAGTGCGAAAAGTGCGAAGAAGTTGGTCTTGAGTCATGGGGGAAGATCATGACATACCTGGCTGCTGAGGCACGCGAAAAACGCGATCACGCGAAGAGCGGGGGTCTGCAGGGACTAGTGTGGAAGGTCAAGGGCACGAAGGACTTGGATGAGAAAGTAGAAGACTTGGAGGGTGAAGAAGAGGGTGTGATACTTCGGTTGAACAAGCTCAGAAGTAAAATGCTCAAGGAGGAGTACGCTGAGATGGATCGCAAGTACGCGCGAACCTTTGTATTCTAGGAGCCAGGTGTAAGATATGAGAATGGTTTTGGACAGGACCTTCGTCTGCATGTTCAGCCAAGTGCTTACGAGCAATCCTATGCAACACCCCTCACGACTCCTGCATCAGTCTCGCCATCGCAACTTATCGCACTTGCATGCTCACCAGTAATGGCCTTGACACCTGAACATCATGTTTCAGACGCAGATCACTTTAGCCTTCACCCTATCAACTCAGTGCATCCCTGCCACGCGGATCGCTACGACCGGCTCGCTATCAGGGCCCTAGCGCCCGACAACCAATCATCCAAGCCACACCCGCTGTCAACTCCAACTAATTCGAACGTTCCTTTTGGTCACCCATCAAACATGTTCGCACGTGTGCCGGCTTTCCCGACTATTGGCAGGGGCAGGTGATTACCATTCGGGTATATAGGCGAATTAGTGAGGGTATGTCTGCCATGCACAAACGAAATGTCGCTAGGATGCGACTGATGGGGAAGGAGAATGAGTGGGTAAATGGTTCGTTTGGTGGCAGCTGAGGGAGGTGAGTTGGTAGTCAGCTGGGTGTAGGCGTTGGTATAAGAAATCGTTAATTCATGAGACGGCTTCTACGCGCAATCCGACACTGATTCTGTTTGCATCTACTACCCTAGCCATACACTCAAAAGTCGGCACGATGGCTTTCAGATCGCTCGTTGCTTTGACTATGGTGGTTGTGCCTCTGGCCAACTGCGCGCCACTTACATTGCAGGAGAGGCAGACACCAAATGGGGTCCCAGATTATGTACTCAAATACGGTAAGCAATCTTGATACCCCAACACCCTTGATTTGTCAAATGCTGTGTAGCAGGACTAACTAATACATATTTAGCGCCAATCGTCTACCTTCACTCAGAGGATACCTATTTTCCTACCGATATACAAACATTCCTGGATAACACGACTCCCCGCGTAAACTTCAATGAAGTTCCTGGCCCTTCAAAACCTTTGACTACATCCAACCTCGACCAAATGGGCAGCGACGTCTGGCTCACATCAAACGATGATGTGACGAAGGATCCCACATGGATCAAAGGCACAAAACCCAACGGACAAGGAAAGACCGAAGGAGCAACTACCGCGGCTATCATTGTGAACGATAAAGGAGACGGCAATGTGGATGCCTTCTACATGTACTTCTACGCCTACAACTATGGCGGTAACGTACTTGGATGGAGCCAGCTCAACTTCGGTACATTTTCCCCTTCTTTTCCAGACTACACCCGACTCTAATACGAATTCTCTAGGTAATCACGTAGGCGACTGGGAGCATGTCATGGTCCGTTTTCAAAACGGCTCTCCCCAAGCAATCTGGTACTCTCAACACGCCAACGGCCAGGCCTTTCGCTACAACACCGTCGAAAAGTCTGGCGACAGACCTATTGCCTACTCCGCCAAAGGCTCTCATGCGAACTACGCCATTTCTGGAACCCACGATCACACAATCCCCAATCTCAACCTCCCTGGTGGCGTTCTAGAAGACTACACTGACAAAGGCGTAATGTGGGATCCGGTGCTATCGGCCAGCTTTTACAAGTTTGATGCTGGCAACAACGCCTTCTCGGCATACGATGGTCAAGCGCCGACTGCATGGCTGAACTTCAAGGGTAGGTGGGGTGATGAAGAGTATCCTGAGAGTGATAAGAGACAGGTCAAGCTGTTTGGACAGGCGAAATTTACTGGTGGTCCAACGGGTCCAGTTGATAAACAGCTCAATAGGGAGAAGATTTGTCCAGATAACGGGCAGCTCTGCATTCTGAGAAGTATTCTCGTGCCGAGGAGGACGGGTATGGATAGCATTGTAAGAGATCGAGATGAGGTCGTTGGGTGATTCAAGACATCATGGTGCTTTTGTGTATTCACTTTAATTAATAAGAGATGATTTGGGGCTACTGCTACGTAAGAACGCGCATGGTGGAGTCCTCCAGCATTTATGAACATTATGACCGACTTAGCCATATATACCAAGACAGGTGGACACCACTACATCTCATGCGTCACCGTCTACCCAAATAGAATACCATCGTTCTCACGTCAAAATATGAACAGAAATCGCCAAAGCAGAGAAGGCCATAAGACATACATGAACCACACAGGTGGTAATTGTGGATACTTCTAAGATAATAATAAACCTCTATGAAAACGAATGTACAAGAAACCAATGGTCGAATATGAATACATTCGAGTACTGTTGCACTATTGTAGTGCTACAGTAGTATCACGAGGTAGAGAAGAATTGACGGCGCATCGGAACTCTCGATCAGGTTGGGCTTCTGGTTCCATCGCATCATGGTTTGACACCTCGGAGTGACGGACATCGACATTATGTTTTGTGACATCGTCTAACGCAACATCAATAGCAGATTCACGGGTGTCCTGTGAGCTCGTCATCGCCCCCTTACGATATGTGCCTCGTGATGTTCGGTCCGGCCTTGGCTTGCCACTGAGTTTCCACATCACTGTACTCCAAGCTTGTCTGCACTCCCTGCGGGTGGTGAAAATGTATATCGTGGCGTTCCAGGCCCCTTGGAGAGGTAAGACGATTGCCGAGGTGACGTTCAGAGCGAAGCTTGGGCGGTTCTTCGTGAACTGGTACATGCGGTTGATACTGCTGGGCAGCCAGACAACAAACAGGGCCAGAAACATAAGGAAGGCCACTTGAAAGTATGCCATTGCTGCAGCGTGGCCTTCAGCAGTTCTCTTTATAGCAGGACGAGATTTGCATAGTGTAGTTGGCGCCGTTGCCGTGCCCGCTGTGGGGCTTACGGCAACAACTGTTGCCCTATACCCATTCCTTCCGGCTGTGCCCTGGTGTAGAATTCGCTGGGCTTCGATGTCCTCGATCTGGATACTAGGCGTGTAGATAGGAACAGGAGCTGATGATGATTCTGTGGCCAAATCATCCATTCTGCTGGGCTTAGAAAGCAACCGGTTGCTTGCGAATGAACTAATAGAGTTTTGGTCCAGCTCAGGGGAAACTGCGCGGGAGATTGTATCGTGCGTCTGAAAATCGCATTTGATCTGTGTCGTTACCATAATGTTGTTCATGCCGAGCAAAGAACCCCGTGCGGCATCATGTATAGGGGCAGTCAATGAATCTCTTCGTAGGAATTGTTTCGAGCCGCGAGAAACTGATCGCAGTTCAACCCTCTTTCTCCAAATGCGGTAGCCGGTAACAATGTAGATACTGATGGTCACGGTGATCACAACCCTGGGAATATTAGTGATGTTTAACATGATGAGGGCAGAACATACCAGGCAGGAGCGTAGAAGAACGCGATGCGCATCCATTCAACGTCAGATGCTACCCAGCACCAAAGAGTTGCCGACCCAATGACTTGATGTCCAGTCCTGTCTAGGGTGAAGTACGCAAGGACTGGTACTGCTGGAACACCATAACTGCATGCGATATACCATTTCTCTAGATGACGTAGCTGCTGAGCATCGTACCCGTAGAAAAACACCAGAAATACATTTGTGGCCATCGATAAACAGAAGAGAGAATCTGAGACCAGGAACCATTGGATGAGTAGTCCCTGAAGCTCGCATAGGCCGGATGGGGGTTCTGAGCCCTTCGGTAATACTGCGTTTGACATCAAGGTTGCTATGTTGGTCAAGATGTTGCCGAAAGTCGCGAAGAAAACCAGACGATTGATCGCTATGCATGATTAGCCCATGAACTTTGGTTAAGTAGGAGAACGTACGTTTTCTGAAGAATGGGAAGTAGACAAAGGTGCTAATGATGAACGCTGAACCAATGACGGAAAGCCCGGATGCTGTTCGTGTGGCAATCACGATAGCATTATCTCTGCTATGAGAGAGTGGAGTAGTCATGCTTCGAGTCCTTTACATAGGCGTAACTTTGCTCGGGAGGGTGTAGGTAATACGCTGAGATCAGAGGGACTTGACCTTCTACGATGGTGATGGTAATACTAAGAGTGACTGCTTGTCCTGACTGAATGCGCGTCCTTGTGCTTAGAAGTTATTTGACGTCTCTCACCGCTTCAATGGCATTGGGATTCAAGACTGCAAACAACCGGCATAGTCGAAATAAGGACTAACAGGGATAAGTCGTATGGCGTGAGAGTAGCCGCGATGCCTTGTGGGGTAATGCAGGTCTTGGGGATTTGAAGGACCTCCAACCGTGGAAGAGATTTGTGTGAACAACGCAGGGTCGCGGGATCCATGCAACTCAGACTATGAGCGTAGTCTAGAAGGTGGGCTTCTCCGCCTGTAACAATGTAAGACGCTTGGTAAATCGGCGTACAACGCGCTTAGCGAAGGACACGAAACCCTTACGCACTACGTCGTACAAAGCCTAAAGAGGGAGGAGAAAGATGCGGAAAAGATTGGACCACTGGGATGGTTCGTGAAAATGTCTTCACACAAATGAGGTGTTGTGCACAGCAGTAGCGTGTTGATACTGTGCGTGTTTGAAAGATATTCAATCAGAAGTAGCGCAAGATAAATTGGAAAGGCACAGGCATCCACTGTTATCTTACCTTAGATACTCCGGTACATGCCTAGCTAGCACAGCCGTGTTTGTAAAGAACGGTGTTTGCAGCAAGCGACAGCTACTTTTGGCAACAGCATTGATGTACTGGCGTCCACAGATGGAGAGCCCAGGAAAATGGCGTACAGGCAAACTGCCATCCTCAAAGCTAATACCGACAGATGATCCATGACATAGGAGAATTTGCCAATAGGGTTTGTGATCTAGAAGGCGGTGTTGTCAAGAGCTCGACGTGGGAGATGCCAAGATACCAGGTCATCTTTCCCCGCAGCTCCACTTTGATCCCATTTGGCAGCTCCTTCGACGCACGTCCCGTCCTCCGATTTCACCTGCACATCACTATCGTTGAACAAAGGATTTTCGAAGCGTACTAACTGAATCCGGGCGTCATGGGTAGCTAGGGAATGTAAGACTATGGCGTATCGCGTCACATCGCATCACAATCATCGTTCCCGCTACTGTATCGACAATGTACAATCCCGCAAAAGCCCTCTTCCGATCAATCGGTAGCTGAAATTCTTCGTGATATCAATCAGAGCATGTCGCCAGGACTTTCGAATACTGGTGAAAGTTGAGTAGCTGTAGCATCTGCAAAGCGCTTACTGAGTATACCAATCATAGAGCGCATCACAGACCACCAACCGCTATGCGCAGTCATCTGGTCACGCAACACCTGTTACTAGGCCGAGAGCGATATTTCTGGATAATGAAGAAAGCATTCGCCTATCAAACCCTATCATGATACGCCATCACACACCCATCCAAGACCTCCAGGCGAATGGCATTCTTCGCCCGAAGCTTACTACGAATGCGTGGTGGAGTTCTCAAGCCTCTTTTTGGAAAGGTAAGAGGACAAAGGACAATGTGTAAACCTCATATAATTCTCAATCATGATACAGCCTGAACATCGCGATGTTGTTCGTGAGATGCGATGACCATGAACTCTCAGCGATTGATGGCGTAATCATTCTTTGCTGCCACTCAACTCCAAGCTACCCCAGACTTATCCGAGATATCAGCCACACGCTATATCACCAAGGGCTCTCGACATGGCAAAATCCGGCAAGAGGCTTTAAAATGGGATGATACACGCCTTTGCACCGGGATCGCTCAGCCCTAACGTTGAGTGCAGAATTGGTTGCTCAGCTACAGCGGCTCCGCCTTTGTTACTGCGGCGATGGCTGCACCCTTACATATTACGCCACCGCCGATTCAGGATTCCAGAACTCAAAAGAAACTGCTATGATTACCAGAAAATAGGTAATGGAACTATCCCGAGTTCTAAAATTGTACGGTTGGTCAGTCGCAATGCAGCCTGTGGTTATTACCTTCATTGTCGCCATTAGCGAAACAGAGAGTGGATGTGGAGCGGTACATTGATCTTTCGAACCATCAAACAAGAGGAAAACAAACCCTGCTTTCAACTTCGCTACGAACAGTGGCTCCGCCATCAATTGTAAGCACAAGATGATATGACTGCGATCGTACAAACAGTGTATTTTATGCAGGAAATAGAAGACATCGAAATCTCTCATCCATCCCTCTAGACAGCATGCAGAACCGGCTATTATGTTGCAGCCACTGCAGCATCCGTTGCGACCACGCTATCCGCCTTCTCCGGCTCCTCCGCAGCTCTTCTTTGCTTTCCAGATATCAGGTAAACGCTGGCGCGTACCTCCAACAACGGATCATCACTTGGCTCTACTCCCTCTACTCGCGGGATAGGATCAAAGATGATACTCTTCTGCTCCTTCGCGCTCTCCTCGTCGTCCTTGATTTTTTCGATCTGAATCTCACCCAGTTCGACAATTTTCCTCTCCTCAGGCCAGATCTCAGTCGCATTGTCAGTTACGTCACCCTCATCCGCAACCTGAGCCAGTAGCTTGAATCCAATAGATCCAGACTGCAGACGTGGAGTTAACTCATCGAAAAGATAAGTGTCGGATTTCTCCTTCAACGCCTCAGTGTCGAGATGCTTCTCCCCAGTAACAGGTACAATTCTGTACCTGACTACGGTAGCATTGCCCCCTTTGACCAGCCTGAAGGCATTTACACCAAAGAACTTCTCTGTCGCGAAACTCTCAGGACTAGGCTTCGCCGCTTGTAAAAACCTTGCCGTTTCCGGATGGCGGCCCAGAAACTCGGGCACTGCCTCTCCCGCGTTCTGCCCTGTTGCCGCTTTTAGAAACTCCAAGAACTCAGCACCAGTACGTGTAGGGAAGTATGGTGTCGAGTGAGCAACGATATCGGTATGCTGCCGAGTTCCGTCTTCCTTAGGAGGCAGGTGAAATCGAACTGCGATGCCTCGCGGATTGGCATTGGGGTCTGTGTCTGCAATTTTGGGGAAGCCGGTGGAGGAAGAGAAGCGCACGGTTATCGGTGTGGAGGAGTTGTTGAAGTGCGGTGCTGTTGTAAGGGATGGCGCTGTGGCGCTGGGTGTAAAGGTTCCGGTCAAGAGATGTCCTTTCGCATGAGCTGTAGTACATCAGCTGCTGATGTTCGGAGCGGAGAATCGATGGTAACTATAGGCATGCATATTGGAGGGACCCGAGAAAGCATCAAGCAAGGAGAAAATAAGGTAGAAGCAACGTACCAGGTCTGAAGCTGTGCGGCGCGTTGCCAGCCATACCGCGAAGGGTGCTCACAAGACCATTGCTCGTCTCTACTACCTCCGGATTTGTAGAAAGTGGCATAATTCACTAATAATCTAGTATATTTTCAGGAATCTTTCTTGTCCTTGTGTGAAATTGTAAATGCAACTGAAAACAGCGTGGAGTCAAGCAGTCGAATAACCTTGGAAGTATACAGTCTACAGTGAAGTGGTTCTTGCTTTACTATATACCCAAATATCAACGGAAACACTTGGTAGTAAGCACGTATTCTTGCGCAATCTGAACCTGATTTGCAACGCTCTCATTCCAAATCTCGGCTTTCGGCAGGAACCTCATCACGACTTTTGCCTAGAAGCGTTGAGGTACTGAGGTCGCTAGTCTAATCGTTTCGTTTTGATTGGCGAGGTAGTCGCGAAGGAACGCTGACAGCATGCTTAGCATGCTTACTTTGCATGCGCATCCTAACAAATGCTTAGCTTACAATCTCAGTCGAGACCTTTCTTGACGTTTAGTAAGCCTCGCTCGAAAGTAGTCGAAAAAACGTCTAGCTGACATCTGCTTTCTCGGTAATTGAATCGGAGTCGTTAGCAACTACACGCGTTTTCCAGATACATGCCAAGGATGAAGTCATAGCACCGGAAACCGGTATCAAAGCCCTTATCCAGAGGTCTGTTGCTTCTAAATTGTATACTTGGTAGTCATTCACTCCGCACAATTTTCGACAACCTTATCTGCTCTCCTCCCTACCAGCCCATCCACATACCCCAGGAAAACATCCAGATCAATCATATCAATCTTTCCTAAACTTGGATTTGAACTCTTCAAAACCTGTCCACCCCAAAGTATACGCAGATACGCTTTGCCCTCCTTCTGGTAGACCTCAAACACAACCTCGGAACCCATACCCACCCAAACCATAGTTTCGACCTGCAGGAAACTAAGTAAGCGAGCCAACGACCCGTCATGCGCAACATTATGCCGATATACGACGGAGTCTCTGCCTGCAAGAACAGCCCGCATATTCTCTGCAACCTCGGCCATGAAAACGCCGTAAGAAGCTGCAGCTGCTTGTAGAGAAAGCGGAGAATCGCGGTAAAGGAACGAATACTCGTACTGACCAAGACGATAAACAGTATCGGCTTGTTCTTGAGTGACGCAAAGATCTGGGTTGGTGATGTTGCAGGGTAAAGGTTTGGCGTGGCATTGACGAGCGGAGAGATTGTCGTAGTAGTGATCGAACCAATTATGCCATTCTGAAGAGTCGGTAGCAACACCGCTTATGGCGTCGAGAGAAGCGAAGAGTGGTGCTGTGGCCTTGAGGTGTGCAGTCCAGTTTGAAGCTGTGCTGCCGACACCGTAGGAGCTGTAGAGAGAAGAGCCTGCTGGACAGGAGTACGACGGGGCTAGGGAGTCGATGGTGGAGGGTTGAACGTGCAGTGGTACGTTGTCTTTGGAGTTGTACATGCCCTCAATCAACATTCCGGCGACTTGGCTAGTGATGACGTTATTTGAGACACGCCATGTTGTCTTTTCGTTGATGGCGTCTGGTAGAAAGCCGAGCATGTCGTGGTATACGCCGTAGAGATCTTTGCCGTGCTGTAAGGAGTCGTCGAGGCCTTCACGGGTAATTTGCGGAAACTGGCACGATCCGTTGAAGCCGGCCACAGCGAAGGGGTTAACAGGATTGGTATAGACACTCCAATATGTTGACGCAGAAGTGTTACCAGCGGGATTTAGAGGCTCGCCATAGTAGAAGAGACCTTGGTCATTGCAATCCCAGGGATAAGCCTCTTTGGGAAAGGTATTGGAGGCATAAGGTGTGCGCTTGTGATGGCGATGAATACTACACCAACTGTAAGCTCCCAGTTCAACCTGAATAGAATGACATTGACACTTACACCTCCACGTACACCAACTTGAACTCATCATTGACCTTTACATACTCTTCTTTCCTCACATGCGGCATATTACACCAATTGTACGTTCCGTACTCCACACCAGCTGGTAGCTGCGAGCTATTGAACAGGAACCCGTTCGTCCCCGTGCCGTTCAAGACTTGGCCAATATCATTGATCCAGCTTTTCTTGGGCGCATACCAGCCCAAATCTACCTTTGAATCATTTTGGGCCACCGCTGTAGTGGCTATGGAAGCAACGAGTAGCGGCACATAGTTGCGTGAGAAAGCCATCTCAATGTCGTGAGGTAGGAGATGGAAGAGCGTGAAGAAGGTGCAGGTCAAAACAAACGCTGACAAAATGGAAAAGACAGCATAACGCATGTCTTATATCTAAATCGCTCAAGGTGCGATACCGGCAACCATTGCAAATGCAGAAGGTCTCGTTGTTAATGACGAACGTTGGGAGCAGGAGGATGGTCGCCGCGCGCAAGACAGGATGCACGATGCGAGGTACGAACAGGCGATTGGTTGGTTGAGATGTCAGAGTGGACCTGGCAACTGGTATCTCGGCCCTAAACACCACGAGTAATCCCGACCATGTTTCTGGAAACTTTGCGCTAATCACTTTGCTTTTTGCATCGAACCCAAGAATTTGGTATTCGGCACGTCTCTCCCCTGCGCGCTCAGATTGATCGATACTAGGTTTAACAGCCACAGTTCGTGAAGCAGGACGAGTGTTTCATAAGATACAATTTTTCTGTCGAATCCCCTCAACCCCTACGATCTGTTTGCTACCAATCCTCCACTGATATCTTAATCATTCGCTAAATAAACAGGTTTGAAGCTGATCCCGCATTGCTCCTACTACGCTCAGCGTAAAAGACATCGACCACCCGGATCCTTGTTGAACAGAATGAACAGTGTCGGAACGGCGTGACTCTAGAATGGTACTAAACAATACGAAAAAGGGTATGCGCAATTTCAAAATCAGATAAAAACACAAACTTCCAGATGCAGACTGATATAGGAAAAGGTATCGAGACCTCCAAGTGTACACATATACCGCTTGAGTTGTGCTGGATGTGGAAGGATCAAAAGATGCTTCGCTGGATGAACGTTAGATGGCCTCGTTGTGGAGTGGATGTTGTCCGTAGTTGGTTTGACTCGATGATGATGCCGGACTGGCAAGAGGCGTGAGTGTTAGGATCGAGGCACCTAGAACTCGTTGGGGCGATATGGGCGATACTGGCCGCCGCCAGCACTGACGGCCCGACCATTCGTCGCTGGGACGGAGAGTCCCCTGGTTGCTGGCCCATCTGAAGTCGCGACTCGTCGTTTGCTCTTCTCCAGACGGGTGGTCCTCCAGCCCTCGTACCATTGCTCACGGGAAGCCTCGCGGAGTTCGGAGCGCCAATCGCTGAAGACACTCTCCCTGAGCTTGACGAAGTCGCAGTGCTCCGGGTTGTAAGGGTCGGCAAAGCCCCATGGGAATCTACGACCGACAACCTCAGGGTCATAAGGATCTGGCGAGATGATGCTAAGAGGCAAGAACGGAGTCTCGGCATTTTCGCTGTGAATAGAGGCGGACATGGCGGAAGGTTTGCGGCTGTGACCTTTCCTGGCGCTCGGGGGCGAGGTCGGAGGTGAGTGCGACCTAGTGGAAGAACCAGATGAAGCAATCGAGCGCGCAGCTTCGGAGGAAGATCGCTCGAGGATCTTGTTAAGTACCTCGGATTTACCTTCGCCCTCAGACGACTGCTCGTATTCGTCCTCATCACGCTCATCCAGTCGGTCGGGATCTTCGTCATCGTCACCTAGGTCTAGGTTCAGGGCCTCCAAGGGGTCCAACTTTGCGCGCTTGATAGTGTCCCAGACTGTCTTCTTGAGGTAGCGCATGTGTGCGCCGGTGATTGTGTCTGCCTTGCTGATGACTGGAATCACAGTCGTTCTGGTTTGCAGCTCGCGAAGTATGTTGAGATCTAGGCGCTCATCCAGACCACCGAAGATGGCACTGCCAGCATTAACGACGTTAGACTTCTTGCGGGCCTCGGCTATGTTCTGGTCCAAGCGAATCGGATCCAGGACGAGGAAGACGCAGTGAATGTGTGTATCCTTGACGCCTGGAGCGCGTACAACCTTTTGCTCCTCGCTAAATGTGTCTTCGAACTTGGACTCGAGGAAAGAGGTGATGATGGGTAGTTGGAAATCGACAATGTTCTTCTCCAAGCCCTCGGAGTCCCAGAGCGTGACGCCGACTCTCTCACCGTCTACTTCAGTCTCGAGGAACTCTGACGTGAAAGGTGAGTCGTCACCACCCACGGCTGTAGCGGGTGGGGAGGGCGTATGTGGGCGCTTTCGAGCCGGAAGTGCAAGCGCAGTGCGGAGGAACTCAATGAACGATGACTTTCCGCAGCCCTTGGTACCAATGACAAGGATGCTATGTAATTGTTAGCGCTGACGTTGAAGGGTGCGATGTGGAACCTACTTGAAAGGCGTGGGGTCCTTCCTCCTCCTCACACGGCGGGGGCTGTTGACGGTGCTGATCTGGCTGCTGGCATAGCTGTAGCGACCACGGTTGGTCATACTCTCAGTCCTCGGGTAAGGATCGTAGTCCATGTAGTTGGACTGCGAGGAACCAGGCACGGGCGGCGCCACAGCGGGGCTGGAGCTGGGGATAGGCGCCATCCTGTAGGTGTCGGTTGAGGGTCGGCTGAAGTTGTGGGCGCTGGGGTTGTAGGTGCCAGCTTTGTTGGAGACAATGGCAATGGAGTCTGGACGGGCGTCTTCACCTCCAAACGTGGCAATTTGAGGAAGGGCCGAGTGAGAAGGCAGGCGCGGCGGCTGCTTAGGCAGCATGGTAGCTTCACGCTGCTTGCGAAGAGCCTCCTCCTGGGCGAGTTGCTTCTGCTTCCTGCTCATCTTGCCGATTGAAGTGCTTCGATTACTGCTATTACCGCGAACTTCGGAGGAGCTCTTCCCGCTGGTTCGGCGCAGAAAGTTGAAGCTGGATCTGCGTGGTCCTGCTTGGTCAGAGTTGGTGGACTGGGCTACTGATGGGCGGCCAGAGGGATCAGGAGAGCCGTCTTGGTGGGCCAAGGTATTAGGTGGATTAGGGGACCGGTCGTCGATGGTGGTGGCCATGGTGGGCGGCGGAAGGGCTCTTAATATCAGTGGCTGCGACTTCGCGCGTGTAATCTTAGCAATGGAGGACTGCAGCAGCGTAGCGGACAGTCTTGCTGGGTCGGGCTATCCTGCGCACGGCACAGCAATTCGGACCTCGCAGCGTCCTAGTGCAAGTGAAATTGAAGGAGGAGCTGCCGGCGGGTGTCGCAAGGTCAGCACCTGCTCAAACGCGCATCTCGATGGCGCGTGCGGGTGAAAGGCCCAGGGTCTAGTCAGAGGCTTCGACTAACCTTTTGGCCCGAGACACTACTGCAGGAACGATACGGCGCAATGGCACCCCCGGATTCTCGACAAAAGTAAATCGCCGGTAGTTTAATCGCGCAAGGAGGGTGAGGTGGAGGAGTGGTGAAGACCAGCCACCACAAGAAGCAACACCACAGACGTCAACATCGGCGTGACGCGTCTCGGAAGGAGCAAGGCTGCAAGCAGCCGTGCCATTGGCCGTCGCTTCTCGACGTTGGACGCACAGCGGGAAACCGCGATGGTGACACCGACGGGGGTGCGCGCCCGAAATCTCAATGCGAAACATCTGGCCTGACCAGACAACCACCGGCAGCGCGCCAATTTGCATCCAGCAGCCAGTCATTCTTCACTACGCGGCAGATTTGTCTTGTGCAATCCTTATCGCTTCGGCGGCGACGTGCAGCTGGGTTGCCGGTCCCTGGCGATCGTTATGCACATGAATAGGGGTTCCCGCTAGCCGGAATCCTCATTTTATGAAGCCTCGGTGCCCAGTGCAGAGGGCTGGGGGACGCTGAAGCCATGTGTTGTTAGTAGGCAAGGAGCGCATAAACGCCATCTCCGATCCGACACAACGCTTCTGGGGACACCCACGATGCCGCGTCGCAGAAAGACAGAATAGATGTAAAGAAACAATTCTGGCGTCATCCTACTCTGTTTTTCCATCAAACACGAACAGGAGTGCGTGCTGGTTCTTCCGCTTTTGGCTTCTGCGCCAACGCCAACAAGCTGCGCCTCATGATAGTCCAACCAACACGTCTCAGCTGTAGATAGCATCATCACGCAACACGTGCGCCTATCGATAATGCCCCACACAGTGCGATTCAGTTGTCCCATGGATTGATGATGCTCTCCCGGCCCGCTCGATCCTACGTCAGGCGCAAGCCTCCAAACTCTATCCAGTAAACCTACCACTCTCCGCGATCTTGCTCATGACCTCTTGAGTGTGTTCCCAAACCTTCTCTATTCCCCGTTCTTCCCTCAGCTTCTGCGCTTTCCTAGTATCTGCCAGGATGTCCCCATTCCAGTTCAGGACATAGCCTCCACTTCCCTTCACTCCGTCACTTCCAACAACTTCTGTCTGAGCGCCATCTGCCTTGGGGGCGTAACGCGGTGCAGTGGCAGCAAACAGGTGTCTCTCGCCGCTTTCCACCTGCGGAACATAGAAGAGACGTCCAAACAGACCACCTAGCACGAACGTGACAGCGTTGTTGAAGCGACCGAATAGTTCTCGCGTTATGCCCGTATCCACAGCAGATGGGTATTCGTGGATGTAGCTTGTCTTAAGGTTCTGACTTGCCAAGTGAGTGACGGAGAGGTTTGTCATGGCGCTCGCGTGCAGCAGCACCTTTTTGAGACTAAAGTTATGCCTCAGGGAGAGGTCAGAGTAGTCAAGGCCGCCCAGCCTCAAGCCAGCCTGCGGATCCAGAACATTGACAACGCGAGAGAGGTTGTTAGCTTCAGAGGCATTGTCGAGCAGCGGCGTGAGCTGAGAAATAAATCGCATCCGCGAGTAGTACTGGACAGCCATCTTCCTGTCCAGACCTTCGGATGTCTCGTTTCTTCCTTGCACCGTAAGGTATCCACACGTCATGAACAGTACATTGACTTGCTTTTCTTTGCTCTTAATCTCGCTGCATGCTTCGTCCACATTCTTCAATAGTGAGAGGTCCTTCTGGATGAAGCTGATCTGGGATGAGCTGTTGATGGAGCTGAGCTCTTCCATGATCTTTCCAGCCTCTGTTGCATTGCGGCCAATCAAGTAAACATGTGGTGATGTAGTGTTTCGGACAAACTGTAGAGGTAGGAGTTACCTAGTCGGTATATATCTTGCATGCCTTCAAGTAATCGCGACTTACCTCTCGAGCTGTGAAGAAGCCAATGCCACTTGTACCTCCGACAAAAACTGCCACTAGATTTGGCGGTAGGCTCTTCAACGATGCGTTGTGAGCGCGGACAACGTCAATAGCAACCATGGTAACGGCGTGTTAATCGAGAAAGTTGGTTTTGCGCAGAACTGTGAGATGAATGAATCGCTATTGAAACTTAGGGTGGTTGTCCTTGATAAAGTGAGTGAATGCCTGATGGATGCAGCTTAAACGAACGTGCCAGTATTCGTCCGTCCGTGTCAACGGAGTTACCATCACCCAAAGCTGGACATAGCGGACTGAATCTACCGGAATACTGTTCACTCATGCTAGCTGACAACTTCCAGCGATGCAAACATTCATGGTAGTAAAAGACTGCTGATCTGGGCTCAAAGAAGTTCAAGCTTCCGCATCCGCCGAAGACAACGCTAGTCTCCACCAAACCCTCACTCTTGACCCCACCTGGTACATTTCACAACATGGAATTTACAGCTTGCACGATCCTCGCTGGAGGGAAAAACGCCCACTATGAACGCACTCGGTGATGTGTCTCCCACCTTGGGCCCAACTCAACTTGCTGCCGGAAATGCTCCTCCAACGCCTCCGCACGAGAATGCGCTCGACGATATCTACGGTTCCGCGCCCGCGTCACCCACTCTCGCTGCGAACATCCCACATGCACACAACCATGAGATACTCTCAGACCTTCCATCCCGTCAACGTGCGCTAGATACAGATGCATATCGCGAGGGTCTAGCGAATAGTAAAGGGCAATACGTACAGGAAGGCTTCGATGAAGGCTACTCCCTAGGCGCAAATCTGGGTTTGAAGGTGGGCTACATACTAGGAGTCCTACGAGGTTTTACTGCTGCATGGAGAGGCCATGACGAGCAGATCCACAAAGAAGTAGCAGAATTCTACGAATCTGCGCGCAAGGAGCTTGCAATCGAGGAGTTGCTGGGTCGCCAATGGGTAGATGAGGAAGGAATATGGAAGTGGGGTGTTGTAGGGAAGGATGAAGATCCCACATTCAGAGAGGTATCGGATCAGCATCCCCTAGTGAAGAAGTGGATGGGTGTCGTTGAGGAACTGGCAAAGAGGTGGAATGTTGATCTCCAGGCTGTGGAGAAAAGTCAAGTGCCACAGGATGGCCAGTCGTGAGGAGCATTTGAAGATTGGCCTTCTCCCCAGTGCCACTTTTCGATTGCATCCTCAAGTAACGTCAACAAGCGCCAGATGGTGTGACAGTGCCTTATCCGAATTGGTTCGCCGCTTCTCAAATCAGAACGTTCTACAGTTTGGTTAAAGAAGGGGGAGGTTCTCATCAACAGGCACAGGATAGTCATCCACCGTGTTCGGCGAAGAGACAGTTCTGGGTGTAACTCTCCTCATGACCGATCACGCGAAGACAGAGTTTTTGACTCCAAGAAAAACATACATGACTTCAAAGCCGCAGACAATTGATTATCAATCCACAGAGAGTCAAAGGTTCGGGTTGGATCGGAAGATGGAGTTGGTATGTCTTATTGTGCACGGACGAAATAGCGGTTTATTCGGGCGGCGTTGAAAATGCCGTCATGACTTTAAGTCCGACACTGCGCGAAAGATAACTGAATCTCACAACGTAGTCCTCATGTCCTACCACACTTTTCTCGTGCTGATTCCGTCCTGCCTTCGACAGCCATGACACATGGCCTGTCTGCTCTTCGAAGAGCACCTGCCCAATATGCGACATCACGACTGCTGACGTCAACCTTGGCCCCCACGCGACTCTACCAGGCACCCATCGTACGCCGCCTGCAGACACAACAATGGGAGCCTCTGCGCCCTCCCAATCCCGCAGACCTACCAAAGCCAAGGCAGCGCAAAATCAAGCCTCCGTTTACTCGCCGAAAATGGGTGCGCCGCCTTGCCGTCGTTTCTGCGCTGCTCGGTGCGGGATGGCTGGCTGACAGGCAATTCTACGCTTCATCCATCACACGTAGTTTGCGCACATTCAAGACTGGTCTTTTGATAGGCATAGACTACAAGATCAACTTCCGTGCGCACCCACCGCTGGCGAATAGCATCGAGGATCTCCATGCAAGGAACGCACAGAGAATATTCGATCTGTTGCGGTACAATGGCGGACTATACCTGAAGATTGGGCAGGCGATTGCCATGCAAAGCGCAATACTACCGCCGCAGTTCCAGAAGATGTTCCAGCAAATGTTTGACGACGCGCCGCAGAATGAATGGTGGGAGGTTGAGCAAGTCATAAGAGAGGACTTTGGCAAAAGCGCCGAGGAAGTATTTGGCGTCAGCTTCACACGAGAGGGACAAGACGGTCGAGGTATAATGGAAAAGACTGCAAGGGCTAGCGCAAGTGTTGCGCAAGTCCACTGGGCAAGGTTGGCAGACGGAAGAGAGGTAGCGATCAAGATCCAGAAGAGAGAGATTGCGCAGCAGGTCGGATGGGACCTGTGGGCCTTCAAGGTTGTTTCCAAAGTCTACACTTGGTGGTTTGGCATCCCTGTCTACACCCTGGTCCCATACATCTCCGAGCGCCTGATGCTGGAAACCGATTTCGAGAACGAAGCGGACAACGCCGTAGAAATGAAGGGACTTGTGGCTGCAGAGCCGCGGCTCAATGGTCGAGTCTACATTCCTGCGGTATATCGCGAGCTTTCGAGCAAGCGTGTCATGACTGCTGAATGGATTGAAGGAGTGCGGTTGTGGGACAAAGAAGGCATCACAAACAGCTGGAAAGGCGGATGGCGCAGAGGCAGCCCTGGTGCTGGTGGCAACCTTCTTCCCCCTATCCCCAAGGACGCCAAGGTTGATACACATGTCCCAGAGGACGCCACGCAGTATGAATGCTTCAAGCCGGACCGTAACTCATGGCGAGGTAACGATGGCAAAGGCGGTCTCGGTGTTTCACTGAAAACTACCATGAACACCATCGTCGACCTCTTCTCAGCACAGATGTTCCTCTGGGGTGCGGTACACTGCGATCCTCACCCTGGAAACATCTTCATTCGCCGCCTACCTAACGGACAGCCTGAGGTTGTCCTCATCGATCACGGTCTGTACATTCGCATGGACCCCAAGTTCCGCCTTCAATACTCGGAATTCTGGAAATCACTCCTCGCCTTCGATAATGCTAAGATTGAGGAGATTGTCAGCAGCTGGGGCGTCAAGCACGCTGACATCTTCGCATCAGCAACGCTCATGCGCCCATACCAAGGTGGTGACAAAAGCGTAGCAGAGGTCCTCAAATCCGAGAGAAAAGGCAAAGATCAGGCTGAACGCGCCTTCGAAATGCAAGCCAAAGGTCGCGACGCCATCAAACTTATTCTCGGCGACGATGCAAAATTCCCTCGTGAGCTCTTGTTCATCGGCCGCAACTTGCGTATCGTACAGGGTAACAATCAGTTCCTTGGTTCGCCTGTTAACCGTATCAAGATCACCGGATTGTGGGCTAGTAGAGCGTTGATTGAATCCAGGGACCTTAGCGTGAGCCAGAGATGGAAGAATTGGGTCAACCATCTGCGGTTCCGGTGCGTACTGGCACTTAGCGATGCGGTGTTCTTCTGGAGTAAGCTCAAGCAACTGGTTGGCGTTGGTGGAGGTATGGAAGACGATATCGAAGCGCACATGCGCGTTATGGCCAAGGACTTTGGCGTTGAGCTAAATCATGGAGTCTTCGAGGGTTAGCAAGAGTAGATGTATGATAGATGTATTTATCCACTCCCATGAAGAGAAAGGTATATTTTCAGTCCCTGCAATATATGAATCATTAGTTATGAATATTACTCAATCTGAGTGGCGTGTCGTTATGTATGTAAAACTACAACTCAACTGAGAGTACTTGCAGTCATCTTAGCTAACGATGTTAAATTGACTTCTCTTTATTATTGTCTGCGTGCCTTAGTCATGGACGTAACGCCCGTGATGACGTGCAATAGAAACGTGCCGAGGTTAAACGCGAACATGTCCTTATCAGTATCGTCAGCAACCCATTCACGCGTAAGCGGCTGTACAACGTCGCTGCATCACTTCCATCACACAATTGGCGTCTCAAGCTGATATCCGTAAATCACCTCTCCAGAGTTTTACAAAAATAGTTTAGGTTGACGCGTGCATAGGTACGCCCAATAATACCCCAGCTTTGTTACCGAACCGAGGCCCGTCGCGTCCCAGGCGGGGAAAGCTTACTATTCAATCACAACTCAGCTCCTAGGACCGAAAGTCTTCAGCAGGTCGCCATTCCATCGAAAAGAACGACTCAACAACAACTCTTTAGAAAAAAGTGTACTGGTCATAGCTAAAATTCGTCTACTTGTCTCAAAGAAGCTAGTTTCTGAAACATCATGACTTCTTCATCAGACTACTCTGACATCAAGTTCGAGATCAAGGGACAGATTGGTATCATCAAGGTAAAAGATTACCCCAATCATGCTCTTTCTGCCGTGACAGGATTCTGGAGCATTCAACGAAGAATTCTCTCGTCGAATCATCGATATCCGTGTCATGGTATATGTCTAGAACTAACACAACTCCCTAGTTCAACCGTCCCAAGGCCCTCAACTCCTTCGGCGGAAATCTCATCCCAGACGTCATCGCCGCACTACGTGTTCTAAATGAGCACCCAGATACCGTCTTCACCGTCCTGACAGGCGAAGGCCGATTCTTCTCCGCCGGCGCAGACGTCAAAGGCATCCCCGGCGGTGGTGAAGTGTTCAAAAATGATGGAGAGAAGAAACTGAGTTTCATGACTCGGTTTGGCTATGCCACGGAACTTCTACGCTCCATGATCGACCACCGCAAAGTCCTCATCCTTGCCCTAAACGGTCCCGCTGTCGGTGGTGGTGCAGCTTGGTTCCCGGGTATTGCGGATATTGTCCTTGCTTCCTCAACAGCCTGGCTGCAATGTCCTTTCTCAGCCCTTGGTCTCGTCCCTGAAAACGGATCCGCTTTATCCTTTGCCCAATCCATTGGCATTCACCGGGCCAACGACTTCCTCATGTTCGGCCGTAAACTCTCGGCACAGGAGCTTGTTGATGCGGGTCTATACAATTATGTGTGGGACGCTACGGGTGATGAGTTCCAAGGCAAGGTTGTCGAGTTCTTGGAGGAGCAGCTAAAGGGGAATGATGGAAAGAGTATGATGGAGATGAAGAGGTTGCAAAATGCGCCGATTAGGGATGCGCGGATGATTGCTGTAGTTAATGCTATTGATGCGTTGGCCGAAAGGTTCGTTGAGGGTGCGCCCGCGGAGAGGTTCAGGATCAAGAGAGAGGAGATGGAGCAGAAGAGTAAGGCTAGATCGAAGATCTGAAAGTTGTGATACGTAGTGTATCTTCCTGTATTCTGGCTAGCAAGATTTCATTCACGAAAAAGTAGTGACGTATTTCTTGAATCAATTCCGGGATTTATCCGTTCGTTCAAGCATACTCGACCGTATTCTTCAGCGTGCCAATCTCTGGACTCAGGTTTACCTCAACCACATCGCCCGGCTTCAAGAACTGCGGCTCCTTCATCGCATAACCAACACCCGCACACGTACCCGTCATGAACACAGTCCCCTTCTTTAGCGTAGTGCCCTGACTGCAATAGCTCACCAAGGTTGGGATCTTGAAACACAGGTCGTCAATGCCTGAGTTTTGTCTCAAATCGCCATTAACGATGGTCTTGAGATGCAGTTTGGACGGGTCAGGGATAACTTTGGTGGAAACGAGTTGGGGGCCCAGAGGCGCGTAGGTATCGAAGCCTTTTGAGAAATTCCATTGTGGCACTGTTCCTGCTAGGAGAGGGTCTCGTTGAAGTTTACGCGATGAGACGTCATTGCCGGATGTGTAGCCGCCGATGTAGTCGAAAGCTTCAGCTTCGGATACGTCTTTGGCGTCCTTGGAGATGATGAAGCAGAGTTCGCCCTCGTAGTCGGCTTGGTTGTCTTGTGCGATTTTTGGGATGACAATGGGTGCACCATGGTCGTTTAAGCATGTGTTTGCTTTTATGAAGGTGGATGGGTATGGGGGAAGGGTGCGGCCACCTTCCTGGACTATGGGAAGTTGTCAGCATGGCAATGGGCGGAACTGTATAGCAGAGAGGTAAACTTACTGTGCTTGATAAAGTTTAGACCTATGCAGCGGATGATAGGCACTTCATCCACTGTTACTGGGCCGAGCAGTTTCTTGACTGTTACTTCTTCGTCTGTGACCTTGGTGGCTGAGTCGAAGATGTCGTTGTTTTTTACATCGATCACTTTGGCCTTCAGTCCCGTCTCTTCTGTTGTAGTACCAACGTCAAAGTCTGCCGAAGGGAGGATTGGCTGACCCCGCAGCTCACGGCCATCTGTCGCAATGAAGCGAATAAGTCTGTCCCAGTTTGGTGCCATTGTTGCGATATATGTGAAAAGATGACAGGAATCCTGGGGATGCTTCGAGCAGGATCCAATACGTATTTGTAGGATCAAGACGTGAGTTATGCTGGATATATATTCTACCGGAACTTGCTAACGCTGAGTCGGAAAGATGTGGAGAGGCTCGGAGGTGTCGCGCGGCAGGCTAGTGCGGGGCATGTTCTGGTAGAAGGTAATTCAGGAATGCGACGCTTATTCTGTCGGCGCTTGTTATGAGGCCGGAACACATATCAAGAGGCTGGTTTTCACATTTCCTGCTCCACGCGTCCCTATATTCCATAGCGCTCTTCGGTAGGAATTGACGGTACGTACGCGGATTCTGTCGAGGAGAGGGCTGGATTATCCGTCCACGGACTTTTTTCCGGTTATACCAAGAACGTCCCAAGAGTCTGAGAGGAGCGTCAATGTCGCTTCTTTGGATTGAATAGGTCTGGCATGAAGCAGCACTTCACCATCAGACAGCTTCAAGCCTTAATGGTTCAAGTTATTGACGGAATGTCACAATGTAATTTCTAGTCCCTCTGACCCGCCACAAGTCCTTGCCTCTCCTCTTCGTCCTCATCCTCCAAATGCTTTGCAGGACGTTTGTACAGCACATAATGCTGCAGCATAAAGATGATATCAAACACAATAGTAATGTTTCCCAGCCCGAACTTGACTGGGTTGCCTGTGACACCACTCCAATCGTTTTCCAACGCGGAATCGATGCACAACTGCGCAAGCGAAAGCCAACCTCCCGCGAAGTCCAAGAGCATAGGATATATACTCCATCCCAGCGTAGATTTGCGCTTGTAATTGACCCAGGCTTGCGGTATGTATTTGAGAAATACGGTGAGGAGTTTGACGTAGCCGAGCGTGTATATCTGTTCGATATTAGCATGAACTTGTAAGGTCAGAAGGTGTAAAGTTGGATCAACTCACAACGTCGATCCATGCCCACCCCTGTGCATCATTTCCTTCTGTTCCTCTGGTTTTTACAAGCATCACCACGACCACGATAGCAAGCACACATCCCCACCAAACTCCTAGTATGACCCGACTGACCTTCTGCCTCTTGCCAATCTCGAAGCCCCATATCTTCTCGAAGAACTGACTGTAAATGATCACGCACATGACCGCGCCATGTGCTGCGAACAGGAAGTCATTGAATCGTACTGTCGTCTGAGGCGCTTCCGGATGACGGTACGCATATTGCGATTTGATAGTAGGCGAATATAGGAAGCAGGCTGTAGAGATGGTGTAGCAGGTGAAGCCGAGGACGTTGAGGGTGGGGAAGTCTATTGCGAGACCGAGCGTGGATTTGCGAATATAGTTTGATATGGGTTGGGGGTAGAAAGATAGGGACCTGACTGTGAGTTAGAGTGGGATCATAGAGTACGTGGCGAAGGATGGCTGGTACTGACCACGACAGGAAGTACGCCCAGCCCAGTACGCGTGATATCGCTCGTGCAAAGGCTTCGAGCTCAGGACTTATCGTCATGGTGGAGAGAGGACCTCAGAAAGAGCTATGTACATGGGCGATAACGATTGTGCGGCATGCGACCTTGGGGTGTCGCGATAGCAGAAGCGGGAATGTGACTAGTGCCAGACCAAAGAGAGAGTGTTATAAAAGACAGTCAGAATACAGAGACATGTTGTTGAGACAAGGCCTCATGGTGGGTGAGCGCCTGATGTTACACGCGTGTACTGCACATGTGCGATTGCGACAGATGCGCGCATGCCCGCGGAGCGGCAGGGATCCCGGCATGGCTGTTTCCAACGCCGATGTGCTCCTTCGCTCCTCATCTGGGACTGTTCCGACTACATATCGTATCAGACTTTCACATTATCTATCTCATCGGAATGCCATCAACATGAAGTAGAACGAGTTTGGTATGCTCAAGACAAGATGCTAACGTATCGCAATCCTACGCTATCTATTTACCTTCAAGGTACAACTTCAGCCCCTCTCCTTGTGCTTCGAAAGATTCCTGCAAGCTCTCCCCAAGCGTCTCTTTTAATATTCCAGCCAACGGCCCGTTAAACTCCTCATGAGACTCGTACAACACAGTGCCGTTGCCTATGTCGCTGACCGCCTGCCATCGCGTCGATTTGACAGCAATTTCCGCCAAGTAATCCCATGCCAGCCTTCCCAATTCTGGCTGTACATGAGTTATGCGCTCGAAAGCAGTCTGCGTATGCAAGAGATTGTCTGGTGTGTCCTTATTCACCGGCAACGGGAGCGGAGGGATCTGCACACGGAAGAATAAGTAGTTGCCTTCGACAGCTCGCTGGTCGGGTAGAGTGATGTTGTTGGCTGAAGTGACGAGAGCATAGCGCACGAATGGGTTCCAAGCTCCGTAGTTGGGGAAGTCGGTGAGTGTATCCCAAGCAGCGTCGACGGTGGTTTTAATTTCAGTGCGCGCGCTTGCACTGAAGACACCTGGTGGTACTTCTGGGAGATTCGTGTATTCAGATTGCGCGAGAGCCACAGGGAGAAGGGCCAAGGAGACGAGGCTGAGGAACTTTGACTTGAACATGGTGAGTGAATGCTTGGTGAGTACCTAGTTATTCGCGACCTGCCTGGGGATTGCATACTTTTGTACCTGATTTTACCCAGGACGTTCGCTTGCATTACTTACGTCGGCTAGCACGTACGATGCGAAGTTCTTCTAGGATGGCAGGTCGCTTACACCAAAAGTGGTAAATCATCACAAGGTTACGGACAAGGCTGTCTGGGCGTATTTCCGAGCTGAGAATCAATTTGCTGATCATCGTCCTTGTGGACGGGACAGGACGGATCATGCCTTTGAACTGGAAATGGGAAGATTCTACCTGTCAAATGTCACTTCTTGTGAGCGATGCGGCTGTGGTTTTGTAGGATGAGGCCAAAGATACAAGCACGTGCAAGCCACGAGATGCCGCGCGGGATGTGGGCCTCGTGATATGCATGCCAGGACGTCACTGATCGGAATGCTTCGCGGAACGCCGCATGTGGCTGCCCAACAACATTACTCAGGCATCTACCGTGCTCGCTGAAGTCACTTGACCCAACTAGCACGCCCGCAATCTGGGAATGACTAGAAGCAGCTAAAGAGGGGCTAGATATCAGCGCAAAGGGCGGTGCCGGCGGCGACCATGTTGCAGGGCGAATGGAAGGGTGAGGGCGCGACATGCACCTGCATAAGCTATGAGCTGCCCCTCAGTACCGACCAGGCCAGCGACACAGCTAACTGCACTTACGACGCCCTGCATTTCATATCTCAACACTTGGAAGCTTAGATAAAGCTCCAAGTTGACTCACGACTGCGCGCTGTACCCAGACTGACTTGCATTGCGCGCTGAGGAGCCTCCTACATAGCGTGCCGCGTGAAGCTCCAGCCCCGCGGCTCTAACGATAGCCACCACGAGCGCCTCCCGATCATACCGAGCGAAGACCAGATAGGCCCCGATAACGCGCCGCCGAGTCAGGAACAAGGCACCAGCCAGTACTCTGTATAAGCGTCTTGCTGTGCAAGCACGGGACTGCAACCTTCACGCGCCTTGGTCACGAAGGCGCATGACGCAACGCCGTGTCTAGCATCCATCCGAACTCACTCGCCGCGCTCATCCGTCGCTACCCCCACAACCTACCTCCAGGCCACGACACACAGCAACTCTCCACGACTGAGCTGGCGCTCCAACAGACACCTCCACACGCTTATCCACAGGTTATATGAGCTCATCGCCCGACAACGCCGCCGAGTATACGACGCCTGTCTCCAACCTCACCTACCTGCACAAGCAACAGCGCAAAGGCACAAAGGTACAGGACACGCCACAAGCGCGCGGCCGCAACACGTCGAGATATGAGTTGGGAAGAAGAAATAGGGCGGCCGACAAGGTTACGCGCATCTATCCCAGAGAGATGTAGGTGTCCCTGCCATGTGCACGTCAGGGGTGACGCTCAGGTGGAAAGAGCGACCGAGTGACTCCTGTTTGTCCTCCAACATAACTGACTGCCCCAGAACCAAGTCGCCTTCCTCAGCAAAGCGTCTGTCCTCCACGTCTCCACCCTCAAACTACAATGCCACCACGTCTCCATTACTATCGGCTATCGGTGCCACGCGAACCACGGCCGCACAATACACCAACGAGTGGGCCAAGTCGGTGCCCTTCTTTCCCAACTCGGGCTCGCCAGGAAACGGTGGCATAGCCATAGCCAGTTCACCGCCTACCTTTCACAACTCCCCAGGTGCACGAGACGGACTGTATGCACAACAGGCCATGTCGAACTCCCCTCCAGGTGCAAGGCCTCTGAGTCATCCAAGTCAATACACAAACTTTGGCGACCGTCTGCAGAACTCGCCCGGCAGAGATCGCAGGGCATCAATGTATTCGCAACACGGCGCTCGTCCGCCGTCGCAACACTTCGTGCCAAACCCGCCCCTGCCACATCAACCTCAAGCACACTACTATGGCTTGCCAAACATTGATTTCGGCCTCAACAATGGCCCAACCGATGGTATCCAGCCGGGCGAAGGAGGCTACTTCTGTGGCTTCGACACTCTATCCATGGCAGGAGACGAGGCAGCTCGGTCATCCGAGAATGTGCTGCTCGTTGGATCTCAAGGAGGGCTCGACGTTTTCCGTGTCGAGAAGAGCAAGATGGATATCGTGGGCCGTCTAGAAGGCCTCAGGGGTGGTGTCATAGGTGCCAAGATCTTGCCATGGACATCGCGGCGAGACCCTCTAGCTGCTTCCCGTCCACTGGTCGCACTCATTCTTCACGGCCCGGTCGTCAAGGACAGTAGAAGCTCTAGTGGAAGCGGGGCATCCTCCGTGGTCGACGATTCAGCCTCTGAATCGCCTAGTAGGCCATCCTCGAGACATGGCAATCGGGATGGCCAGATCAGTGGCTATCAGACGACCGTCGAAATTTACTCACTGAAAGAGAAGCGGAGGCTAGCTGTCCTATACCGAACTCCTTTGATCCCTCTCACGAGTCCAATTGACAGCCCGCTCTTCCAACCTCCACCTCCAATAGGCGACTTTGTCATCGAGGCGAAGGGCAAGTTTGTTGTCGTTGCATCTGGCGCAAGTGGCGAAGTCTTCGTGTTCGCACCTTACCTGGGAAATCACCCAGAGTACGGCGAGCAGTTCCGCTGCATTGGCAAACTGTGGACTTCGGTTCAGAATCGCGAACGAGCTGTTCACTCAAACGGTTCGAGTGCCGTCGATGGAAGTCATGATGAGATCCCTCCTGAGAAATATGGCTTGCCCGTATTTTCTCTCTCTGATCGCTGGCTCGCAGTCTCTCCACCAGCTTCAAGTGCGCTCTACCCTGTCAATGGTGTCGCGCTGACCTCACCGTACTATGAGCGTGCTCCGGGTCTTGCACACCATAGCGTACCACCTCAGCCGTCGCCCAACTGTGCTGTCGATATGCCCAACGAAGCTGGCTTGCTCGATAGAATTACACGGGAAGGGACACAAGTTGCAATCAAGGGCGCGCGCTGGGCTACCGAGAAGGGAGTGCAAGCCTTCAAGAGCTACATGAACAGAGGTCAACAAGGAAATAACGTGCCATATGGTCAAGATCCTATGCAGCACTACTTCCCACCGACTCATGGCCACAGCCAGACTCAGCCAAGACAAGAAGCAACCGTCATCTCCGTTTACGACTTGCAGAGACTGGTGGACGCGGAAGAAACGAGGAACAAGAACGCTCTCCATCCCGTTGCTACTATACCAGCAGCTCTCGGCTGTAGCTTCATGTCATTCGCCCCCAGTGGTTTAATGCTCATGACTGTAAGCAAGAAGGGCGATTACCAGGATGTTTGGGATTTGAAGCGGATGAATTTCCGACGAGTCCGTAAGACTCTTCGAGAGCAACCATCCGGCCCTTATGTTCGACAAGTCGCTCGATTCACCAGAATGACTGTTGCCAATGTCATTGATGTTGTTTGGTCTGCTCCTCGAGTCGATAAACTAGCAGTCATCACCGATAAAGGAACAGTACACATGTTTCCTATGCCTGCATCGGCCTTCCAATGGCCACCAGCTCGACGAATTCGTCCTGCGGCACCCTCTGCCCCACCAAAGGAGGCCACGGCTTCCACGGGTTCAACCGGCATGGTCAACTCAGCAATGCAGGCCGTCAATAGCGCTAGGCCTTGGTTTGATGCCGTCCGCGCGAAGAACAGCGCTGCGGGGTCTCGATTCAGTCTAAGTGGTCTAGGTGTAACACCTGCTGCTGGCGCAAAGTCCGGTAAAGCCGTTGCTGCTGGTGTAGGCAAGTCAATCAACAACATACGTCACGCGGGCGACAACAAGATGACGCTGCCATCGTCACCTAGCGGCGTCAAGCCATACAGCGTACGCTGGCTTTCTGGCAGAGGCCGCGGCTCAATCGCATTGGTGTCAGGTGGCGTACTTCAGATCTGGCGAGTGCAGATGCGAGCTGCGACAGGCAAGGGGAAGTCATCCAATACTGCGTCGATAACCAAGAAGAAGACAGTTGAATTTGGACTCGCCCCTATCTCGGACTCCGCACTGCCGCTTTCTATCACCGAGCAACTATTCCCACAGCCCGGTGATCCGGAGCCAACACAGGACTGCTATGGCGACTGGCTTCCTCGGTCTTTGCCTTCTCGCAAGCCCGTCACGTCATCTCTCGCACCACTTAGTTTCTCTGAGATTGAAACGAATCCTCCTTACCAGCCTTTCTACACGGATAAACGCGTCGCACGTTTTGTCTATTCAAGACAGCCCCTCGAGATTCACGAGGAGAGCAGTGAGTACCAGCCCTCGTTGCCTGGACTAATCTCCGACCTCCACCACGAAGACGACTCCCCCTGGCTCTTTGGCGAGAGTATTGAGGCGACCCGGCTTTCGACGCCCATTACCCAAGCATACGATTCTGGAGAGGACGATATTGCCGGTATTGCTCCCAAGTTCGAGAACAAGCTTGTCCTTCAGGACGGTGAAGAAGAGGTGGAACAGGTTGTCGTCACTACGCGAAGAAGACGTATCAAGAAGGAGGGTGATGAGGAGAACTTTTTCGAGGACGATTGCGAAGTATTGGATTTTGCAGAAGATAGGGTGTGACCGTGCATGATCGCGGCTGCTCGTATTCTGTCCGACCAACTCTACACTCGCTATCACTATTGCATCAGGTGGGCGTTGGTGAGGCGCCGGCGTTTTCTATTTTCTTGTTGGGTAAGGATGGAGCTTGCATTATAGGATACCACGCAGCCGACAGCGGCTCTCGGATTGCAACATCACCGCACAACTTAGATAGTCAACAGACAAATGAGAGAAACAATCAAGCTTCATCATGCACGTTGGATGTCAAAGGATCCTGCCTCTCCAGTCTAACCCTCCTTCGTATTCTCAAGAACTCCGTGGCTTCCGTCTAACCCCATGGCTGTGAGCCTAAGTCCGTTATCCCCGCCGACCGACTAAGACCATCGAGTTAGGACGATCAACAGTGCGTTACTGACATGCTGTTCAGACGGTTTGAAGGACACTCATTGGTCCAGGCGTGCTTCTGCCGCCTGGGCTTTTGCACTACATGGTACGTCTCGAAGCAGCAAAGATGGGCCCATACTACATCGCAGTATGCAAATGGCGTATTGCACTTCCGAAGACGCGGCCGTATGCAGGTAAAAGTGGGCAAAGTGCCGTATAGACTGAGGAACGCGGTAAGTAGCCGAGGAAGTAGACTGATAGTAAGAATGAGGTTGAGAAGCGGGAGAGGAACGAGAGGAGATATAAAGAGGCTAGACTTTGTCGTTTCGAAGTAGACACAAGTTTGGCTGCAGCAAGAAACATCATATCCCCTTGTTAAGAGCATACTTGAACGGACAAAGAAACGACATGGCTTCCGAAGAACAGACCATCGTTCTCATCACCGGTGGTAAACTACCCCCTTTCCTCAGTTCCTGCCTTTTTCTTCATGCAACTTGCCACTCCTCTTCTCCTTTCATATTTACTCTCTCTTCTGTGATTGAAGCTCTTAGACCTTGTTCGCTAACACTGCGGGTATAGCAAACGGAGGGATCGGATTCGAGCTTGCCGCCCAACTCTTGCGCGATAACAAGTACTATATCCTGCTCGGTAGCCGATCCATTGAAAAAGGCGAAGCCGCTGTGAAGCTTTTACAGGAAAGAGAGCTGCCTGGCAAGGTTGAGTTGTTGCAGATAGACGTCAATGACGAGAACAGCATCAGTGATGCTGGGAAGATGGTAGAAGAGAAACACGGTCGCCTCGACGCCTTGATCAACAACGCCGCCATAACTGGTGAACCACCCACTTCAGCTTCTCTGGCCACACGTATGACAGCCGCCTTCCTGACCAATGTCACTGGTCCCGCCATCATTGTCGAGACTTTCGCGAAGTTGCTCGAGAAGAGTGAAAAGATGGGTAGGACGCCACGAATCATCAACGTGACAAGTGGAGCTGGCAGTATTGGGTTGAGAAGTGACAGGACCAATCCGCATCAGGAGATGAAAGTCGTATGACTCTCACGTATCACGAGTGGTCATGTTCGTGCTAATGAGGTGAACAGGTGCCATACCGCACTTCCAAAGCGGCTTTGAACATGCTTACTGCGTGCCAAGACTATGAGTATGGGCCCAAGGGATGGAAGGTGTTTTGTTTCTGTCCTGGATTCACCGAGAGTAATTTAGGACCAATGGTATGTTGCATCTCATCTGCATCTGGCTTTGCAGTCGTCTTTGGTCCGGTCAAACGGGGGCTAATCCCCGGAGTAGAATAAAGTAGAGCATGGGGCGAAGCCTACGAGTGAGGGTGCGAAGCCCATGATTGCTATCCTGGAGGGGAGAAGGGATGAGGAGCATGGGGGCTACTTGAAGGCAGAGGGGTGCTGGCCTTGGTAGGTAGTGCTTGTGGGACTGTGAGCATGGGCTCTGGAATCTGCATGCTGCTTGGAAGTGAGTGAGCAATTATGACAATCGAAAGGGGTATCTGTATTGTTCCTTCATATCTTCGTTCCCGATCCTATCTTGACATGACCTCTTCTCTTCTTCCTAGGTTCGCCCATCTCATTGCCTCAGGAACATCTTGTAGCTTGGGCTGTCGGTCACTTCCTTGTACGGGTATCCGATGTCCTTCAAGAAACTTGCCAGCTTGCTACTGTCCTCCTCCTTACATTGAATACCGGCCAGGATCTTCGCAACGTCTCCCCCGTAGTTCCTGTAGTGGAAAAGACTGATGTTCATGCCTGGCTGCAATGTGTTCAGGAACTTGTACAGAGCGCCTCCCCGCTCAGGGAACTCGAACATGAAAAGATGCTCATCAGCGGCGTTGCTGCGACCTCCAACAAGGTAGCGGATATGCGATTTTGCGAGCTCGTCTTGAGAGAGGTCTTCAGCAGTCATGCCCTCAGCGCCGAGACGGCTGAGAAGGTCGGGTAGGTCGCGGGTCCGTGTCGCAGCCTTTAACTCAACGCCGACCAATATTTGGGCGGAGTTGGGGCCTGAGTAGCGGTAACTGAACTCTGTGATGGCCATGGGGTGGATGAGCGAAATGAGCTTAGCAAAGGCACCGGGTTGTTCGGGGATGGTGACGGAGAGGATGGCTTCTTTGTTTTCACCGATGGCGGCGCGCTCGGCGACAAAGCGGAGGCGGTCGAAGTTCATGTTTGCGCCACTAGCAATGGCAACCAGACCGCGATTGCGATCCGGTGATGGGTTGCGGCTCACCCATTTCTTCAGGCCTGCGAGGGCGAGTGCACCGGCAGGCTCAACAATGGAGCGTGTGTCTTCGAACATGTCTTTGATGGCGGCGCATGTCTCATCTGTTGTAACCTGGACTACCTCATCGACGACCTCTTGACATATCCTGAAGGTTTCCTCTCCGACTGTCTTGACGGCGGCTCCATCAGCGAACAGTCCCACGTCCTTCAAGAAGACGCGCTTTCCGGCTTTCAGCGACTCGACCATGGCGTTTGCGTCGTATTGCTCCACTCCTATAATCTTGACGTGTGGTGCTATCCGCTTGATGTATACACCTGTGCCTGCGATGAGTCCTCCACCACCGACACAGCAGAAAACAGCCTTCAGGTCTTGCAGGTTTGTCTGTCGCAGCAACTCCATACCAACAGTACCCTGGCCTGCAATGACATAGGGATCGTCAAATGGCGGTATAGGTATGAGACCGTGCAACTTCTCTAATCTTGCAGCCTCTGCCTTTGCAGCGTCAAAGTCAGCGCCATGTAGTATCACTGAACCTCCTAACCGTGAGACGTTCTTGTGTTTGATATCGGGAGTGCCAGAAGGCATGACAATAGTCGCGGGGATCTTCAGCTTGCGCGCAGAATATGCGACACCTTGTGCATGGTTTCCGGCGCTGCATGCAACGACTCCCTTCCATCTATCCTTGGGGTCCAGATGTGCCATTTTGTTGTATGCACCGCGTAGCTTGAAGCTGAACACGGGCTGTAAGTCCTCGCGCTTGAGTAAAACATTGCACTCTAGCCTGTTGCTGAGATTGGTCGCATGAGTGAGGGGCGTTTCCTGGACGACTTCGTAGACGCGCGAAGTGAGGATGAGGCGGAGGTAATCGGGATAGCCATTGGGCAGAAGGAACGCGTCGGGTATGGCATGGTTGGTTCGTGAAGTGTTGGATTCGGAAGGCGGACTGGGGTTTGCGCTGTACTCGGTGAGGGCGAGGCCTGTCTTTGGCGTGCGAGGCGAGACAAGGCCATTGGTGCCATTGGTACCATTGTCAGGCGTCGTCGGCCGTGAATAGTCGGGTACGGTCGCCATTGTGATGTCGCAAAGGATATGATGATTGTTGAGTTACAATTTTTGGGAAAGTTAGATTGGTGACTCTGCCGGCCTGTATCGGAGGCCGGGGTCTGTCTAGCGCGCAGTGGGGAGCTTCCAAAATCCGGTGGGGTAACTTCCCAACCTCCTGACATCATCCCATCTCGCGTGGGACGTTTTACCTCCGACACGTACCACGTAAAGCATATCTCTCTGAATCTCTTCACGATACTCTCGCGAACTCTTCCTGTGGCCAGTTTCCTGCTCTGTAGTCTACATTCAGCCGTTCTTCCTGATTACTATGAATGCCTTCGATGCCTCCTGAGGATATTCGCGATATTTTCGTCTTGTTCCAGCAATCGAAAGACATGAAATGACCTTCTGGCTTATCTGCCCACCATATTCATGGAGATCTGTACATCCTTCGTATCCTCCATGCTGCCTTCCAGGTCACCAGGGTTACGCTGGCTGGCAATGTCTTTCTTGTGGAAGGCTGGAGCATGTCGCTTGTCTGAATAGTCCCGAACGGCTAGACTGCAACATCCCAGGACCATTCCCTACATACGGGTGCGTTGGGTGCTTATATGATAATTGCTGAGGCAAGAAGTGCAGAGCATCGCGGAAGACTCTATACAAGCGCTTGGCTAAACTCCCTTGATCGTCCTTTGAGCTTCCGACTAATAACATTAGGATTTGGACTGAGGTGATTTAGATGTGGTGGTTGGTTCGTGATAGTTGATTGCGGTGGCGATTGATCGTCAGTCCGGAGGAGGTTGAAGCTTCGGTGGTGCCTCCATTTGAAGTTCACTTTCTATCACGACGAACAGCCGCTCACTTCTCTCCGTACCCAACTCAATTTTCTGAGCCTGGCTGCCTTTCCTGCGCTCCACGAGACCACTGTACAGTTTGCTGACAAGAATGGGATCTTGAGCAACCTCACAGCAAGCTCGCCCTACGTTCTCTCGTCGTTCCCAGCCTCTCGTGTCACCGGTGCAGTCTTACGAGCCTAGCCCCGAGTAGCAAGCAGACTCGACCTCATCCTCGAATCCTTCGCCCGATCCTCCATTCAAGGCGAGCATGGCCAAAGACAACAGTGTAGAGACATCTCTCTCGGGATGCTTTTGTGATCAATAGCAGGCGTTCTGCCGCAGCAGGAGCATGGCGGTCGTCGCAAAACCTCACCAAATCAACCCGGTTCTGTGGCGCTAGGGTCGGACGCCCTTCTTTCGCAGATCTGCCCCGCGCTTGCCCGCTCAATCATCCTACGGGGCAATCCCTTGCCACTGTTGTAATAGAACACGGCTGTGCGTGAGACAGAAAATACTTCAGGTATGCGCCCCTACACCCTGAGTAAGGGCAGCCTCGCTGATTAGACGACTACCTTGAGCCACACCTGAGGTTGTTGTATGATAGGATGACCTCTTCCTTGTCGCACGTCGGTCTCGACTCGAAACCAAATCCTCGTCGTCACCGATACGTTCGCTGAGTACTCCAATAGACCTGGCGCTTTATGACCCTAATCTCCGCGGAGTCAATACAGCTAATCGCTACAAATCCAGGTTCCTGGCCATGGCCACCAGACCATGCACGTATCCTGATAGATCTCTCTGTGACAGAGGCGAAGCCGACAACCGTACTATTCTCGAGAGTTACGATTACAGCCCATCGTTGTTACTGTCAACTTATGTTTCGACACAGTAAGAGGATGGTAAAATGTCCGAAATTGAGACCACGAAGTACAGGGTTCGCGGATGGTTACAAGCTTGAGTCCGGTTCTTCATCTGCTGGGCCGAGGGCGACTCTGGTACCGGAAACTGTTCTGAGAAATTGTCTAGGATCATACCAAGCAACCATGACAGGCTTCACGCAGGTCCAGGACTTGAAAAATGTTCTTCAAAAATTGGTCAGCCATGAACCACTAAGGTGTCTGACCATAGGTAACGGAACGGTGCTTTGGAAGTAAAACCTCGCAGCAAAAATGCTTAGAACCGTTGACACAACGGTGCGATCCAACGCCATAAGTACCGGGCCATCGAACAGGCATATGTGCTTGAAGACTCTGCAGACGAGCGCAGTCGGGAGATCCGATATACCCCTTGCAGCCTTTCCCAGAGATATGCAGCCGTTTGAAACATACGCCAGTACATCATGGTATAGCGACTGATGCTGCACCCAGCGCTTCATTGAAATCAAACTCTCCTCGTAGGGTGGAAAGTGCGACCATATCAGTCCAAAGCAGGGTCTCGTCTAGGCCAAGGCCACCCAGGGACGCTACCTTCGACGTCACCATACTCAGAAATGAGCCAGTCGTATCCACGTCTTGACTTACTACCTCCAAAGATGGGATTGTGCGATCCAAGTATGCCCTGTACACATGTCCATTTTCCACTGTGGAAAGGAAAGGGCTCTTCGCATTCGTACATTATCCTAGAAGAGGAAAGACATTACTCCAGAGATGTCAGGAGTATAGAAAGCTTGAACTGCTGAGAGAAGACTCTGGGTTCGATGTCTTCGCTGGTAGCGTCATCCCACGTCTTCTAAAGTTGGGTACCTGAAGTCGACGTCTCCCTTACAAACCAGGATACCTCTTCGGTACCCATGGCTGTCATTCGCAAACTTGCGAAGTAGGGATACATCTCCACGCTCGTACGTGCGCCCTTTTCTGTCGTTTTACAGGTGCGGAAGGCGACATCCAGCTCTTTCTCTTTCCCTAGCAATGCGATGTATGTCGTAACATCCTCTCCATCTCTTCCAACGCGCTCGTCTCCTCGGGTTTTGGTTGGAGATAATCGCAGGCGGTCGCCATATCCGGCTCGCACGAGATGAGGTAGTGCTTCATGCTCTGGGAACGCAGGCGATGTTGTACTTTCCTATCGGTCCAAGTGGGGGGATAGAAGACGGACGTGGAAGCTACATCTGTTCGTGATCTTGTGGTTTCCTCAGAAGTCAATTTACGATAAAGTATTGGCCACTCCTCGTGGCTGAGAGACGCCAGAGATTTGTTCTCCCAAGCACTGTGGTAGTTGCCGGCTTGAGTGTGTAAAGAGCCTTGTAAGATGGTCGTCGTAGCAATTGTTTTGTCCGCCGACTGCATGCGTTGTCTTGCTGCGGAGGCGGCTGTCCGCGAGTATCCACGGGATCAAACGATGATCGGATATTGGTGTGTAGCCAGTTTCAGCTCCCGTGAGAGAGGGCAAGCATGTTGGTATTTGCGGATCCGCCTCCCAGCTGAGGGGTTGCTTGGAGGGCTTCTATCGCCTCAAGGGCTCCCAACGCCTGGAGAGCTTCTGGTACCATCCATAGCTGTCAGCGCTGTCATCTTGGTTGTGACGGTATGCTGTAAGAGCTGTCTGTGGGTGTCGTTGAGGTCGAGCATGCTGCCAGGAGGACCTACAGGAGAGGGGTCGTATCAGCACTCGATCTGACGCCGCCAGAAGGTCTCTTTTCAGACGAAACAAGCAATACCATCTCGCCGTCGGTATCGTTATGAGCTTTTCGGAGGTACCCGGGGGCTGATGAAGACGTCATCGTAGTTGCAGTCGTTATGGTATCGGTGGCCAAGGACGCGATGGTAGTACGGTACTGCGGCGGTGGCTGATGGCGCGGAAGTGCCTATGCGCACATCGCAGTTATCGCAACTATTGTCAGCGTATGAGAGCTATCGGACTTGTGTCTAAGACTACAGGTATAGTCGCACGTGGCGGTCGTGTGGTAAAGCTGTCAAGATTTCTGAGCCAGGAGCTGTGAGAGACCAGAGTAGGCGAACACCAAACCTGAGGATCGCTACGCCGAAACAGCACCGCCATAGATTGAACAGCGCCTGCACGTTCACTTCAACAATAACTTGGTCTGAAGTCGGAATTTCATGTGCTTGGCGGCAGTACAGTTATGTCAACGCCCCTTCCTCATGGTGACCGGAATGCAGAGTTCCTACAAGATTCTTCATCTGATTTTTGGTATCCAGAGGGTTCAATGACCAGCATCTACGATCAAAGAATTACGGGATCAGCTCATTGAATATGTGGAACATAGAGTGATGGCATCATTTGAGAAGCTTTTTACACGAGACACAACTTGCAAAAGTGGAAGATACACCTTTCATACAGCCAACACGCCAGTCTCGTGTTTGATGGGCTAGATGTGAGGCCCTCCAGGAGTCGTACACGAATCTTTGGCTTTGTCTATATCACAAATACAGCTTCTGGAACTAAGTTTGGAAAGCCTGGGCTACTTTAGTTCAACTGGAGCAGATCGTGCCACGCGCCTATGAGCCCCCATTTGGCTCCTTCACACTCCAATATGCTAGATTACCGTCAATTCCGCCAATGCTTGACCCGTGTGTCAGCTGAAAGTGCCACATCTGGCTCCACATACCCTGAGAATCATAGGTCTAGAGTGAACTCTTGGTTGTGGTCAAGGTCCATCGTCTGCCCATGTGCACCCCCAAGCACGTTCCAATACAATCGAACTAGTTTTGCTGTCGATTCGGTATCACAGATCGACCCACTCTCCAAATCACGACTAAATTGGATACCGCGAACGGTAAGACCGCTGGGGTTGTGGATGAAGACCTTGTCGATATCGTTGGCCAGCAGCGACGCATCGGCGTCGGTAATACCTGGCAGATGCGTTTGCTTTGTCAGAGCTAAGTCCATACCAGTTCTTACGCAATGGGTGTCGGTCTTGTTCCAAACAAAGCGGTACGTGTAGGGAACCCTGGTGTAGTATTCAGCTTGAATGCGCCCACCACTCTGGACAAGCTTTGGCTCGATCTGGCAAGGTAGAAACCAGAAAACCTTTCCCGGATCTGTCCAATCGTATGACACATGCTCAAATATGATGGGACTCTTAAAGAAGGCGTCAAGCATGCAGCGAGCGAAGAGTTTGTTGACAAGCCGGATCTTCAGGACCTCCTGGATCTTTGTTGCGTCGATTGTAGTGGCCACTGGCTGATAACCATACTTGCGTTCGTCGTCTTCACACCAGTGTAGTTCAGCAGCGTAAGAACAAAGGCCTGTCAAGAAGCCTGGATCCTTTGGAAAAAACGTCTCACAGCAGAGAAGCACACCCCCGATATAGTTGTTGTAGTGGCACTTCATGATGCGTGTGATCACCTCCTCTGGCAGGCGCGAGAAAGAATCTTGCGAAGACGCAGCTATCCTTGTGGTTTCCGTCGACGTATCGATGAAGCGTCGCGGTATGGATGGTTCGAATTTCCGAGCGAGATCACAATGCCTCAGGCGACTCTTGTCTGGTCGTGGTGGTTTGAGCGGGGAGCTGACAAAACGTCAGCGGGATAGGTCTGAATATGACGGTAGACCTTCAGGGAATATACAGCTTTGCGAGCTTCTGTCTCTGGTTGTGAGAGCGCTGGTGCGGTCTGGCGTGCGAGAAAAGTGTAAGACGAACACACTTAACGAACATCAACATCACGCCGGATCGTGAGGCCCAAGCGTTAGCCATGACTATGCCAACTTCCTAAACTGCGCTAAGAACTTCTTGTATGTCTGAAGGATATTCTACGAATTGTCAGCAACATTTTGGGCCGATGGACTGAGCTGTCACTGTCCATGCTTGAAGCGTCGAAGCATAAGCATACATCGGAGGTCAACATTTCAAAAGAACCATGGGATATGCATAATGATAAGGTAGACTTTACGTAAAGGAATTTGTCTTCATTCATGCTTGGTCTACCTAATATCAAGCGGCCAGCTCCTCCATCGACAAGCTGTCTTCCATCATCGGTTTAGCGAGCACGCACACCAACTGGATAGCCTCTTCAGTCCAAGGACCACGTGTTCCACCTCGTCAAAACCACTCCATCTCCTCCTGGGTCGACGGCGCCATCGTCAGTGTACCGCCCGCGAACTGTCCTGTCCCCCAGAAGAAATTGGACGTTGGTTGGCCCAGGTGAACTGGTGACCAAAGCGAGAACATTTCTCCAGAGTCCTCCTCACGGACGACACCGGTAGGTTCCTCTCGAGCCAGAACGTAGTCCGCTTGGGCAAGCCTGTTTCTGAATGTCGCAGGGTCGCCGCCTACAGCTTCCACCATCTGATTCAGGTGCGCCCTAGCTGCCAGCGTGCCCCGAGCTTGCTGCTTGAAGACTGCCCAGCGAAGAGTACCGTTCGGTTGTTTCATATAAACTCGTTCGCCGTCCACAAGGTTGCTCTTCGACTCTTGACTACACTACAACTCGTTAGCATACAATCGGGTGAATGAGAAGGAGGGTATACATACTCCATGCTCCCTTCCATACGACCAGTACGTATTGGTCGCGTTGACCACGCAGGCACGGCCACGATCCCACGCACCGGGATAAGGCGGAGATGGCGGAGGCGGGGGAGGAGGGGACGGCTTGGGGGGAGACGCCGCGGTGTCCTGCCGACGACGAGGACTTGAAGACTCCGTGAATCTGGAGGCAATTGACGAGGCAGAGGGATCAAGGCCATTCGGGTCCTGGGCCATGATGTCGTCAACGACTCCATTCATATACGCAAGCATGTCCTCCGGGAGGTTGCTGAACATCGCTACGATAGACTCGAACGATGGTGGGGTATTTGACTGCATACCGATGGTTATACGACTTTGGCTTACTGAAGAGAGGGGAAGTGAGACAGAGTTGTTGTGTCCTTTGACCTTCCTGCCAAGACTGTGAGTGGGCTAGCGTCCTTCGCGAACGGTCACCCAGGCGATACTCGAAGAGGATTAAGGGAGTGGTGGTGAGAGGGGATGAATTTCGAAAATCTGCGGATCAAAGGAAGCGCAGAGGCAACATTACGCCGGTTTCGAGGTTTTCGAAGAATGTACTCTCCAGGGAGAGATCGACAGTGACATCTTGGAACATATGGCATTACAATGGAGGTTTCTATCTGACAAGTGGGATTTGATTACGGAGCTTTTAGCACTTGAAGGTATCCTAGAGAAAGGGGAGACAATATCTAACCGTAGCCGATGTATAATCGTCTTCCATCATCGGCACCTTCACATCCTTAGTTCTGCTCTATGGTATGTTCGAAGGCCTGTTGTCCACCTATGTTACGTCCTCAAGTCAAAGCAGTTGTGTCCAAAGAACACTCCTCATACGATTGGCAGGAGCCAATTCGCTCCTAACCTCATTTCCAGAATCACAAACCCATGGCCTGAGAGAACGTCGACTCGTACTTCGCGGTAAGCTCGTAGTAGCCTCGTCCTTGCCTCTTCAGCTTCGGTTTGTGTTATGCGGAAACAGCCTTCCCTCCTCGACTAGCATATGTAGAAGTACCTCGATACGTATCTCCGTGGGCAAACCGAGGAATCTGAGACGCACAGTTTGTGGCTAGGACGTTGGTAGGAGGGCGTCCATGGCGGCGATGTTGGTTTTTTCGAGCTGGGCAGCAGCTACTGAAGACAACGAGGGAGAATGGGACATATGTGATCAGTCAGAGCATGACTGAAACTGTGATACGTGTTGTATACATACCATGGGTAGAGTTGGAACGATGAAGGGATTGCTGCTCGTGGACAAGAGCGATCAGTTACGGCGGCTCGTGAGGCTGAGATACTTTGAATCGTGTGCTTTAAAGAGTTAGGGTCTACGAGTATCGGAGAGGGTGGTAGACAAGTTGGGGTTGCGAGTGTGGAAGAGTTCAAATCAGTGTGCGTATCGCAGACGCGCGCTTTCATTGTACGGTGAACGCACATCATATACATCAAAACATCTCTCTGGGACAAAACCCTGCAACCAGGTGAACAGAAGGTAAAGCGCCATATCTGGTTGCAGCGAACGTATAAAGATGAACTGTTTATTTGGACGTATTTGGTCTCACTAGAGCACCTAAGAGCCGCTGTCAAATGTAAACTACTACCTGAACCGACAGCATATATATCGATCTACGATTCAGGCGTGTGGACAACTTGACAAACGCATGCCTCTACGTAACGGAATGACCCGAGAATGTCGACACGTCAAGGTGCGAAATCTGCATGTAGCTTTACGTACCACGAGCATAGCACGATGATGAGTAAGAGGTATCATAAAATATACATGATGCTATTACGATGATCACACTTACCAGTCTACATCGCTATGTTCAACCAGAATCGCGACGTGTACTCGGGCGATAATAAGTCTTGATTTGGAGTCGCTGAGTGCGAAAGTCTCGGCAAGGCAGGCATCAGTCCGATGCTCCGTATCGATACTGTCTAGAGCCTATCAAAGGAGGAGTGTGATGGATGTCCGGTTCGAAGAGTAGTCGAACGTTGTTCGTGCTCCTTGCGATCTTGTGCTTCGTACACTTGGTAAATCTTATCTAAAATGAAAATACATCATGGGGTCTTTGAGCTGACGTCACCTAACTCTGCATTCATTTCGGCCAAGGCGCTCTCTATCTCGCCAGAATGGCTCATTGCCCATGCAACGAACACTAGTCCGATCGCGCAGATAAGAAATGCTTGGGTCGCGATGAGGGTGATCTTCCCTTTGAAGGTTCGAACATTAGGTTGGGTCAAAACACCGAGAACGTCATCTACCAGCGCGACATAGGCCGTGCGAAAGAGCGTTCGATCCACCATGACGACGAGTCTTTGCAGGACAGGTGTATCGAACGCCAGACAGAGTGCGACCATTCTGCTACCGACAATCCACGTCAAGGCAACCAGAAAATTTGATCGCCGCTGTTTCGTGCCAACAGCACGTTCGCCGATGACTTGGTCGGCGCCGTAACTCAATAGTACATCCATCAAGAAGCGTGTAACGTTGTACGGCGCATCGAACAGCCGACCGTATGTTGCGATTACACCTGCGCGGTAGAAGTCGTTTTTACGCGTGAAGCGGATCGATTGCTCGGGAGTAGGTTCGGGTTGGTTTGTGGGGTAGAATAAGGATGCTGCGAGATATGTGGGTATCGCAAAAGAGGCCGTGATTGGTAGTATGTTCGTGCCAGTTGGAAGGCCAAGGGCTTGGTGGATGGCTGGCGACAAGGATAGAGCAAAGATGCTGGCGATCATGGGGGCGTACAGATGGACATATCGGCGCCATGCCGAGATGGCGGGCTGTGCCTCTCGTTCGGGGAGAGGGGGCACATCCGAAGGGCTCTGCGATTGTCCATTCGCGTGGTGGGTGTCCATTGCGAGAGGAATGTCGCACGTGGTGGTAAGCTTCGCGTGCTCCAGGCCGCCTCTTGGCTTGGGGAGCTTCGTTGCGCACAGACAACCTTGGAAAAGACCCCCCTTTGTATGAACAGGCCTCCTCTCTTACCACCCACAACTCTGCCTAAAGCACAACCGTTCAATGGCCTTCATGGCTTTGTACATATCCTCGCCACGCTTCCTGCCTGTGTAAACAGTGATCTATGTGCACACACTGTGATTTTCGAGGGCCCGAAACTCAGCATTGAGCCACACATGATGGCATGAACGAATGCGAAAACGAATTGCATCCTCCCCCACGTTGTCGCTAAGTCCACTTGAAGCACGCATGTAATGCTCGTCCACGCAACCTCTGACACGATGTGGCTGTTAGGCCATGAACGTGCCGGTGGGACTTGAGAAGGCCCACAAACCCGGGTTGCTTCAACAGGCAGTCGCTCACCACCGCAAAGCATCAACATAGCGCCAAGAAAGCCATGCTCCTTTCTTTTGAAACGAGATGACTACATTCAAAGGGAAGTGAGGTCGAAAATCGCGCATGGTCATAGGCTGAAGCGGCAGAAGCCTGCTTTCGTGCATCGTAGCGTGGCTGTGTACGTGTTCGAAAATCGCTCACGGCTAACCATCAACGGTCCCGAACAACACCATCGCCAATGGATTATCATGCTCACGTGGGAAAAGGTCCGGCGGGATACCTCTGGCGGTCGCGATTTACCTGTTGCAGGACCCTGGTCCTGTCTTGGTTTGTATGAGGTATTTGTGCGTCGAATCGCTTCAACTCGACTATGACAAAGAGGTGAAAGATCCTGTACCACATTCTTGGTGCAATTTCATGTAGCTCAGCTTTCCAAGGATTTTTTACGTCCTAGAAACGCCTCCCAGAGCGAACGAGCACGTGTTTGACGCGTTGCCAGAGCTGCCAGAGCCATGCTGCTTGTCATAACGGCAAATGGTCTTTCCACTTGTCACAGTATAAGTCGCGCTTCATGCATCCATGAGTCTTGTGCTACCTCTCTTCTCGCTTTCTAGCTCGTTTCTCCCTCTTTTTCGCACATCTCTTTGTGGTGCTCCATCCAGTGTCTAGCCCACTACACCGACAGGTCCGTACATGGATCAAGAAGAAGAAAAGGTCGCACCTCGCGTCCGTTTTGGAGAGCTTCGCCTTCCTGACGAAGAAGACGGATATGCGACGCACGAACGCCGCCATGAGCGTAATCTATCGCGACGGTCAAGTGTGGGCAGTCTCTCCATCCGCAGTGCTGGAGGAGCTCGCACTGTTCAGCCCGAGACTGCACTGCCTATCACTTGTGAGCAATGCTTCTATGTGGACCGCGTGTGGAACATGTGCTGACCTCCTCGATTGATATTCAGACCGTACGCTTTCCATCGAGATCGATGAGGGTCAACACAAGAAGCAGATCGAGGTGAAAAAAGCCAAAGAGAAGGCTGCCGTTGGTAGGTTTGCTCAAGTATACCAGCACTATTAGTACTGAGTATTTTGTTCTAGATCTAGCAGATCTCGAATGGCATACACTCGCCGTCCACGAGCTGTGCCGCCGCCTCTCTGTCGATATCGAGCAGGGACTTTCCGAAGATCAAGCAAAGCGTCGCCTCAGCGAACATGGTCAGAACAAAATGACACCTCCACCCTCGGGCCTGCTATGGAAGATCATAGGCTACTTCTTCGGTGGCTTTGGTAGTATTCTCGTCGTTGCCGGCATACTGGTATTCATCGCCTGGAGGCCTCTTGGTCATCCACCAGCTGTTGCCAACTTGGCGCTTGCATGTGTATTGATCGCTGTCTGGCTTATACAAGCCGCTTTCAATGCATGGCAAGACTGGTCGACAAGTAGAGTGATGGCATCTATCGGAACAATGCTGCCCGATCAATGCATCGTTGTACGCAACGGATCGCATGCTAGCATTTCAGCACTGGACCTGGTGCCTGGCGATATTATTGTCATCAAGCAGGGCAACAAGCTGCCCGCCGATGTTCGTTTCGTTGACATCTCCAGCGATGCCATGTTCGATCGCGCAATCCTTACTGGTCAGTATTATGTCTGCAACCTAGGTACGAGGACTAACATACAATAGGTGAATCCGAGCCCGTCGTAGCTACCGTCGAATCAACTGAAGACAACTATCTCGAGACCAATAATATCGGTTTACAAGGAACACACTGCATATCAGGCTCCTGCTTGGGTGTGTGCGTTGCTACTGGTGACAACACCATCTTCGGTCGCATCGCAAAGCTTACCTCGGATCCAAAGACTGGCATGACACCGCTCCAGAAGGAGATCCTGCGTTTCGTGCTCATCATCTCACTCTTCATCACCACTGTCGTGATTCTCATTGTGGTTCTCTGGTATGTCTGTGGTTGGTCTCGAGCGACATGTCTATGCTTAGCTCTCTACGAATTGAAGGATTTGTACTCACGCATTTCAGGGCAGCATGGCTGAGGAAATCTCATCCCACTTGGATTGACGTGCCTCTTCTCATCGTTAGTTGTGTTTCTTGCGCTGTTGCATGTAAGACACTGCCAATCCGTACATCCATCACAAGTGTGCTGACTTTACTGTTTTCTTCTAGTCATTCCAGAAGGCTTACCGATTGCGCTTACGACGAGCTTGACGATTGTTGCAAACATTATGCGCAAAAACAAGATCCTTTGCAAGTCGCTCAAGACTGTCGAAACACTGGGATCCGTTTCAGTGATCTGTTCTGACAAGACCGGAACATTGACCAAGAATAAGATGGTGGTCACGGACATCTACGCAGCGGGAGAAGAATACACTACAGATGCCGCGCGTGACATGATGGCGGTGTTTCGGTCTGAGAAGAACCTCACTGTTCTCTCTAAACCTAAGCAAAGCATCATGGACCACGTCCGTATCCTCGGTGGCCTTTGCAACTCTGGCGAATTTGACGCCGCTACGTCACATTTGCCTATTGCTGAGCGCAAGATCAACGGCGATGCCACAGACCAAGCCATACTTCGACTTTCTGAGGGCCTCGGATCAGTGGCTGAGTTGCGTCGCGACTGGAAAAAGGTCTTCGAGATTGCATTCAACAGCAAGAACAAGTTCATGGTGCGGATCATGACACCTACCAATCAGACGTCGACGAGCAACAACGCCACTCTCATGGTCAAGGGAGCTCCTGATATCCTCCTACCCCGATGCGACCTTCTCCTGAACGACAAAGGCGAAGAAGTGGAGCTTACTGAAGCCCAACGCCTTCGTATCGAGACCGTCAAAGACAGTTGGTCCCGCCAGGGCAAGCGTGTCATACTTCTCGCTCGCAAGCCGACCATCGTGCCATTTTCCAGCCATCCTGAGAAAGAAGTAATGGTCGCTGCCCGAGAGGGTCTTACGTTTGTCGGCATCGTTGGTATCGTTGATCCGCCTCGCGACGAGATCCCAGAGGTAGTGCGTGTTCTTCGAGGAGCTTCTATCCGTATCTTCATGGTGACCGGTGATTTCAAGCTCACTGCTCAGGCGATCGCTGAGGAGTGCGGCATCATTTCGAATTCCGCATTGGTAGATGACATCAGCGCTCTTGGTCGAGATGGGAAGATCGGCACTACGAAGCAGTCGATCGTCTTGAGTGGACCAGAACTCATTACCCTAAACGAGGCGCAATGGGATCAGCTTTGCCAGTATCACGAGATCGTTTTCGCCAGGACGACGCCTGAACAGAAGCTCCGTATCGTTAAGGAATTCCAGGCACGTGATAACATTGTCGGTATGACAGGCGATGGTGTCAACGATGCTCCATCGCTCAAAGCTGCAGACATTGGTATCGCCATGGGCAGTGGTTCAGACATCGCCATTGAAGCTGCTGATATGGTTCTTCTCGACTCGTTCGCCGCCATCATTGAGGCTGTCCAATACGGTCGGCTCGTCTACGATAATCTCAAAAAGACAATAGTTTACTTGCTTCCCGCAGGTAGCTTCAGCGAGCTGTGGCCGGTCGTTACCAATGTCGCGTTCGGTATCCCGCAGATCCTGTCGTCTTTCCTCATGGTAATTACGTCTGGGTTTGATGCTCAATGCTTATTAGCTAACGTTATCCAGATCATAATCTGCTGTCTCACCGACTGTGCCGCCGCTATCACTCTTGCCTACGAAAAGCCGGAGGCCGATGTAATGCTTCGCCCTCCCCGCAACCCCAAGAAGGACCGACTTGTGAACGCTCGACTCATTTTCCATGCCTACTTTGTCGTCGGTCTGCTGGAGTGCTTTCTGGCCTTCACTATGAGCTTCTGGTATATGGAGCGTAAGGGAGTTCCGTTCACGGCAATGTGGTTGAAGTTCGGTGTGTACGACGAGCAATACGATCCGGACTATGTCACGGAAATCGCAAACCAGGCCTCGAGTGTCTACTTCGTCACACTGGTAATCATGTAAGTTTGAACGAGCAGGTGATGCAAAGAACCAGCTGACATTGGCGACAGGCAAATATTCAACCTACTTGCTACTCGCACCCGTAGGCTCAGCATCTTCCAGCAGCCACCGATCTTCAACAAAGCGACTCAGAACTGGTCACTCTTCCCTGCCATGATCTTCGCGATCGTTGTTGTCTTTATCTTCTGCTACATTCCATCTCTTCAGGACACTATCGACACGAGGACGATATCCGTCGAGCACTGGTTCCTTCCGGCTGCTTTTGGTATGGGATGGCTCACCATTGATGAGGCAAGAAAGTATTGTGTGCGCCGATGGCCCAACGGGTTGCTTGCCAAGATTGCTTGGTGATAATCTTTGGCTCTATTTAAGGATGCGAATTGCTTGGTCCACTCGGCATCGTGTCGTCGCAGAGATTGGCTTGTCGGGCAGTCGGGATGGTTAGCAATTCTGGACAGAAACATGTTCACGTACGCCACTTCTTGAGATTTGGTACGCGTGTATACATCCTTAAGATAAACATAGCCAAACTTCTTCTTTGTATTCACCAGCGGTTTGGTCAAGAACTGTGCCTCCTCCCACATACTCCATCGTCCCACACTGCAGTATGCTACTTCTTACTTCAGCCGCAATATCTTGAAATGCGCAACCCCTGCCCTCGGCAATTTTCCATGCGATACCCCACACGAACTGCCTTGCACAACGAGGAGTCGCGTGGCTGAAGTGCCGGCCAGTGAGCATAAGGGGCCTTCATCAGCTGGTGCCAATCTAAACACCTTGTAATATGTCGGCTGTCGCAAAGGACAACCCAGGATGCAGGCTTGACCACATTGGTCGCGGCTAAAGGCGGCCGTACCCCAATCGGCTTCCTGCGTGAGGAACAATATATGAGTTTGGTAACGGGAAGGAGGCAAAGCTAGGTGTCTGCGGATGATTTTCCATGCAGTGAGGAAAGCGTCACTACATGGGTGTTAGCGCCTGCTCCGGAGTGAAGAGCCAAGCGAAGACGCCCCGCAGACTTCGTCAAACCTTGCTCCAACTTCATCGTTCCACATGCCCGCGACGACGAACCACTAGAATCTCCGGTCGCCGTATGAGCTTCAAAACATGCGCCTAGTTCCAGTGCACAATGTTACAACGGTCTATGTATGCTCGTCATTGCATGGTTTGTCCTCGCCATCTACTGGCGCACAGTAGTGCTTCAGCAAAGTCGAAAGCTCGTCAGTGTTTTGAATTTACCACCACATATAGCCCCGATCTCTGGACATCGGAGCATGCTTGGCGTCTCTGTTTCCCAACACTCTGTTCCCACTTATCTTCACCGCCTGATGACATCAAACTGACACTAAAGTCAGCATGGATGTCCAAAAGCACCGCACGCACGACGCAATATCGCCAACGTGGGAGCCCAACAATTCTTGCATCTCATTCAGCCTCAAAAATACATCCATAACTTCTTATTCGAATAAACTGGAAGATCCGGAGCATCCAAGCATGTCGGCCACATCGGCGGCATGTTCAAGTGGTGGATGACCCACGGTAATTTGGATTGTGATGCTGATCCTCACCCCAAGCTTGATCACTCTCAAGATGTGACGCTTCACATGCTGTAGGTGGATGTGACTGACGAAGTTCTACTCGATGAATACTTGCACAAAGTTGACAATAGTCATGCTGGCGACCTATTGCACTTGAGATGTCTCTTGACTCTCTACAGCACCTTTTGAAGCACTTCAGCAGACAGGCTATGGATCATCCAGTCTTCGCAGACTCTAGTCTTCAAGGGGGCTCGGCGTTCATTACACCGACTCCTATCTGTTGATTAGATAGAAGCCAAGTGCCTTGGAAAATATAGCGTAAGGGCGCTTTGCCTCCAATGCCACGGGCGTAATATCGTTGGCGGCAAATCTAAAGCCTGCATCCGGGCATCCGGGCTCGTCAGTGGTCAAATCAGCAGTATGATTTGGCAGCGAGCCTGACAAGCTGCAACGACCTTCCCAGTGCACACTCCAGAATTTGTTGTTCTTTGGTTCATCTTACGAAGTGGGCAAACAATATGCGTTGCATGCTTCCCCAGCCCAATCATCATACCATTATATATTAAACCTATAATATGCAGAACTGATCGATCAGGATCTCCCCGTGGTCCGGCAGTTGTCCTCGTGGACGACCCCAATTCGGCGATTACTATTGCGTTCTCATTATAAGAGAAGTTACTACAGGACACGGCTGTGAACTCTGTGTCTCTTCACTCATCATCGTTCATTTCGTCGAGTATCACTCGCACCTTCACGAGTCGAAAACTACGTTACAATCGCTAGTCACAATGCAGTGGGCTACCTTACTCGCTGCAGCAACGGCCCTCGCCGGGAATGTTGCTGCACAAAATATGTTGCGATTTGCTTGCTCGCAGCTTGTCGTCGAACGAACAGATCCTCTTGTCAACCCCGGCGTGAAGTACACACCTCATCTTCATCAGATCGTCGGAGGTGACTCCTTCAACATCACCATGGACCCCGCAAACGACCCCGCGCAGCTTTCGAAGTGCACTTCCTGCAGCTTCGTCCAGGATAAATCGAACTATTGGACTGCTGTGATGTTTTTCAAGGCAAAGAACGGTAAGTTGTGAAGGCACGAAACGTATGTGAGACATACACTGACTTTGTACCTCCGTCTTCTAGGCACATACATTCGCGTGCCTCAGGTACGTAACATCATAGCGGGGAAGAAAACACTAGGGCACGCTTCTAACACATGGCTCAGATTGGAAATGGTGGACCACAAGGAAAGCTCATCAACGACGGCGGTCTTGATGTCTACTATATCCCCAGCGGCAAAACCACCGCTTTCAAGAAGGGTTTCCGCATGCTTGCAGGCTCAGCTACCAACACCGACAACAGCAAAGTCAAGCTATCCAACATCTGCCATCGCTGCTGGACTTCCCCCTCTGAGAGTACCTTCGTCGGTGGCGCACCTTGCTCAGGGAGTGACACTGTCGCCATCCCCAAGGACCCTAAGTGCAAGCTTATCCGCCAGACCATCATCTTCCCTACTTGCTGGGACGGCAAAAACCTCGACTCACCAGACCACCAAAGTCACGTTGCTTACGGCCAAGGCTCAGGTGCTAATGGAGGTGGTGCCTGCCCATCCACTCACCCTGTCAAGCTTCCTCAGATCATGTACGAACTGATGTGGGATGTTAACAAGTTTGCCGACAAGAGCTTGTGGCCCACTGATGGTTCAGATCCTTTCGTTTACAGCATGAACATTGGGTACGTCTTCTCGCGAGGTCCACTTTCACTTGGCAGCCTTGTCTCCAGCGAGATAGAGCACGGCTAATTATGAACTTCTAGCGGTGCTGCTGCACACGGCGACTACGTCTTCGGTTGGGAAGGCGACTCTCTCCAGAAAGCCATGGACAATCAATGCAACCTCAACACTGCATGTCCCAAAGCTGGTCTTACCGTCCAGCAGCCCGCTCAATACAACGCTTGCAAGAAGAAGCAACAAGCTCCTGAAGACGTTGACGGCTGTAAGTACCTCATCAATAATCTGCTTGAATGTAGCACGAAGCTAACACATGCACCACAGGGCTCAAGGAGATGCCACTCGGTGACATGGCCATCAAGGCTTAGACGCGATCGGTCCCTACAAATATCTCATGGCTGCGGCGACGCACTTACTACTAGCTTGGTTCCCCATTGCTGAGAGTTGTTGAGGTGGTGCTTTCTGCTTACCACTCGTTTGGCATTGTTCTATATAATTCTTTAGATCACCGAGGACGATGCGAATGCACCTTGTTGTTACCAGAATTTCTACCCTTGCCATGTAATCTGCCCGTGACGCCGTTACTCCGTGACTATTAGCCATAGTCGCCTCCTATCCGCTCATCTCCACGTCTGGCCTTGTTGCGCAAGAAGTTTCTGCCTACCGTATCTGTCTAGGAGTCTTGACACTTCAAGAGCAATAGTACGAAGTCGACAGACAAAGCTCGCTCACATAGCTGGGTGGCGAAGCACCAAGGGCGTTTCTAGCAATTATGTTGAGCCATACTGAACACACCGGGGAAGCTTCTCCCCAGAGCTCTAACATGTGAAAACCAGAAGTTCATAGCGCAGCATCAAGCAACTTCCAAAAAACACATGGACTTGTGCTATGTCAAATATATTCAAGGAAGACGCAAAGATATCTACAAAACCCCCATTTAGCCCCTCCCTGTCAGTCTACAGCTTATACGATACGCAAATCTAAATTTTCCCTGTGATATTCCCTGTCTCTCCCGTGCTCGCAACCCCGTTCTTGCTCAACAAAGCTTGAAAATTCTGGTTTGCACCCGCGGAGAAGTCATGCGTGATGTAGTTGTACACATCATGCACCGGAATCGTTGCGCTAGTCGAAGACGGGTTCGACACTTTTCCCTGCGCGCAGGCAAAACCAAGACGTTTGCTACCGCTGGGATCAACGCGTACAGTACCGGATGAGCCGGTGTACGTAGTGCAGCCAGTACATTTGACGGTGTATTGCCAGTGTGTGTTGTTTGACTTGTTGCCAGTGGTCAAAGGCGTATAAGTTGCAGAGGGATATTGTTGAGGCGTGGAGTGGCCGCTTTCGTACGTGTCAGAGAGAATTGTGGCTATTTCTGGATAAAGGTGACTTACGTGGCCCATCGTGAAGATACAGTGGGTTTTTGGCCGTTAGGATATGCGACTGTGAGAGGGTTACGGATCATACTACCGCCCCAGGCAAGACCGACCCAGCCGAGAGAGTTGGGCGCAACAACTTGGAGCACTACGTCGTAGGGCTGACCTGCTGGAACATTGGCAGGTTGCGCTATGCGGTAGATGATGTTGGAGCTGAGTGTTGCAGCTGCCTTGGTCTCGGAGAATGTGAAGCCTGTTTCCGAGTCCACGTAGCTCACAGCGCGAGGCGCTAGATGCTGTGATTCTGACGTTGGCCATGCTTGAGCTACACGTTGTCAGTTGGAACTGCACTCCGTGTAAGCCGAATTTACTCACCAAGGCCGGCCAAAGCCGCGAGACCATAGGTGAAATACATTTCGACAGTATTGTCAATCTAGAAGATTTCGTGCTGTCTACAGATAGAGCAACCGCACAAAAAGATGAGCTTGAAGTTTTCAAAGGAGTGAAAAATATTGTGCGTGTCACAAGCAGAACCTGGAGCGACAAGATGCCTTAATAAAAACAAATCGAGACTCGCCAAGCTGCCGCGCTGGAGATCCATCCACTCGACAACCATAGCGCAAAGTACAGAGCGGCGATATACAAGCACGCGTGCAAGATAAACTAGAATAGCAACCAGCTTATCCAGGTTAAGACCTTACTGCCACGCGTGACTGACCTCACTGCGACCCGGATATGAGGTTCTGAGGCTTCTGGAGCGTGGGCCTACATCCAAAGAACAGTCTGTGATTACAAGCCCAAGCCATGCCAAACTCTCCTTGGTGAATGTGACCTTGCGAGTACGGTGAACACGCTGTTTCTGGAAGGTCGTGAGCGTCGGTACCATGTTTGTTGTGTGGGCTGTGAGAGGTTGGCGAATTTATCCGCATAGTGTGTAGAGTGTAACATAGATGGCTTTGTGTATCGAAGAAGTGGAGATGCGTTGCCACACACCCGGGAGACATCAACGCGACTATGAAGATACCAGTATTTCCGGCTTGACTTGCACCGAATGCGAAAGAAGTTGATGATAGATTGCATCGAAATGGCTGTAACGCAAATACACTGCTCATGGAAGTGCGTAAGCGAGATGATCGTGACCCTGGACCATATCGACTGCTTGTACTCCAGATGTAGTTTGTCGAAAGTTGATGCCACTGCAAGCGAGCGCCACAACATGCACTCACTCCGAATCGCTTCCCCACATTTCGCTTGTGGGGCAGTAACACATCCACGCGGAGCTCACGTGGCTTGCCGCTTGTGGCGCTGCGAAGCTTATCGTCATAGCGTTGTGGTGGGATGTGGTTTCGTATTCGACTGCAGAACCTTGATATTACAACCTTCCTTGTGTTATCTTTCCTGGGATAGCGGTTACCGGCCCGCGAATGAACTTTTGAGTAGCCAACATTGAGGCCAGGAAGTAGAGTATATTCTTGATATGAAGAAAATCTTTTGCGAATAACGGTGATATAAACCGCTCGTGTAACGACATCTATATGATAAGGTTACGTTAGCGCGAGTGAGAACCAGCGCTTTGAAGTGATATAATATTACAGACCGCGCACAAGTCATCGCTCATGCTTTCGCCATTGCAGCTCACCCTTCTGTGATCTTTTGCATTCTCTGTGCAACTACGCAAATTGACCTCATAATTCCCATCTTCGCTTGTTGTGCACCGCCGGATTTCGCAAACCAGAACGCAGTGACGGCGACAGAAGCAAGCGCTAAGCCAACTACCCCGTGCAGTATCTTAGCTTGTCTTTGGGACGCTTGGATAACTTTGGAGTATCGCAAGTTACTAAACGTGACGCGCGAATACTGAGTAGCCCAGCCAGCGCTCGGGACGTAAAGGTAGAGCTGCTCTTCCACCCACTTCCGCAATAGATATAGCGGTTTCTTGACATCACTTGCCATCTCGCGATAATTACCCATGGCAAGATCGTTAATGGCGTGTGCATCGGGAGTTCGCTCTTTAGTGTATTCCCTTAAGGCCTTGGACCGATCGTTTGGATGTTTGTCAATGAAGTCAAACAGAACGCGAACATCTTCCAGTCCAGCATTCATCCCTTGACCATAAAACGGTACCATAGCATGCGCGGCATCGCCGACAATGACGCCACAATCTTCATAGTGATATGGAGTGCATTTGATCGAGATTAAAGGCAGGTGCTGATTGGACGTGTACTGCTCGCGGAGGTCGTTTTCCGTGATCAGGTCTGGTACAACGCCTGGGAACTTCTCATCAAAGTACTCGACGACTTTTCCAGATGCATCCAACTTCTCGAATCCTTCTCTAGTCAAGAACAGCGTAGACGTGAATGTCTTGTCGAGGTTCGGAAGTGCAATGAACATAGACTCATCTTGAGGCCAGATGTGGAGGTAATTTGGAGGTATACGGAAGTCGCCGTTGGGCGAGGGAGGAACGTGAAATTGGCACCAGAGTTTGTCAATGTACTCTTGCTGGAACGACATGGGAACAAACTTCATCAGGTGATACCGAACCGCGGAGTGTGCACCATCGGCACCGATCATGAGGTCGAAGTTGATCTCGAACTCGTCGCCCTGCTCTTCAGGAGACTTAGTTCGATGCTCGAACCATGCTGTCTTCTTTCGAAAGTCTGCGCCGACCAATTTGTGGTTGAACATGAGCTTTACATTCGGCATGGCCTCCAGATGGTCGAGCAATGTTTTATTCAGACCTGTTCGATCCATAGCCAGCAAGCTCTACTCGAATCAGCACAAAACCAGGTTGAACGATGAAATCATGCTTACTCTTCCTCTCGCATCATAAATCTGCGGTTGTCGAACATACTCTCCATTTTTCCTTATATGAATCATGCGACCATGCATGGGAAATGTTTCCGCCAGTACCGCATCGGCAAGGTCGGATAGTCCTGTCTCGCGAAGGGAGTGTATACCTCGCTCAGAGAGAGCAAGGTTGATGGACTTTGAGAAGTTTAGTGGTGTAGTATTAGGGTCTCGGAGATCTAGCTAGTGTTAGGGTACTCGCTAGCACCGAGATGGTCCACAGGTCATGTCTTACCTGCTCTTAGTTCGTAGACATCTACCTCATATCCACGCACAGCCGCATAGAGCGCCGCCAGCGAGCCAACTGGCCCGGCTCCAACTACGACTACTTTCTGCGTCATGATGAGAGGCAGCGCGAGCGATGATGGATTAAAAAATGATGGATTCACTAGTTCGTGTTCTGAGGCGGGGTGGTGTGAGGTGGGGAGTAAGAGAAGGGGAGAAAAAAAGAAAGGTAAAACCCCATTTTCTACAGGGACGAAAAAAGCTGAGACACGGGTGACAATTATCAAAGCATAACCAGAAAGTCAAAGAGTCAGATAGGATGGCAAAGTAGGGCTCATGAAGCACGTCAAGACCGAAAAAGGTAAGCGCGACCTACGGTTAGCCGCTACTTAGTAATCTTTGATCGGCAGCCGGCGGCCTCGACCCCTGCAACGATTTCCGACTCGACGATGCGGCGTACGAGCGAGAGTAGCAATCCACCAGACCTTTTGTGTGCAACCCGTTACTCCACACGGACAGTTTTGTAGCGCGCTCTAGTCTGCAACGTCTGAGAAAATACAGGCCACTTCCCGCCTTAGCCATCCTCTTATTACTCTTATACCACCACACGCGATGGCCACAGACGCCCCGCGCAAATGCTCAGGCAATGACTGCGAGAACGATGCCGGCTCGCTGCAATGTCCAAACTGCCAGAAGATAGGAAAAGAAAGCTACTTCTGCTCGCAAGACTGCTTCAAGCGCAACTGGGTATATAGTGAGATTGATTTTACATCGCAGGCAAAATAATCTAACGGCCTCGCAGAGTGAGCACAAGAAGGTCCACAAGTCACAAAGTAGTATTCTCCAAAACATCTTTACGCCGAAAGTAGTTTCTCACCCGGATCCAGCTACGGGTCACTACAACCCATTTCCCACGTACTCGTACACCGGCGCTCTTAGACCCGTATACCCGCTCTCGCCGCGCCGCGAAGTCCCCAAGCACATCAGACACCCAGACTACGCCAAGGATGGCATACCGCGTTCGGAGCAGGTGTTTGTCAACAGGAACAAGATCACGATTCTGAACAAGGAGGAGCAAGATGCGATGCGCAAGGTGTGCCGCTACGGCCGAGAGATCCTGGATATTGCAGGGAGAGCGGCAAAGCCTGGAGTTACTACTGATTACATCGATGAGATCGTTCACAAGGCTACCATCGAGCGCGACGTAAGAGCAGCGGCAATCATAGCAAGACAGAGCGATGTGCTGACAGCAATAGTCTTACCCGTCACCCCTCAACTACTGCCACTTCCCGAAATCCGTATGCACATCGCTAAACGAGGTCATCTGCCACGGCATCCCCGACCAGCGCGTGCTGAAAGATGGCGACATCTTGAACGTTGACATCTCCGTCTACCACGGCGGTTTCCATGCGGATCTAAACGAAACATTCTACATCGGAGACAAGGCTCTGGCCAACCCAGACGCGGTGCGGGTAACGGAGACTGCACGAGAGTGCTTGGACAAGGCTATCGAGATTGTTAAGCCAGGCATACTCTTCCGCGAGTACGGAAACGTCATCGAGAAGCACGCAAAGAGCAAGAACTGCAGCGTAATCAGGACGTACTGCGGGCACGGTGTCAACCAGCTCTTCCATTGCGCGCCCAACGTTCCTCATTACGCGAAGAACAAGGCAGTTGGATCAGCAAAGCCTGGCATGTGCTTCACCATCGAGCCCATGATCAGTGTTGGTTCGCACAGGGACAAGACTTGGCCCGATGAGTGGACAAGTGTGACCCAAGATGGCTCTCTGACTGCGCAGTTTGGTAGGCTCTCACCCATTCGTCCAAATATCCTTTTCAGAACTAACATTGTACAGAACACACCCTACTCGTGACCGAGGATGGCGTAGAGGTTTTGACTGCGCGACTACCAGACTCGCCCGGCGGTCCAGTACAGATGCCGGGAACCACAAACGGAGAGACGAATGGCGAAGCAAAAGCAGCTGCTTAAAAGAAAATTTGGGAAATTTGGGATCACACATAGCTTCACGATACCACCATCACTAATGGATTGCGTGGCGTGGGTCGAGAAACGGGGCGTTGCTTTACTTGGCAATTGACAGATGTGGTGGACTGTTTCCACAGCATTGATCGTGATAATCTGTGTAGCAGTACAAATGGCTGGAATTTATGTGTCTGCGCATGATGTTTCGTTTTGTTTCGTTTCGGCGAGCAGTCTGAACCACCGTGAAATCATCAATCTTCCGTTAAGCTTCGGTCGGACGATGTTGGCCCGCTCATCGCACACCTGCAAGCGAGGCGAATGACGCTAACGGTGCCTGCCCGCTGTCCAGGGAAGCAATCGTGTCTCCGCCTCAACGTCATCCAAACATCTTTGCCCAACTCCCGCCAGAATTTGAACGACCTTGCTAGCCGCCGTTGCTCTTCAGGATTCTATTATCGCCATACGGTCGTGCAGATCCACCACCCACCCACGTCATCGCAACTTCTAGCTAGGCCCCGCGCACAAGCTAGCTTCCCGCGTTCTAGCTCGGCAGCCTGCAAACACACGACCGCATCCGAGTCCTGAACATCTGTCGTCTATCTGTCCATTCGCAAACAACAGCCTACTGGCGATATAGCTAGTCTATCTTCCACCTTCTTCATACGCTATAGCCGTGCTACGCAGCACACGACTCTTTCACAATGACTGGCGAAGCATGGTTGTACCTGTTGGCGGTGCTGATAAACGCCGTCAACCTGTTCCTACAAGTCTTCTTTACTATCATGTACAGCGATCTGGAATGGTAAGTGAGCCCCAAGCATACGACCCCATGGCATAGCCTCCTTTGCGACACAACCTGTACCTTGATCAGCACATGCTAATTTTGCGCCAGCGACTACATCAACCCCATCGATCTCTGTAACCGCCTGAACACCTACATCATCCCCGAAGCCGCTGTCCACGCCTTCCTGACCTTCCTGTTCCTCATCAACGGATACTGGATTGCGCTGATTCTGAACCTGCCTCTATTGGCCTGGAATGGAAAGAAGTACGTCACAAACCAGGGCTATGACATGGAAATAGGACAATGCTGACAGTAACAGGATCTTTGAGAACCAGCATCTTTTGGACGCGACGGAGATCTTCAGGAAGCTCAACGTGCACAAGAAGGTACGATAAGAGGGTATACTGAGTCCAGGAAGCCAGGCTAACACGCATGCAGGAATCCTTCATCAAGCTGGGTTTCCACCTGCTCATGTTCTTCTTCTACCTCTACAGCATGATTGTCGCCCTCATCCGTGACGAGTCTCACTAGGTGGGGATCACGCCCTTCGTCTTGATTGTGGGGATCTTTGTGGCTGTACTGGTTGCAGTGAACCTCGAGGCACGAATTCAACAGCGGTTAGAGAACGGCGGATAGATGCACTTGATATCCGGCTCAGATAGACGAGCCACGCGTACGCATATTGCTAGCGGGAGGACATGAATAGTTGTTGGGTTGAGATAATGTGGAATACCCGAGGCAATGGGTTTGGCGGCAGGAAGCGCATACAGGAAAGGATTGAACGATTTTATGTCCTGATGGGGTATGATAGCGTTATGTTAGCTCTCGTAAATGGAACCCAGTTTTCACATGTAACACTGCGCATCCTACGCATTACATAGTGAACATGGTCCGTGCGTCGTCACCCACATTTTCTAGTGAGCTGGGAGCTTCCAACTTCAACACCGTACTTGTCACTCCTCGCGTTCCACCTCTTAGTCTTTCCAACCACCAATATCGGAGTCGTCGCCGAGATCTAAACGCGCCGCGACCCTATTCCGGCTCCCAAAAACATTTACCATGGCAGCCGGAGGCTCAGGCCGCGTGCCAACCGGATTCGCTGCAGAGACATACATCAGCGACCATACTTTCCGTCAAGGCCAGCGTGCTATCGAATCAGGCGCGGGATCGAAGAAAAGGAAGCGAGAGGGCAAGGGCGACTCGAGTGTTGTAACTGGCGCTGGCGCATACAAGGGACCCTGGGCGAAGTATGAGGAAGAAAGGCCAGACGCTGCCTCAGATGACGAGTTTGGATCGGATGTCGAAGTAGAGATAGTCTACGAGGAAGACGAGATCGTCGACAATGCTGCACCCGTGCAAAAGAAGCTTGCTGGCACGGACTACCGCGATACCGAAGCCGAAGGCGAGACGAGCGAGTTTGTCGGCAGCCAGCAATACGACTACCAGGGACGGACGTATATGCATATCCCCACGGATCTCGACATCAAACTTACCGGCGATTACGAGCCTAAGAGTTTCATACCGAAGAAGCTCATTCACACCTACAAATACCATACCAAGTCGATTACCCAAGTGCGCTTCATACCTGACAGCGGTCATCTCTTACTCTCCGCTTCGGCCGATTCGAAGATCGCACTATGGGACGTGTACCACCAACGCGAGCTTCTGCGAACCTACTCGGGCCATACCAAGTCGGTGGTTGACATTGACTTCAATCCCAGTGGTACACAATTCGTATCCGCCAGTTACGATCGTTATATGAAGCTATGGGACACAGAGACTGGAAAGTGCTTGAACAAGTTTACAACTGGAAAGACACCGCATGTCGTGCGCATCAACCCTAGTACACCACACGAGTTCCTGGCCGGTATGAGTGACAAGAAGATCCTACAATACGACACAAGAAGCGGAGAGATGGTGCAAGAATACGATCACCATCTCGGACCTGTCAATACTATTACCTTCTGCGATGAGAACCGCCGTTTCATCACCACATCAGACGATAAGTCCTTGCGCGCTTGGGAATACGGTATTCCTGTACCCATCAAGTTCATCGCCGAACCTTACATGTTCTCTATGGTCCGCTCCTCACCACATCCGTCAGGCAAATACGTTGCCTTCCAATCGTCCGACAACCAAATCACCGTATACAGCTCTACGGACCGCTTCCGACAAAACCGAAAGAAGAGTTACCGAGGGCACAACGTGGCTGGATATGCTCCAGATGTGGCGATCAGTCCTGATGGGCAGTTCATCAGCTCTGGCGACAGTGGAGGCTACCTGTGTTTCTGGGACTGGAAGACGTGCAAGATGTATCACAAGATTGCGGCGAGCGATGCGCCTGTGCTGTCAGTACAGTGGCACCCTAGGGAGACAAGTAAGGTGGTTGCTGGTGACTTAAATGGTGTCTTGAAATTGTACGATTAGACGGGGAGATTGAAGGAGCGGATATAGCGATACCCTAATGCATTCGGATACCAGTTGATGATCATCTTAACTCCATCGGCGATGTTAACTCCATCGGCCCGCATAACATTTCCCTGGCTTGACGAGCAACCCAGAATGCAGGTGTAGGATGCTATGCCTCCACTTTCTCGCTGACCACACGCTGGCAAAACAAGATACCCAATCTACACAGCCCACTGTTCTGTGTATGGGCCGCATAGTTGGCGAGACGTTCGGTCTTGCGCCTCCCGTTCAGGACTTCTCCAGCGGTTCACCGGCTATGCGCTGGCAAACCTCAGAACAACATGCGCGCTTGCGCAATTCGCAGCCGCGCAATTGCCACCTTCATAAATGTCTCTTTCGAGTTAGCAATGACAATTTGCCACGTGAATGGCGTTAAGCCTGGCAGCAGCCTTGGCCAGGTTGATTGCCATTCGCAGCCCAGCGACCCCGCCATGTATCAGCGACCTTCGACTGCGCCTTCCCCCGTATCTCACAACACCGCCCTTTGCCTCTTCGTCTCTTGTTTTTTCCCAATCGTATGCGCATTTCTCCCATCTTTGGCCGCCGTCGATATACTCCTATGATGCTGTATTGCGGTGAACACTTCGCAATTCTGCCAATGGCTCCAGGCATCCATCTTTCCCTCAGCCCCCACACCCATTCTTCTTTCGGCACCGGTGACTTTTTTGTTCACCAGTTTATCCGCTTTGTCATTATCCATTCCTGGCATCGCTGTCGCCTAGGGCTCTGTGCACGTCACTTGATAGCGCGTCTCGGACTGATTCCTTGCTGCCTTCCCATACGTTCGTCCTGCTTGACGTGCCATGCAGGAGAAGACGGCGTAACACAACCACCCTACTCATCACCCAAGTCATTGACTCCGCCCTTTCTAGCCGCAACGCGGCTTTAGCTCACCCCGACCGAACTGGTTTCTTCGGTGAACTCACACACACCGGCGATGACTCTTCTTCTTGGCAGATCGAGCAGGTGCCAAAAAGGGCTGCCTAATCGCTGATTCGCTCCCTACGCGTGTCCTGCCTCAGGACCTGTCCCGAGGGAACATAGCCACGCGTGTGAATCATCGCAATCGCGCAGTCATCCACGTCGTTCACGCGCCTGGCCCAGCTATCCAGGCAACGGCGTTACATTGAGCGTAGGAGAGCTCCGATGGCAGCGGAACAATAGTCAATAGTACGAAAGGTGAGTCTTGTAGAGTGGCGGCCTCAGGTTTTGTCTGCCTGGAATAAATAGTTGTAAGGTTGGTGATTGCTTTCTTTCTTCTCTCTATCAGTCAATCGATCAAACAATTGTTCAGTCTACAGTCATATCAAGCATCTTTGAAAGAGTCAGCTGTTCTTGTGTGGTCTTAATCAACAGTACACCTTCGTCACACCCACGATACGCCCTTACCGTCTCGTATATACCCAAATCCAGCTTCATCGCCGTCAACCACATTCTATACGACGATCACTCATCCCATCCTTCTGGTCGTCACTGGCCACTGAACGCCTCCAAGTCGCTCAACACCAATCAACGATGTCGTCGAGCTCGTCTTACGGCTCCTACGGTCAGGGAAAGGGCGCCTATGCATCCCGCCCCTCGACTTCATCTACATGTACGTTGCCTGCGCCTATCAGAGCATGTCTCAAAGATGAGTCTAACATACCTGCAGCCTACTCTGCCGCTTCCTCGAGCCTATACACAAACTCAGGTAGCTCGTCACGCAGCAAAGCGTACAGCAAGCCACCCATCATTCACAATGGTGGTGGTCAGATCTACGACCCGAACACGTCGACGTCCGCGCCAAATGGAGGATACTACAAGTAGGCCAAATGCTGATGGCCTGGTGTTGACTCCTGTCTTCAGAGACAGCATGATGTCATTTCGTGGTCGTGGTGGTTACAACTTTCCTTCGGGGTGATTGACAGGTCATGGCGTTCTGGTGAGGGTTTTCTCTTTTAGATGGCTGGCTTCGGTGCCTGGAGCGATAACAAACTGTTTGGGATTTTTAGCTCAGCGTTTGTTGAGCGTTGTTAATATTTCCTTCTTGCTGGCTGGTTGAGGTCCTTTTATTGGGTTGCATCTCCCCTACTCATCTCCTTCGGAATGAGCTGTAGCTAGCACTTGTACAACAGATAGTCAGAATAATGCGCAATCGCATCGTATTCATTGCCTCATCTTCTACGACCAGGACACGATTAATGTCAAGCTTCATTCGAAAAGGTAGATTGTTGTCTGTACTTGAAGCAGATCCCACAAAGAGGTCAAGCAGCGCAATATAGTCTCTGATGAAGTGACTAGACCTTTTACTGTGTAACGCAAGACGTCAAAGTACATCTAGATGCACCAGATAATAGCTACCTGCATTAAGAACAATGTCTGTTATATAAACTTAAGAAGCTAGTATATAGCAAAAAGACTAGAGCATTGCCCTTATGCTACAGGGCAAAAAAAGACGGGTCTTACCGCGACTCGAACGCGGGGCCTCTCGCAAGCTGTGCTTGGGTTTGTGTTCTAATAGAACGTCCCTAAGCGAGACTAGGAAGATGTTAGATGATGAAGAATTGTCTTGAGATTGAATAATACGTACATCATACCACTAGACTGGTGTTTGTTAGTTGGTGTAAGAGCTGAATGGGTGCTGTGACCACATACCCATAAGACCGTATTGCTTTTGATGGCGTTTTGCTTCCCACGACCCAAATATATAGTCGGAACTCTCAGTGTCCAACGGCTCCATACCAACCCAGGCCCAGAACAGCACCAACGATGATCGCCACAGCAGGTGGGACCCCAAACCAAGCCGTTTCCGCGTAGGCCAAGGCAGCCACGACGACCCACCACGGCTCGTCCGCCAAACTCCTCCCGTTACTACTTTCTGGCGTCAAGTAACCAATTTCCCAAAGCCTGTAAACAGCCGTGAAGACTAGTCCCACAGCCGTCGCATTGATGCCCCTCAAAAGACTGAGTACCCATGCTTTGGTGCGCATGACCTGCCAAATAGACTGCACGCCGACTGCTAGCACGATGCCGGGGAAGAAGATGCCGATGAAACCAAGAATGGCGCCTACGATGGTTGGCGTAGAAGTGGATGCTGAAGCGATGCTCAGAGCGCCGAGGTATACTGCGAAATTGAAATTGGGGCCAGGGAAAGCTTGGATAATAGCCAAACCGAGGAGGAAGTCCCGTGGTGAAACCCAACCTGGGTCTACGACATAAGAGCGCAGGAGGGGAATCACTACAGGGCCGCCACCGAAGATTATGGTGCCGGCGAGATACCTATCCGGTGCGATTAGTGGGAACTCTAGGGAGCTTTATGATGAACTTACATGTTGGAGAAGAGATTGAATGACCGGCCGCTGGATACCGTACCGCGGATAACCATAATGACAACGAAGGAGATCAGGAAGCCCACGATTAGTGACGCGCCAACCTTTACAGAAATGTTATGCGTCTTGACATCCGCCACAGGTGCAACGGTCTCGGCATCGTTCTTCGCAGCCACATCATCAACAACTGGGTGTTCACCAGCATGACTCCTTCCCGCCTCTTCTCGCTCAGGCACAATCCGATCTGTTGAGCTTCCCGCCCTCTGTCTCCTCTTCACAGCCTCCGGACGCGTAAGCTCAATAGGAATGCTCTGTGTTGTAGTCTGAACCTCCTCCGCATCACCTTGTTCGTCTCTCGCTCTCCTCCTTTTAGCAAGGTACGCAGCTTTCATCTTACCCACACGCTGTCTCAGCCAAACATCCCAAGTCACAGTTGAAAGACCACCAATGACGATTAATACAGGGAAGTACCATAGCGCATTATAGCACAGACCCGCACAGCCACCAAAGATCACTAGAATGCGTGTAAGACGGTCTTTGATGGCCTTCTCGGATAATTGAACAGCCGCTAGTGCGATGATGCCAACAGTACTGGCGTTCAGTCCGGAGAGCAGGGCGTATACAATGGGAGGGAGACGTTCCGGCATCTTCTGTACGCCGAGCGAAAGCCCATACATACCGATTGCGCCAGGAAGGCTCCAGAGAAGGAAGGCGAAGACGGCGGAGAGGATGCCTGCATGTAGGAGGGCGATGCAGAAACACATTTTAGTTGAGGCTGGACCGGGGAGAGCCTGACATATTGCGAAGAGTTCTTGGTACTATGATCAGGAATATCAGCAATGCATACTCTCTGGTGAATGGGATACAAGTAGGTGAGAAAGATGTCTCTTCGTCTTCACCTTCTGCTTCTCATCCGCACTCGTCGAGCGCCACCAGCTCTCTCTCATACTGCCTACTTGCAACGCTGGAAATGGTATCAATCACACTGCTCGTTATACACTTACAGTCTGTTCGTCTAACCATTTACTTCCACCTTGAAACCCCAACCCCTCGACGAATCTCCGATGCAAGATCTGGAAATGCACGGGCGGGCCCCCGAAAGCAGTGAAGCCCAGATCCCACATGCGTGAGAAGACGTCCAAAAGACGCCATTCGATCTTTTGGGTATTTGCTTGCAGATGAGCTGGAGGAGGTGAAGCGCGACGGCTACGCCGCCGAAGTGAGCTTATGAGAGACTGGATTGGCATTGGTGATACTGGTTACTCGTATACGTTGTTGTGGCATAGGGAAGCTGGATTGAGATTGGAATAGCCCGACAGTTATATTCCTTCAGAGATTATTCCTGGGCACGCATGCACAGATTCGCCTACAGAAGCCAAGACACTCCAGTCGTAAAGAAGACGTGATGGACGCATATTGTCCAATCATCGTGCCCATGTGTTGCGACATTTGCGGCTTGCCTAGGTTCGTCTTCGCCAAGACATGGCGGATGCTTTGGGGAAGATGCTTAGACATGGAGGCAGGTTTAAGCGAGTACGTCACTAACTGGCTGTTATTGGTCAGCTGCGGATGTCGGGTAGAGTACCCAATGCAACAACTTGATCTCTTGTTGTTCAATGCTTGTTGTTTGGACTCGTTGGCCTGTACATTCTGCTTTTCCAAAATATCCTATATTTACATGCTCTGACACTGCCGGAGCCGGGAGCAGAAGAGTAGTGACGAGCGTAAGCATGCTTGCTTGCCAGATGTTGCAGTGCTTTAGGAAAGTGGTTCGTTCTGCCTATCGTCTTTGTTGGTTAGAAGACCGGCCTCCCTCGGTTCTTTCGCGTATCGAGGGTGGGAAGTGACTTTGACGTGCTCGTTCTCCTTTCAATGTCGAGATTGCCCTCGGTAGCAAGACAGTACTTGGCGAATGATTGCCTCAGAAGAGTCGTCCTGTACCTTGGGTTTGCACACTGGCGCAGTGGTTTAGAGAAAGAAGAGTAAATCGGTATGTCAATCGATGCCTTGGAGTGAGAGGCACGGAGGTCAACAAGTCACGTCCGTAGGTATGTTCTTTGTGGATCACTGTAACAAGATCGTAGGTCGGCAATCAATGGATTGTAGGCTTTCTCATAGCACGTACATGACTGCTCTTGTATCAGTCGCTCTGTAATCACAAAAACAAGAGAGAGGTTCGATCTGCCACCGGCGAGCAAACGACGTACACGAGCGGCGGACGTGACGCCTAGTAGTGCGGATCGTATCCTTCTAATCTGGACATATGAGAATGCGCCTAAAGGGACCGATGCCGCAATGCAACACTTTATGTGAGATGACGGACGATGATATTCCAAGTGCTGCGGGTAAGCTGATGCAAAGAGATGTGACAATTGCATACTTCGTATGCTGTAGTGTAGGAGGTTTGACCTGCGCACGCTAACACCCGCGAAGCACGGTTACCCGCCTGCAGTGGAGCTGTGGAGACGCCTGAGCTGCGCGTCGGCACATCTCCCTGTCAACATCTCTCACGACACATCACCCCACCAGGTACGACTTTCAGAATTTCTTGATTCTTTAAATACTCCTCAATGAATCCTCACATGATTCGTCGTGGTAAATCCTTAAGATTCCCGACATGTTTCAGATGACCGGTCCGATCACTGTTCAACCCTTTCATCGTAAACGCCTTCGCTCGTCGCGCGGGAGCCGTAGCTCAAACATCGATCGCATCGACCGTAACACCCTTGACCCAAGAATACTGCATAGCACGAGCGACCTCCAGGGCCGAGTCGTGGGAAGCCAAAGAACCCACCAAGTAGAGGCTGGCATCGAGCCCAGCGGTCACACCACCGGTGGTGATAACACGCATACCGCCCAGAGGCATGGAAGCACGCCTAGCGATAGACTCGCGGCGACGAGAGTCACGCCATGCGTTGCTACCCTTGCGAGCAATCGACTTCCTACGGGCATGTCCGGTGTTGGTGCCCTCGGGAGCGCTTGGTGGCTCACGCGACTTCTTGATGATGTACCTAGGATTGTCAGCGATGCATGCCAACGCAATTCAGACTCCACTTACGGGTTGTCGTCGGGGTTCTCGCCCAAGTCGAAGCGGGCGTTGTTGACTACATAACGCTCCTCCATGACGTCCGTACGCTCGGACATGTCTCGCCTAGCTGCGTCTTGACAGATTGTCTCGAGACGAACATAGTAGTCTGGGTGGGTTGTAGCGGCAAGGCCTTCGAGCATACCTTGCTGAGCAAGAAGTAGGGCACCGACGTCGATGGCAAGGATGGTACGCTCTTTGCTGGGGCTCTTCTCTTGAAGCTCGACGTACTTGGTGAGGAGTCCGAGAGGCTCAGACTTGTTCTTGAGGACCTCAAAGACACCCTCACCACCGGGAACGATGACAACGTCAAAGTCCTCAAGCTCGTTGTTGGCGTCCTAGGATCGATGTCAGTGTGAGTTCCGAGGCTCCATACATGTAGACTCACCTCATAGTCCATGTCTGCCTTGATGGTGAGACCCTGAACGGAGGTCATGGCAGCTGCGGTGCCGACGAATTGGCAGTTGAAGGCCTTGCTGGCTGCAATGTGTCAACAAAGGATCAATTGAGTGAGCGTTTGACTGACACTTGTCCTTGGCATCCTGGAGGGAGCGACTCAGAACCTCGAGCGGACCTGCCACGTCGAGCGTGTTGTAGCCCGGGAACAGGGCAAACAGCACCTTGACCTGCTCGACAGGGCCTTCGGTGCTGTCAGCGATTGCACTCATTGTGAATGATTTGATGTAGAATGTGGATTGAGATGAATTGAGTAGGTTGTAGGAGTGAGCATGAAATTGTCGTGTGAGGAAGCAGTGGGAAGGAGCGAAGCTACCTCAGCTGAGAGGGGTAGCTACTATAGTCTCGTGAGCAACTGACGACCAACGCGTCACGGTCTGTCGAGCTCCCTCCCCCAGACATGCAACCCCGCATAGCACGGACCGTTAGTGGCTGGAAGTAGACTAGCTGGCGGGGCAGAGCGTCGATCCAACCTCTCGGTGCCCTGACCCTTGCTGGACCACCTCGATCGCATGCGTCCCTGAAACACCGATTGTAAACTGTAAGGAATCGATCTGAGGTACTGCTCTACTACACACTCAGGCGACTGCTGTATGGAACAAGTTTGCCGACATGGAGACTGGGTAGTACCTGTGTTTCCTGATTGACATGCACGGACCAATCGTTCACGCGTAAACCATCGTAGGTGAACGACTAAAGGTCACGTTGTTTTCGAGAAACACTAGAATGACAGCAATAAACATTGAGTTCGACGCGTCTTGAACGTGCCTCCTGACTTCTCGACAAGCGTCAAGAGGCTGTACGCTAGAAAGCACATGACATAAGCTGAAACTCAATTACACTGCATCTCGGGTCCACTTGACCACTGCTTCCTTTTTATGGGGTCCAGATCACTAACCCTCCTCGACCGGTAATTATGCCTCGGATGTTGCAATCAGAGCAACACATCTTCTGTCGATCATTCAATCAGCTTTGTCTGTATGTGTCTTGAATCTTGTCCCAGCCAAGAATGCGACTCTCAAGGAAGTCACAAAGGCTATAATCAAAACAGTACCCCAATCTTCACCGCGCCACGACGCAGACTGCAGTCAATCCTGTACACTAAATGCATCAAAGGCCGAGCAAATGAATGCAACATCAACGAAGAAGGTGGCAGCCTGTATGTATCTCCAGACTTTCAGGTCGTCGGTTACTCGGAGAAGGCCGCCTGAGAGAAGAGCTAGTCCCATCATTCCGCCGCCGGCTTGCTGAAAGATGAACGATAATTGGAATTGACACCTCCATTGCGAAGCTCCTTTGGGACAAGCGAACTCATAACCCATTCTTAGTCCACGAAGTCGTTATAGGCGGCATGGATAGCGACCATGGGATCAAACCTCGTGAAGAAGAAGCCATAGAAACCGGGGACCAGGCTGGTGGTCATTTCGCAGATCGAAGATTGTATTGTGGCTGGGCAAAGGCTGAGATTCTCAGTTGTAAAGAAATCTGAACACCGACGGATTGTCAATTTAGACGGGTCGCGCAATGTATATCAGAGGTGGAGAAGATACTTATGCAGGCTGGACCACTTTCCCGCTGAGATATTTCAGGGCGTAATAAAACTAAGGCACCAACTGCGCTGAAGAAGCCAAGCCTGATTATACAAAGCAACATTTAGAAGACAGAGGATTGGATTGGCTTATTTGCAGCGTGCTGACAGCAGATATCCTTACAACGAAGCGCCGCGAGCTACGTGAATCAGACGACCAGAACGCGAGGAAGGGAAAACAGAAGACATGATAATCCACTCGCAAGTATGGCGTTAGTGATGAGAAGAGCCAGAAATTTAATACAAGTGTGACGATCGAGTTTCTAGGTTGTTCCTTAATCCTGCTATCTCGTGTATAGGAAGTTCTAGATCTGAATACGACATGTTGAAACTCGTTCGACTGAGTAAGGCGAAAATAGGTCGAGAGTGTTGCACCGCTGTGGTAGGGAGAGAACTGCATCTTGAGGAGGGCGTTCAAGGCGGACGGAAGCTAGATCGGTAATGCGCACGGAGCACGCGTGGTAGCGCGACATGGCCCGAAGTGACAGCAACGAACACGTCTACCGCATCATGGCGGCATCGAATGACAATGACGCGCCGCTGGCGGACGAGATAAAGCAGACGGTCTCTCTGTCTTCTTCGACGCCGATTGCTGCCGCAAAATCACCCAAGCAGCCTCCTTCAGAGACGAAAGAGAGCTTATGGCTGCGACGCCTATCCATCTTCTCCTTTTGGGCTGTAGTCGTATTTCTGGGCCTTCCAATATGGCTGAAGACAACGGCCATTTACAGGGCGGACCTGCCGCTACAGGAGATGACGGACTGGGCTGAGGGCAAGGTAAGAAATAGCACAAGCTGGGCACCCTGGCTGTAACATGGGCTAACACCATAGCAGGTCTGTAAGCCAGTCTTCCCTCTGCGGATAGCAGTCGAAGCCCCGATGCCTTCTGCGGATGCGCAACACCTGCTTCGCACCACACAGCACGCCCTCGATGATATCAACGACTTTTCCGCGCACCATCTCCGATTGATGCTCGCCGACTCTCCACTACAACCGAACGTCTCGCAACAAGTCATTAGTGACGGAACAAGCATTCATAGCGATGACAAGGACGTCGCTTTGGTTGTGCGACTGATACCGGTCGAAACGGGCGCCACGCCTCGGTCGCACCTCCAGCCATATTCCCCAACCTTAGACGTATACTACTCTCCGAACCAGATCCCTTCGCAGTCGTCTACTGGCTCCAGCCTGGCCACGTTCCTCGCCCAGGAACTACACAACATATTCGCTGAGGAGCAGGCACAGCTGGCGCATGTCTTGTCGGCTACGTCCGGCGCGCATGCTGCCAAGGTCAAGACGCTC